GGGGTCCTCAATTTGTCTCTCGGTTTTGGAGGGGCTTTTGTGCTGAGATGGGGATTTCCTTGTGTTTACTTCCTCCTATCATCCACAATCTAATGGAGCGGCTGAACGGGCGAATCAATCTGTGGAGTTATATTTACGTTGCTTCACGAATGCACACCAGGACAACTGGTCTCACCTCCTTCCTTGGGCTGAATTCGCCAGGAACACTGTGACTCATTCGTCCACTGGCTTAAGTCCTTTTATGGTTGCTTATGGGTTCCAACCCTCTGTCCTTCCCGGCGTGTTCTCCGACAAGGAAATACCCGCTTTGGACGAGCACCTCACCTCCTTACGGAAGATGTGGGATCAGGTCCATGCTACTCTTTCTCGTGCGACTGCTACTCAGAAGAGATTTGCTGATCGTCGTAGGGGTGCTGCTCCCTCTTATGTCCCGGGTGATAGGGTTTGGTTGTCCTCTAAGAATCTCCACCTCAGGTCCCCTCAATGAAATTCGCGCCCAGGTTCCTTGGCCCCTATAAGGTATTGCGTAGGGTCAATCCTGTGTCCTACTCCCTGGCCTTGCCTCCTTCCATGCGTATACCTAACACTTTCCACACCTCCCTTTTGAAGCCCCTGCTCTGTAATCGATTCTCTGGTCCTCTCAGGGCGTCCAGATTCCCTCCGCGCTGTCTCTAATGACGTGTACGAAGTGGCTGCTCTGCTTGATTATCGTTTTTCTTGGGGCCGGTTGCAGTATCTGGTTGATTGGAAGGGTTACGGCCCTGAGGAGTGGTCCTGGGTTTCTGCCTCTGAATTGAATGCGCCCTCTTTGATCCGCTCCTTTCATGCGCGGTTCCCTTTGAAGCCTTCAGCTTCCCGGCCGTTGGGCGGGCCTCGAGGGGGGGTTATGTCAGGGATCCGCGGGCGGCTAGGAGGGGAGGCTGCACGCCACTTGCAGCACTCACCCTCAGTCCGTCGCTGCCCGCGGTCTCCCCTCCGCTTACCTGTCGGCGAGCGGCGTCTCCTCTCTGCCGCTCGCGTCCTCCGCGCCCGCCAGCGGCAGCATGTATAACGCTGCACGCTGGGAGGTCACTGAAATATGTAAACTATGTTAAAGGAACAGTACCACAATCACAGTGGGAGGTATAGATATCCCCCATGTGTGATTGTTAATTCTGATTGGAAGTTATCCAATCAGAATTAAACCAAGGGTATTTATACTTACCTTTCCTGTCCCTCAGTGCCCTGTTGTGGTCTTGTGATACCTGTAGCGTGGTGTTCTCGTCTTGCTCTCTGGTTACTGGTTATTTGGCTTGTTATTCCGATTATCCTGTTTTCTCCACTCCTTTGACCTCGGCTTGTTTCTCGTTCTCCCGTTTACTGTCTCCCTTTACTTGGCTTGTCTCCTGGCTATTCTTAGCGTGCTTAGCCCGGCCACTCTAAGGACCGGTATAGCACCCTTCCTCTCTGTGACCTGTTAGCGTGTTAGGTTCTGGAATCGTGACACCTCTACCCTAAACACTAACTCCAACCCTCTCCTGTTTTGCCAGTTTTCAGAAATTCTAAGCACTTCGGCACTTCCGAAATTCGGCAATTTGGTTTGGCATTCCGAAATTCGGCACTTCGGACATTCGGAAGCATCCAAATGTCCGAAATTCATCCGAATTTGCATTCGGAACGAAACAAATTGCACATGTCTACTCCATATTTCTGTACACTAAGCTGGCCTGAGACCTCAGGAATATTTGCCTGTTCTTCCAAGCCCCTGGTTGTTTTGAATGGCAGAGGTTTCATTTATGTATTCATGGTGTTAGGAGAATTGCTATGTTTTTTGTAGAATAATATATAAATGTAGTCTCTCTGATTAACCATAAATTAATTTCTTGGCATAGAGATCTACATTGATGGAACGGCATCTTTGCCTGTAAGAATTGAGTGATAGTTGAGAGAAGGAAATTCTGCCCTCTTGGCTATTATTTTGCTCCCTGCCACAGCAGCTACAATTCATGTTTTATAGCCCCTGTTCCCTTCTCCCCACAATACCACCCCTGCCCCCCATACTGTTCCTATATCCCCAACATAGCCCCAGACTCCCACAATACTTTCCCTATTCTCTCTCCCACCAGAGCCCCTGTCCACCACATTACTGTCCCTTCCCCCCACAATAGCCCCACTCCCCATAATGCTGCCCTGTCCCTTAAAACTATTCCGATTCCCCCCCAACATAGCCCCAGTCCCCCAAAATACTGTCCCTATCCTCCCTAACACCATAACCCCAGTCCCCACAATACTAACCCCTATCCCTCTCCCACCATAGCACCTGTCCCCCCACAATACTGTCCCTGACCCTCACTACTGTTCCTTTACCCCACAATAGCCCTAGGTCCCCATAATGCTGCCCTGTCCCTCAAAGCTGTTCTGATCCCCCTCATCCTAGTCCCAGTCCCCCACAATGCTGACCTACCCCCATAATGTTCCTATCCCCCAACATAGCCCCAGTCCCCACAATACTGCCCCCGCTCCCACTAAAGTTCCAGCCCCCCACCATAGACTCAATCCCCCACACTGTTCCACTACCCTCACTAATGCCCCTGTCCAACACAATACTGCCCATATTCCACCACACTAAAGCCCCATTCCCCACAATACTGTTCCAAACCCTACCACCAATGCCCCAGTCCCTCATAATACTGCCCCTATCCCCTCATACTAAAAAATCAATCTGCGGCAATATGGCACCTGCCCCCTTCACAAAACAGCCCCTATTCCCCCACAATACTGCCTCTATTACCCAATACTACTCATATCTCCCCTTGACTTAAGCCCTTGTCCTACACACATAGTACTGCCCCTATCCGCCTACTAAAGTCCTATTGTACAGTGCTACATAATTTGTTGGCGCTATATATATTATAATAATAATAAAGTCCCTATCCCACACAATTCTGCGCCTATCCCCCACACAAAAGCACAGTGACACAGAAAGGGGCTGGTGGGCAAGTAAGAAACACAGGGTGGGTGTAAGACACTAAAGGGGGATATAATACACTGAAGGGGGTGTAACACATACAGGGATAAAACATTCAAGAAGGCATACTAAAGAGAGTAAGAAATTGAAAAGAGGGGTTATGAGGCACACAGGTGAAGATACATTTTTAGGGGGGCGAGGGGGTGGGTGGAAAAATGCATATTCACCTGTGTATCCAAAAATCCTCCTTGCACCGGCTCTGCACGTATAGCTTGGATGAAAGACGAGACGGGGGATATGATAGAAATATTTAAATACATAAAGGGAATCAACACAGTAAATGAAGAGACTATATTTAAAGAAAAACTATCACAACAAGAGGACATAGTCCTAAATTAGAGGGGCAAAGGTTTAAAAATAATATCAGGAAGTATTACTTTACTGAGAGGGTAGTGGATGCATGGAATAGCCCTCCAGCTAAAGTGGTGGAGGTTAACACAGTGAGGGCATTTAAGCAAGTGTGGGATAGACATAAGGCAATCCTAGCTAATAGCTATTCCTAGCTAATAGATAAGATCAGGGACTAATGCGAGTTCTGCGTTAGTCTCGCTTGTGTTATCTCATTATGTGTGTGTACTGAAGTAAACTGTCAGAAGACAACAGTTTTTTAGCAACGCTGAAAGCGGTAGTATGAACGTCATCAAAATAAGGCACTACACCTGGAAGTCCAGATAAGAGGTCCTCCATTAAATTCTGGAATATGCCAGGAGCAATGGAAACTCCAAACGTCTTGCTCGGAAAGCTCCTTTGTGTGTTATTATCGTTTGTGCATTAGCAGACTCATCATCCACAGGTAACTGCTGCTAGGCTTGAGCCATATCCAACTTGGCAAATACTTTTCCTTTTGCCAAAGTAGTAAGAAATTGATTAACAGCTGGAATTTGGTAGTGATGCTCTTGTAACGCTTTGTTGATTGTACATTTGTAGTCAGCACAGATTGACATCCCCATTTGGTTTCATCACCAGAACTATGGGTGTACACCACTTTGGGTGTGTTACGGATTCAAGTATACCTTGTTCCACAAGACGTGTAATCTCAGCATCTATTTTTGGTCTGAGAGCTAATGCAATGTTGCGAGGCTTCATACGAATTGGGGGTACTGTTGAATCTAATACAAAAGAAACAGGAGGGCCTTTAAACATGCCAAGACCTTCTTCAAAAACTGAACTAAATTTATCAATCACATTCTGTAGAATATCTGTGGATACATTAAATTCCTAAGGGTTCAAACCACTCTCTACCTAGCAAATTTGCTCTTTGTCCCTTTGTAATTATTAAACGTAAGTGTCATTTGAATTTACCCTATTTTACTGGTATAAAACAAGCCCGTTTAGAGTATTAGCATGTTATATATTCACAAATGGCTCTCAGACATTGTAGTAAAATAGAACTTCTCTTTACTTCAGTACACACACATAATGACATAACACAAGAGAGACTAACAGAACAGAACAAGTGCATAACTTCACTATGCTGCCATCTACTGGAAGGTGGACTGCATAAACCCCAATACATAACACTCCTCCCCCCTAGACCTCAAAGTCTTTGAGATAACTGGGAGGTTTAATATTTCGTTGTGGGCACCCCAAAACCATGTTTGGAACTGCTTCACCTGGACCTTCAGTTGTGCCCATCCCTTCTTCTAATGCTCTGTCAGATGGACCACACAGAACTGGTTCTTCAACAACAACTCCTGGAGAACTGAGACCTATATCATCCAATGGTTCAACATCATTTGGTATCACAGAAAACCCAGTATGACTGGGACCGGCAGCAGGCACAATCTCATCACTCCATTCCCGAATCTGATCGACATGCCTTCGTAATATTCTACCATCAGGAATTTGTACTTTGTATGACAAAGGTCCTGTGGCCACAAGTACTTTTGCAGGTATCCATTTAGGCCTAGAAACATAGTTCCTGACATAGACAGCACTGTCAGGTGCACAGTAGAAGCATTATAGTTCTTACTGAATTGCAATTATTGCTTCTCTTGTAACTCAGATGTCAAATCAGGATGTAAACGATCCAGACAAGTTTTAAGATGCCGGTTCATAAGGAGCTCTGCTGGACTACTACCAGTGCTTGAGCAAGGTGTCAAATGTTGTTGCAGAAGGAAATTTGCAAGTCTACGATTCCAATTTCCTTCAATAATTCTCTTTAATGAGTCTTTGGTAGTTTGAACCATACGCTCGGCTTGACTATTTGATAATGGGTGAAATGGTGCAATCGTAACATGTCGAATAAGATTATTTGCCATGAAAACTTTGAATTCTGATGAGGTAAATTGTGTTCCATTATCAGACACAATTGTATCTGGCAACCCATGTGTAGCAAGCAGCCTCCTTAGAATCTTTATTACTGTGACTAAGGTAGCAGATGTAACTAAAACAACTTCTAACCATTTTGAAAAGGAGTCGACAACTAACAAAAAACATCTGTCCATGAAAAGGGCGAGCAAAATCTATATGTAAACGGGACCAAGGTGACCTAGTCACTTCCCAAGGATGTACTGAGGCTTTAGGTGGAGCATGATGAGTAGATTGGCATGGTACACAATTCTTCACCCACTTTTCAATAACTTCCATTTTAGGCCACCAAACATAACTTCTGGCTAAAGCTTTCATGCAAACTATTCCAGGATGTCCTTCATGAAGAGCTTGCAATACTCGAGCTTGTCCTGCTTTTGGAATTACCACTCTGTTTCCCCATAATAGGCACCCTTTATGGGCAGATAGTTCATGTTGGCGCACTACAAACGGTTTGAACTTATCTTCCAATTTTGATTTTGGCCACCCCCTCCAAACCCAGTTGAGCACACGGGACAACAAAGGATCCTTGGCAGACATACAAGCAATGTTACTTGCATGTAACGGAGGGTTTGGAATGGATTCCAACATGTATAGGACCTCAGACATAGGAGGAACAAGGAAGTCAGGAGAAGGCAAAGATAATCGGCTTAATCCATCAGCATTTGTGATATCCTTGCCATGCGAATACTTGAACTCACAATCATAGGCATTCAGCATAAGGGACCACCTGAGCATGCGTAGTGAAATTATTTGAGGAGTGGGAGTATTGCTGGTGAACAGACCCAGTAAAGGTTTATGATCTGTTATAATAGTAAACCTCCGCCCATACAAATAGTCATGAAACTTTTTTACACCGGACACAATAGCTAAAGCCTCCTTGCCAATTTGGGCATAATTCCTCTCTGTAGTAGATAAAGTCTGTGAATAAAACGCAATTTTCAGACAGCCTGCACAGTTCTGCAATGTATGCTGCAATGCTTTAACCTGGTTTCTGAATGTGTCTTTTGAAATGGAAGCGCCTCACTGTTTCAGATGGGGTGGGTGCTAAATGATTTTTTAACAGTGCCAGTATTTCTTCAAATGAGTAGTCTTGTGGGTTAGCAGGAGATATCAGTGAGCGAGCAGTATCAAAAGTCTTGGATCCAATAACACTCAGTAACACAGCTCTCTTCTGAATAGCATCAACCACCATATTAGCTCCCAGGAAAAACACTAACCTGTCAGCAGATGAGTCCCATGAGGCTGGATTAGTCAGATCAAATTCCTCCATGTGTCCCAGAGAGGCCATGCTGGAAATATTTGTAGATAATAGAATTCCAAAAGAAAAGTTTTACTTCCTCACTCAGGGTGATTTCATTTCCTTTATATATATTCTGCAGTGTCCATTTAATGACATCCCATCCTCGTCGCCAGTTTAGAGTATTAGCATGTTATATATTCACAAATGGCTCTCAGACATTGTAGTAAAATAGAACTTCTCTTTACTTCAGTACACACACATAATGACATAACACAAGAGAGACCAACAGAACAGAACAAGTGCATTACTTCGCTATGCTGCCATCTACTGGAAGGTGGACTGCATAAACCCCAATACATAACAAAAAGGTTCTTATCTGCTGTCACATTCTATGTTTTTGTGACATGTAACTCAGCTAATCCTTCTCATAGAGATGGACTGATGTACACAAATCCTATATTATCAATGCTTGTTTTCAGAAGGATTGGACAGAGATCACCCATCCAATGAATCTCTCAACAGTTTGGCTGCATCTAGGAGAACATTTGAATGTTGGAATAAAGGTAAGTTGTATGGCTTTTTATTTTTAGAGTGTTCCTTTAAGTGTCTGTAGCGGAGAGGTAGTACAATCCACAGTATCTCTGCTGGTAGACAGGAAAAGCATACAATAATCCAGGGAGGCAGGTACAGCATACAATAATCCCGGTAGCGTTATAAGGATCCTTCCCTCCCAAGAACTAGATGACACATAGGCTGGGAGTCAACAGGTTTTTATTCACATGCTCCAGTATTTATGTGGTTTCCCATGCAAGGGGTCTCCTTAATTACTTTACAGGGGTTATACAGTAGGGGACTACATGGGGAACTGTACATGCAGGACCTTTTTCCCACCATGCACTGCTGTACTGGAGGGATAATCCTACAGCATATCCTGTTAAGTGGATTATCCCTCCGTACAGCAAAACCGGGCATTTTACTTAAAAATATATAACTTGCACGTTATTCGTGCCATTTAGTCTCTATAGATAGCTGGGATCTGAGCGTATAGTTCGTGAAAATACTGCTCAGATCCCAGCACAATCAGCCGAATGCCACACGAAACAACGGTTAATATACACATACCAGAAAACAGACGAATGGACGATTTGTAGGAAACTACCGAATGACCGGTAGTCCCGGACGGGCTGGAAGTCCAGTGGTGTTCCTGCCGTCGAGTAGCCGATTTTAGTTCCAGGCACACGACGACCAAACACTGCTGGGCTAACAAAGGATCCAAGATGGATCCAACATTTAACCGAACAAGCATACAATAACTATAGATTAACCCATCTCTCCCAGGCCACCCTATACATACAGTAGTCTTAAAGTGGCTATGTTTGCCACAGTGTCTATATGATATACATGAAGTCATTTATGTAAGTGAATGTGGTTTAGAAGACCAAAGTTTCATATTTATACAGACTAATTTCTAAACATGTTATTGTGAGTTGAATAGCTATTAAGTTCTTTCAAGCTTTTCTACAGGCCAACTACTTTGCCCCCACCCACTGTTTTCCTAAATATAGAGGGGTATCACCCAACACAGACCGAGTTTTCTGAGAGATACTAGCTGCTCAGTAAGCACAGTTAGTGCAGCTGGGGCAGCAACTCCCACCATCCTGGTTGATCATGATGGGAGTTGAAGCTGACATTAGCTGGGGGTGCAGAAGGCGTGCGTTGTGTGTACATTGATAGTGTCATGCAGTAATCTCCGTGTGAGCTGAGACATACATGAGCCTATCATGAGCACTCCCAGGGCTGTAACACTGCTCATGAACAGCTGATATAAGTCCCCCTCCATCCCCCACCTGCCCATATAGCAGCCCTCCGGCCGGCATGTGATCTCCATCGCTATAACTCGGTCCTTGTTGCCAAGCTTCACAGCACTCACTGCCTCTCACTTCCGGGTTCACCTCCCGGAGGCTGTGATTGGCTGGGGGATCGGGGACGCCTGCCAATGACATCACGTCCCCAGCCTGCAGCTCACTCAGGGACATGAAGCAGGAAGGGGGATGCAGTTAGTGTGCTCGGAGGCTGCTGGCAGACACACAGCGCACTGCCCGGGTGGCTCTTGGTAAGTGCAAACCGGGCTCACACTGATCACACGGGACCCGCGGGGACTAGAGGCACCGGACCCAGCTCAATGCCCACTGCTGGCTATTAGTGCAGTCAGGCCCCAGATAGCCCCAGATAGCATGGCAGGGTGTAGTGTACTGGGCTGGGATAGTTTGACAATTCAGATTTACACGGGCCTGGTATGGGAAGACATTTACCCATTACTACACAATAAACGGTGTATGTTTCCCTTTAATAGTTTCTTTAGCATTGTTTACTAGCAGGTACATATAGTGCAAAAAACAATGTTATGGCAGGCATTTATAAACGAATAAATAAAAAATCTATATAATTCCCATTATAATTTCCCACGGTTATGAAAAGATTGATGTCATGAAAAATAAAACAAAGTTTGCTTGTGCATGTTGTAGTGTTGCAAGAAAGTGTTATGTCGAAAATTATTTTCTCTTCTAGTCTACTTTTGTAATGATGTATATTGAAAGAAGGTAGAGATACACTAATGGCATTGTTTAGGTGGTTTTGCACCCTGTACTGTGTATGTTGTTTGGGACTTAAGGTGTTACTGTATTTGTTTTTTAATCCTTTAAGAAGAAATGTGGATCCAAATTATCATAACAATCTGCACTAAGGATCTTACTAAAATACAGTGGCCAACACAGTTTGACTTCTGTAGGGCTGCATGGAGCTGCCAAAACATAAAACTGCCCCTATGAAAATGATCTGCTGATATATGTGGAAATTTGTTTTTGTCATAATGGCAAAATGCATAATTTTGTTCTTTAGGTGCTCAGTTTTACTTCTTTTTCAGTTACTGACATAAATGTACCGTAAACACAATCATGTAACCAATGGTAGAAGAGCAGCTCATAAAAACTTCCTGGAGTGAGAGATGGTGGTTGTCAAGCCCTTATGTTTGTGTTTTTATTTAACTCTTGTATGTGCACATAGCATTTTACAGGCAACATTATATTATAGGAAAGATGGAGTAGCTATATAGAGTTTGTAAAATGGAGCACAGTGGAAATTTGAGTCATGCGCATACAGTTAAAAGGAAAAAGTCACTTCCCAGGAATTTTAATATTTTACTTATTCCTATATTTAACAAATATGATTTTTGTGAGATATGGTAAATAAAATTTAAATGTAGAAATCCCCACTTTTTTATACTGCAATTGGGTGTCTCCATTTTAGTTTTCAGTCATTTTTTTTCAGTCATTTGTTGTTTATAAGCGCTGGCATTTGCACCTGGCAGGGAGCATCACAACAGCATGCAGAGATTACTAGGTTATAATGTCATTCCTTAAAGGAAAGGACAACCGTCACCTCAAGACTATATGTTTTAATATAATTATCCTTTCAGCAAGTTTTGAAAGACCATAGATTTTTTTTTTTTTTTTAAGTTGACATAAAAGACCATCCCTACCTTTAGTATATGACGGGGATGCTTAAGCCATATACATACATTTTGCATCAAACAGTGTTTAAAAACCAACAGTTAGTCTCCATGGTCTTCCCTGCACACAAAATATATACTTGGTCAAAAGATTGTGTTAAAAATTTATTTTGAGGTTACATTTGTCCTATATGTATGTGTGTGTATTTACATTAAGTGTGTTTTCTTTTTAATTTAGATTATGGGCCCTCATATAAAAAAAAATTCAGTTGCATTCTACTACTTTTTTTTATCTGTAATGAAATGACAGGACACACTCCTTGAAATGGAATGTTGTTGTTAAGGAATAAGCTCCACTAGTGGCTTTCAGTATGTCCTTTCAGTAAAATGTAAATATTGCTATTTCTCAGAAACCACTGTGTATTACATTTTTCAAGAATATTGCACCAAAATCACTTTGTTAAAATGAAGTGGTTTTGGTGCTTAGGATTTCCTTTTAAATCTAAATTTCAAACAAAACAAATAATCGCATGAAAATAGGTTAACCTAAGTTTTATGTGATTTTTCAATGTTTTATTTGACTGTGTAATATCCAGACAAGTGATTACCGCTTCTTAGAGGAACTGTGCAATTTTAAAATATAATTTGTGAAATTAATCTGGTCTAATAGTGTCATGCTTCATTTAGATATCAATATCAATTCTAGTAATTACAACGGTTATGGAAAACCCTCAACTGTAGGTACAGTAAAGTCAGTAGAGCATTGGGTTTTTTTTCTAGATATTGATTTTTAAAAAAAATTTTTTAGAGCTGATGCCGATAGCTTCCCGATGTTCTGTACATTTACCGTTTTTTTTGTTGTTGTTTTTTTTGCAAATCTTTTTTTTTATTAAGTGGTAAATGCACAAAATATACATGCCAGTCAGATATTTTTTTTATGTTTTCAAGAATATTTATGTGTGTGTGTGTAGTGGATGTAGTGAGAGTATTTGATTAGTTAATGCAATGTGTTTGTTTGTGTAGTGAATGCAGTGTGGATAGTGGATGCAGTGTGTTTGTGTGTAAATATATGCGGTAGTAACCCCCACAACCCCCCAATTCTCCTTAATGTTCCTCTCCCTTATCATATAGTGCCCCCCTACCCCAGTGTTCCTTTTCCCTTCCTTGTACATTAGTGCTCTCCCTTAATGTTCCTCTCTCTCCCCCTCTAGTGTTCTCCCCTGTCCCATAGCGTTCTTTCCTGCCCCGTCCTATAGCATTCTTTCCTGCCCCCTGTCCCATAGCGTTCTTTCCTCTCCCTCCCCTCTCCCAAAGTGTAAATTCCCCTTTTCTTGTCTCCCGCGGTACAGGAGATTCAGTCTCCTGTAACCAGCTGGACTGACCGGAAGTTCTCTCTAGGTGAGAGAAACATAAGTTACTGTACCGCTGTGCGCCTACCTCCTGCCGGTCACTCCAATCTAGCTCCCCATCCCCCCCCCCTCCCCGCTTGTGCTGCCTTATGAACGTGCCAGCCCACCTAATTATCGGTATTACCGGTGATTATTGCCTGATACTTACAAAAAATCTGAATTTCTGCCAATAATATCGGCAAAACGGATAATCTGTAGATTCCTAACAGTTTTTGTAATTATTTCATTATATATCCACTGTTCGTTCCATCATTTAGGGGTTTTTATTTATTTGCTTGTTTGGGAGTTCCTGAGTTAATCCCAACATTCTAGATGGCTTGATTGATATTAATTTCAGTTTTGTTTTCTTTATATGTTAATATTTACTTGCAGTATTATTCATTAAACCAAACAGTTTCAGGAACTAATCAGAAAATTTAAATGGAAGTTCTAGAACTTTTGCAATTTAGCTGTTTGGGCATAACATTTTAAATTCCCTGTTCAATTCACAGTTTAGTGAATAAATGAGTAGTGTTGAGCCATTTTTATAGACTGGCTTGCACTGACTAAGATTTGGCTAATGGCCATTGTAGCCCCTTTATCCCTAACTATTGTAAAACGGAGGCCTGTATTATATTGAGTTATGGACTTCGTTAGAAAAAGCAACTCTATTTTAATACCATTCTTTGTCTTTTTTCAGGTTTTGAAACACGTTTGAAAATCCATCACAGCTCCAGAAATGATATTCTAGAAAAAAACAACCAAAACTGGTTTTCTAAAAGTTTCTGAATTCTGAAAAATGGCAGCTGCGCCCCCACCCCCAGGAGGAGGGCCTCCCGGATTCCCTGGAAACCCCATGCTGACTAATCAATGGGGCTCTGGCTCTCTTGCTGTAGCTGTTTGGGAATGGCAAGATGAAAATAACAAATGGAGACCATATAGCAGTGCAGTTAGCAGCTATATAGAGCAATGTATGCAGTCACCTCAACTTCAGAAGGGACCTCGTGGACCAGGCAACAGCAGCAGTATATCCCTCGGACATGTTGATCCACAGTTATCCCCATATATAATCGATATTGTTACTCTTACACAGTTTCGGCAGGATACAGGTATGAGATTTCAAATATATTTCAACTTGTATTTTTTAGCAAATTTCTTTTTACATTTTAGAAAATTTGGCTTAAACATGTTGCCACTTAAAGGGATCCTATAGTGCCAGGAAAGAAACCATGTTCCTAGCACGATAGGGTTAAAAGGGCCCACCTTCCACTGGGCTGAAGGGGTTAAAACCCCTTCAGCCATTTATCTTAATCCAGCACCGGGTTTGGTTTTACTCTGTAAAGCAAAGGTTGTATTTTATTTATTTATTTTTGTGGCCATAAGGTGATCTTGCTGAATTGTATTTTGTTTTTTTCCTTGACATGTCTGCTGCATGTGGCTTGATTATCATTCTCAGATTATCTCAAATTAATTCAGCTTGTTTATGGCCTAAGCTAGAAGCCTTGATCTACTTTTCCCAAGCTCATCTTTATCCTCTTTCCTGGCAGGAGAGAAGCATCCCAGCCATCCTGGGCACACAAAATATATGGGGCCGCCTAGCAAGGAGGTCTAGATGAGGCACTTCTAAATGCTACTTTTTTACTACTAAGATAGTACCCACATAAATAGACCTCTATAATAGTTTTGGCAATTACATGGCAGAAATAATTACATAAACTTTTCAGCATTTACTTTTGCTGGACACTTGTCTTTTTTCGTAATAATTTAGCACTCCAAGAGACTGTTAGAGGAGAACTCCAGTCTTAGACAGACCTTAATGTGAAATGTATGTATATTAAGTGTGTGTGTATGTGTATATATTACTTATTTTATATATTTTTATTTTTATGTACGATAATAAAAGTTCAGTATAGCATTAGTAATAAAAATCTATATTTCTTACAATATATTGCCTAACTAGATTTAGGACCCCCCGCACGTAATAAAAATTTTGGGGAAAAAAGGTTTAACTCCTTCTGTGCTGCAGATTGCTCTGCCTCCCAAAATGTCATTTGAGTCGTCACTTCCATGCTAATTGTTCAGTCCACTATATTTGTGTGTGTCCAATCAAATGCTTCTCATAGGAAAGCATTGAACTCAATGCTTTCCTATAAGCTGCGTTTGACATTTGACATCCTCATGGATGATGAATGTCACATGACAAGTTTCACTCAGTTGCTGCACAGGAAGCGCCTCTCTTTACTGTCTGGAAGAAGGCCACTAGAGTTGTGTTTAACCTTGCAATGTAACGTTTGTTGTTTCTAAAACACTGCAATGTTTTACATTGCAGAGTTAAAGGGACACTATAGTCACCCAGACCACTTCAGCTCAATGAAGTGGTCTGGGTGCCAGGTCAATCAGGTTTTAACCCTTCAGATGCAAACATAGCAGTTTCAGTGAAACTGCTATGTTTACATTTGGGGTTAATCCAGCCTCTAGTGGCTGTCTCCTGGGCTGGTGGGCAGGTGTGCCACCGATTGGCTAGAGTGGTCAGCTGAAGCTCTAAGCCAATCAGTAGCTCTCATTCATTAAAAAAATAAATAAAAGGCACATACCTTTGCCTTAGATCATCAGCTGACCACTCTAGCCAATCAGCGGCGCCACTGCACGGCGGAACTCCGCTCTTCTGTAACTCTGATTCTGAAGCTGGATGCCGTCTGGGGTACCTTGAGATCAGCGCTGGAGGTAAGCTTTGGGGTCAAACCATTCAAGAACGGATTAACCCCGTAAGATAAGTGTGTGCCCGGAGACTTCCTGGTACTATAACATCATTTAGATATAGTTGTTATGGTGACTGGGGTGTTTTATTTAATTATTATTTGTTGCAGATAGAGCAGAGTGGGCACATTCTAGGAGTGATAATTTGGAACTTGTTACAGCTAGAATTTTTTTTTTTTTTTTCTCTTTTCTACACCTTGTATAAAGTTTGACTCATAAACCCCTCCCTGTCACCTAAACATCCCCAACTGGCTCCTGACTTCTGCATTATTGTGTCCACCCATTGGCATGAAGCCTGTTTTTCTACATCTCATTAAGGCATGTTTCTGCAGCTATTTTTTTTTTTTTTCTGTCCATTGTGGCTTACTCATAAATCTTTTGTGGGCTAGTTTACTGCAATGGTGTGTTTCAGCTTTAAGAAGTGTAGTAATTAATGAATTGTCATTAAAGGTTTCAACATCACTCAGCTAGTGAGTGCCCTGCCAGTATTATCAGCCACATCTTGGCTTTATTTATAATACATAGAAATTGTGCACGTTTTTACTGCTTGTCAAAAAAACAATTTAAACAGAAAGCCGAAATATGTAAATATGCTTGGAAATATATATATTTTTTAATTGGAGCATATATTTTGGTGTATTATGAACCTTTTGTGGTTTGACAGTCTACGTACCTTGCCACATCCACATCTAATCATTCTGTTTAAAGCGCCAGTAAATGTAAACCAAAAAAAAGGGGAGAATCGTTAAGTGCTTGGGGATATTACACCTCTCGTATTCATTCCTTCAGGACCATTGGTTTTGGGAGCATTATTATGTGAACCTCAGAACTTGAGATCTCTTACTAGTTCTCACTCATATGGCTTTACATGAGGATGATGGGATATGACCTTATGCACTAGCGCCCTCACTCACTACAGTGCAGGGCTGTGCTAATAAACATGAGTAATCTGTGATTTCAGAGGCGCAATTCTCCCTGCACCAGAGTACCGAAATTATATTATAATTATTACTATGATATCTACACTTACAGGGTTATTCACTAAAGTGACAATTCTAAGTGAATTTGAGCTCCAAGTTTAGCACTGTTGATCTTAAATTTGAAATTTACTTGGAAATCTTACTTTAGTAAATAACTTTAATGGTTATGCCACTGTAAAACTGTGCTTGTTTGATAAAGACTAGAAGCATGGATAAAATGCTTGAAAGTTAATCCCCTGGACCATGTGCAATGAGCACAGCTGTTGTCCACTGCATTTCTAATATAGCCACAGCTGGTTTACAGCAAAGCTGCTGCATCAAATATTCCTGCTCTGTAGTACTGTGTGTATTTTATTTGCCTAAATGTAAACCTATTCTTTTTAATGTTAGTGTGTACACTTTTACCTATTCTTTTTAATGTTTGTGTGTACAGTTCTTATCTGCCGTCACATTCTATGTTTCTATATACTTAAAGGGAATCAATACAGTAAAGGAGGAGACTATATTTAAAAGAAGAAAAACTACCACAACAAGAGGACATAGTCTTAAATTAGAGGGACAGAGGTTTAAAAATATCAGGAAGTATTACTTTACTGAGTGGGTAGTGGATGCATGGAATAGCCTTCCAGCTGAAGTGGTAGAGGTTAACACAGTAAAGGAGTTTAAGCATGCATGGGATAGGCATAAGGCTATCCTAACTATAAGATAAGGCCAGGGACTAATGAAAGTATTTAGAAAATTGGGCAGACTAGATGGGCCGAATGGTTCTTATCTGCCGTCACATTCTAAGTTTCTATATACAAATCAAAAGTCAATAACAACCTCGTGAATCAAAACTCATGACTGTTAAATCATATTAGAGTATTCTCATTATCTGATATTTTAAAGAAACACAATAGCGTTGGGAATACAAATCTGTATCCATTCTCTCCTATGGGACTTCCGCATCACGTGACAGTGCAGCGGAAGCACCTCTATTGTCTGTCATACTGACTGCAACTAGAGGTGGGCTTGACCCTGCAATGTAAACATTTGAGTTTCTCAATAACGGCAATATTTCATATTGCAGGGTTAAGAGGGCAGGGACGTTGCACCCAGACCACTTCATTGAGATTAAGTGGTTTTGGTGACTACAGTGTTCCTTTTTAAAGGAATGATAAAGTGTTAGTAATGCAAACATACATAAACAGGTTAGCCTACCTATTTATATTCTCTCCCTCCCCCAAAAAACAATAAATAAGTTACCTTACCTTTACTCCCCTGGTGCCCAGGTCTTTGTGCAGCTACCCTGCTTCCCCTGCAGACATCTTTAGTCTTGATGATCTCAGCCAGTCCAGTGCTCTCATGGTTTCCAGGCATTTGGTTTGCTCAGTTGTCCCCAACTTCTTTTTTTTTTTTTTTAAATCAAAAAAATGACAGACTCCAGAAATATAAAGCACTCAAGCATTTTTTTATCGAGTGTTCCTTTAAGTAATTGAATGCCGGGACAGTCTTGCAATTAATACATTACTATTGGCGTGCTTCTCTTTTACAATGCAACAACTGGAGAATTTGTGTGGCATTACGCTACTCACTTAAATGTTCATCTTACCTATTGTTATGCATTTTATAGTTTACAATATTACATTTGCACACTCCAAAAGAAACGACTGATGACACACCACACAGAGGAGAGGCATCAGGAAAACCAACACTGTGGGAGGGAACCATAAGGTTTTTATTACCATGATGTGGTATAATTTCTTAGGGCACAGAAGTTAATTCAAAAGGCGTTTGTTCAGAAGCACTCCCTTGGGTTTTGTTTTTCTATCACTGACTCTTCTAGAAAAAATGAATTATATGGAAGGGAAAATAACTTTTTTTTTTTGTGTGTGTGTGGGTGTGCATGTGGCTTTTATAAATCTGCAGATTGCCCTTCTATACACAGCTTTATATGATCGAATATTTACATGTTGACACCCAAGGTTGCTCTAGCAGGCTGTTTAGTAACTTTGTGTCAGTTCCTTCTTTGTTAAAATTTGCAAAGAAAGATTTGATATTTTAACAAGTCAAGGAAATGCTGTGAAGGTGTAATTGACACATGCAGCTTCCCTATCTGCTAGCGAATGAGCTTAAAAAAATTCAGGGGAATTTCCAAGCACCTTAAATTATGCAGTTCCAGGCTCCATAACCACTTTAGCTTGCAGTGTTTATAGTGCCAGTGCTCATTGCCAGAGCTTGTCAACAATCAAGGGTTTAGCATAGCAGATTAGGAATTTCCACCTTTGGTAACGGAGGTGGGGAGCTGCACCTGGTAGACCTCGTGTAAAAAGTGAAATCCTTCATAAATGGTTTGGCTATTTACATTGTGCACGCATCCTCACCTACTGACCAATTCGTTTTACGACCAGGTCGTAAGAACAGAATCCGGTCAGTAAGTGAGGAGTATCTGTAGTTATGCTAGCTGCAGTAACTCTTGGTTGGACAACTTCCATCAGTTTTTCACTTTTTTGTTTATTTTGTTATTAACAGTGCAGGTCACACAGAGCTATTGCAGCAGAAGCGAAGTTAGGTCGCCAGCAGAACAGTTTTGTCAAAAAATGAATCTGTATCATTTTTAAAAAAAAGATTTCTGGATGCAACAATGCACGTCCTCATAAAGTTGATGGTACAAAATACTAACTTAAATTGATACCTTTATTGCACCATAATTTTAGAATCTGCAATGACTCTGCAGTGCAGGGTCTTTGTCAAGCCTGAATTCCATACTAATTATACAGTTTAATACCCATGTAATTACAGCAGTCACTATACAGACCACCCAGAGGTGGGACCTGCTAATTACATGTGAACATTAAAGGACCACTATAGTGCCAGGAAAACATACTCGTTTTCCTGGCACTATAGTGCCCTGAGGGTGCCCCCACCCTCAGGGACCCCCTCCCGCCCGGCTCTGGAAGGGGGTAAAAACTTACCTTTTTCCAGCGCTGGGCGGGGAGCTCTCCTCCTCCGATCCTCCTCTTCTCCTCCCCGTCGGCTGAATGCGCACGCGTGGCAAGAGCTGCGCGCGCATTCAGCCGGTCACATAGGAAAGCATTTACAATGCTTTCCTATGGACGCTGGCGTGCTCTCACTGTGAAAATCACAGTGAGAAACACGCAAGCGCCTCTAGTGGCTGTCAATGAGACAGCCACTAGAGGAAATAGGGGAAGGCTTAACCCATTCATAAACATAGCAGTTTCTCTGAAACTGCTATGTTTATGAAAAAATGGGTTAACCCTAGCTGGACCTGGCACCCAGACCACTTCATTAAGCTGAAGTGGTCTGGGTGTCTAGAGTGGTCCTTTAACCCATTCTATACAAAGAGATTATATACATCTATCGCCATATATACCAAAAAAAATAAACCAACTGTTTTCAAATCATAGCAAGGGCTACTGTAAAAAAAGAAACAATAATAAAATGAGGCAACAAATAAAACATTAAAGGAGCACTATAGGGTCAAGAACACAAAGATCTTACTTGTATTCAAGTCTGGAGCTGTTTACTTTGTCCCTATTTCCTGTAGACCTGACCACTGCCTGCTGACATCAGCAGATGTGGTGGCCTAATCCAGTCACAATGCTTCCCCACAGGATTGGCTGAGACTGATAATGAGGTAAATCAGGGGCAGAGCCAGCACAATTCAAACACAGCCCTGGCCAATCAGCATCTCCCCATAGACATGAATCGAATCAATGAATCTCTCTAAAGTTCAGTGCCTGCATGCAGAGGGAGGAGACACTGAATGTTTGGATGCATTTTAGGCAGCCATGACCCAGGAAGTATCTCCAACAGTCATCTAAGGAGTGGCCAGTGAAGTTATCACTAGGCTGTAATGTAAACACTGCATTTTCTCTGAAAAGACAGTGTTTACAGCAAAAAGCCTGAAGGTAATGATTCTACTCACCAGAACAAATGAGATAAGCTGTAGTTGTTCTAGTGACTATAGTGTCCCTTTAATTGTTGTCACATCCCCCTAAAGATATAAGGAGTGTCCAGACCAGAACATGGTGAGGCATTGTAAGCCAAAAACAATGTGGTGGAGCACACAAGGAGAGCTTCTTCAATGCAGACTTTATTTGGACATTAAATTTGGCAACATTTCGGCTGGAGAAATGCTCTCTGACAGAACCGAAACGTTGTCAGCTTCAATGTCCAAATAGCGTTTGCATTGAAAAAAACTAACTGTGTTCGTCTGGACATCTTTCTGAGGAGCATTGGATTGGACTGAGGAAGCCATGCCTCCTTGATGACCAACATTAGCAGCACCGAGGAAGTCTCACACTGGAAAAGATGAGTAAAACCTTTTTAATTTTATTCATTTTCTTTACTGGAAAAAGGGGGGATGACAATGACCTGTATATAACTGGGCACTGAGGCACTATAACATTAAGAATACAGTGTTTCTTAACCCTTGAATGGCAACAGCCATTTTTGACAAAACAATAGTTTTACTTTAAAGGGTTAAAATTATAGCACTACTGTACTCAGACCACTTCATTGGGATAAAGTGCGCTGGGTGATTTTAGTCATTTAACCCCTTAAGAACTGAGCCAAATGTACACGTTTTGATCAAAATAAAACGCAAGCAAAACTTGGAATTTGACTATATGTCTGTTCAACCGTAATTTACCTCTTTCATATTAAGTGCACCCATATCTATTTTATATCATTTTATTCAGGTGAAATAGGGCTTTCATTTACCATCAAATATTTAGCTATGAAACATAATTTAATATGAATAAAATATAAAAAAAATGTGAGAAATTAAGAATTATTTTTAGTTCTGCATGACATTTTAACTGTTAATGTCATAATACTGTTGGCTTTTACTGCAATAGAATACACATATTTGTATTCAGTGATGTCTCACATGTAAAACAGTACCCCCTATGTACAGGTTTTATGGTGTTTTGGGAGAAGTTACAGGTTCAGATATAGCATGTTACATTTTTCATTTTTTTTTTCACATTGAAATTCGCCAGATTGGTTACATAGCCTTTGAGACCGTATGTTAGCCCAGGAATGAGAATTACCCCCCATGATGGCATACCATTTGCAATAGTAGACAAACCGAGGTATTGCATGTGGGGCGTGTCCACTCTTTTTTTAGTAGCCACTTAGTCACAAACTCTGGCCAAAGTTAGCGTTAATATCTGTGAAAAATGCCAAAAATGAATTTGAATGCCCAATTTGTCCAGTGTTTGTGACTGGAAAGTTACAGGGTTAAATATAGTGCTAGCAAATTAAATTCTCTGGACTTTCTGTCTGGGTTATCAAGCAGGTCCCACAAATTGTAATTAATAAAACGACTTAATTGTGTAAAAATATTATATAAATATATACGTAGAATTAAAAAAAAAATATATAAATATAATATATGAAGGCGGAGCCTGAAGTTGTGGGAGGGGTTACCCGGCTATATAAGCACAGGTCCCCTCCACAGGGCTGATGCCTCCGGGTTCATTAGGACATTGACTTCCGGTTCCTTACCTGAATTCCTGATTCCTTGCTGCCAACTCTCCAAACGACCGGTTCCGCCGGTATTTACTTACCGTTCCCGCCCGTTCATCGGACCGGCCACAGCTTCATCAGCATCCCTCCGGCATCCAGCACCACCTTGACACGGATTTTCACTCCAGCCCGTGCATCAGATACAGCAGCTACCGCTTACCGGCTCCACAGCCCAGCAGGTCACACGGTCGACCTTTTGGTCACTTCCGGGTCGCTCCTCTGGCATCCCGATCAACCAACAGTGAGTCTGCCCGAACGGGCAAATACACGTCAGCCCATCTTCATTCGTTAAACTTACCGCACGAACCATTCGTTCCCACGTTGTTTCACAGTCTGAATAATTCACCTGTTGGGCAACCGGTCAATTAGCCGAACGCTCAGTTCAAACAGCTACCGCACTGCCACCTAATGGTCAAATACGGGTACTACCTTATTCGGTATAAATCTATGCATAGAGAAAGCACTCCTGTTATACTTCTACTCCCATCACACCCAGACCAATACTGTTTAAGAATTGTATATGCAATTATGTATAAGATCTATGTCACGCAGCCTCACAGAGCTGTCATTATCATTACGTCTTTTGTACTGTTGGCACTAGCTGTCTCATCATATGTTTACTAAAATCACTTATTTTCCGTAACTAGGTCTACCATTATTTCCGTACTGATTGTCAAGCAGCCTATATGGCCTATTAATCTGTCAGTATACCGAATATCTTCCCCTCAGAACCATAAACGTAAGTCCACTAAATCCTTTTACATGTTATGGCACAACTACAATGATGCTATATATTCTAGTGAACTACCACTGCCATTTGTACTTCCATATTATACTCTTGTCTACTAAGCCCCTCTGATAAATATATCTCTATACCAAAAAAATAGGTGTAAACTATCCTCCCAGCCTCACAGCAACAGGATCCACCCGGTTCCACAACTCAGGTATAGACTTGTACTACGTCATTGGGTGGGTGCCCACACGTAACTAAAACATCTTTATCCTCACCACAGAGGGCCGTCGTTCTTAGTAACAGTCTCAAACCCTTCTTTCCTGTTACTTACTAGTTGCCGCCCCTGTAGGCATATGACCAGGTCCGTCTATGTCATCCCTATTCTCTTAGCTACTCCCTAAAGTTCAGACAACCCCCCCCCCCTCTACTTCTGAATTTGCAGCAGTTCATGCGACTTGGGTAAGCCAGCGTAAGTCCACGGCAAGTAAGCCGCATCCCATCCTTCCCTGCAAACCCTACCCCTGTCAGCCATGATAGAGTAACCAACAGGCTACATTGTTAGTTTCTTTTAGGCCTTATTAGTTAATTCTACTAAACCTTGCGAAGCATGCTCCCCTCCCGTACTCAACCCCTAACCTAATACGTAGATAACGCTTCACTTCATTCCCGATAGGATGGTCAGCTCTATCTCTCTATCTCTATCTCTATCTCTATCTCTATCTCTATCTCTATCTCTATCTCTATCTCTATCTCTATCTCTATCTCTATCTCTATCTCTATCTCTATCTCTATCATCTCTCTCCTATCCTTGACCTGTGCCTGGTCTCCACTGGAACCCAGGGAAGCCACCCACACTGCTAGATATACACAGAAATGCAGAATAACCCTCCCCTCAGACAAATAATACGAGCAGCCCACACACAAACATACACACAATCCGCACAAACATAACCCGCTAACAATCCACATACATGCACACAACCCCACATGCAATACCCCAAACAGCCCACACACACTACCAAACACACAATGTGACATATCCATCCACACACAATTCCACAAGCAGCCCTCCTACACAGCCCACATTTATATGTATTATACACAATACCATAAACTACTAATGAATATATTCAATATAATAGCTCACATATACACAAATACAATGATACAAAGCAATTACAGTATAAATAACACAAACAGAATACAGCAACATACACACCTCAATTTAAAAAAAAAAAATAAGACCAGCACGCTACGGGACATCACAATCCTATATTGGCACAGTGCCTAAAAGGTTGCCTACCCCTGTGTTTTATATATATATATATATATATATATATATATATATATATATATATATATATATATATATATATATATATATATATATATATATATATATATTTTTTTTTTTTTTTTTTCTTTTTTTACATCCTTTTTAAATCTACGGTTTCTACATTAATATGTTGCTTGTCCATCCACTACTATTATTTCCTTACATGAGCTAAAATAAACGAAAACTATAGTTAGGAATGTAAACAATGGTAGTAGATTTTGTTACCTTCCGCCCTTCCAAATGGAGTAGTTAAAAAACAAAAAAACAAACACACACAAAAAGTCAAAACCTTTACTTTCCTTTATTACACCACTGCATTGCTCTCTACATGTCGACCACGACTCCACAGCAGTGATCATCCATTTTGATGATATTAGCCTGTCGAATGCTTCCCATTGAGGATTTGCCCTAACCAGCAAATCTTCAGACAATTGAGCTCTCATCTCCTGAGACATGCACAATTGCAAATATACGAACAAAACTAGCCATATATGTTAATTAGCCATTCACATGACCAGCTGACCAAGTATATGTGTGTGTGTTGATACATACTAGTACCCATTCATAGACCCACACTAACATATATCATTTATATCATCCTCCCTTCCCTTCATGTTAATCAGAAAGCAGGAAATGGGGTTCATGGCTGTCCATGGTGTCTAGTGTTTGGGGATATGGACAGCTGTTCACTGAGCAGCACAGCCCTGCATCCCGCTCTCTTTTGTACTCTACATATTATCAGACAGCAGTTGCTGGGGAATGGTCTAATGTCTCAGTATCTGCTTCCCATTCATTGTTAATATCCCATAGGAGATACTCCCAGTAACTCTACCCCCTGCAAAGAGTGTATTTAAATTGTTTAGGTACCAGCAGATATGTCACTGCCTGGCTCCCCATGATATATAATTATTTGATTTTAATTTGGTGGGGTTTCACATATTGAATACATTCCATGTACATATAACTGGTTATTCCCTGCATTGGATCTTGAATAATTAACTGTTGCTAGATTACCATACTTATTATATCAAAGGCTTACTCCAAATCCAAACCTCAGTGGGTAGATCTACTTAATCAAAGACCACTAAACGCCACCCTAACCATTTCATCTCAATGAAGTGGGCTTAGTACAGTTCTGTCGTTGTAACCCTTCAATGTAGGGTTAACACACTTCAAGTGGCTCTTCATTAAAGGCACGCCCACAGCAATAACCAAGGCAGACTCTGTTACTCGGTCAAATGCTTCTCATAGAGACCATTATTTGCCACAGTGTGATGTTTTGCTGCAAATGTGCATTAGCCTCCCATTGGATAGACTGAAATCATCAAAATTGATGATCTTAGCCAACGAAGTGAGGTGGCCGTGGCAAAACCAGTCTGCTGCGAGTAACGTTTTCTATTGAAACCCTCTCAGGAGCTCTGTATATCAACGTAGGTAGGGTAGCAAGATATTGGCTCAAAACAACCGTACTCACTATGGACCAGGTCATCCTTCAATAAAAGACAACTACCGAATGGAAAAACTAACAGCCCAGATTAAAAACAGTCTGCTTTCACAAAGGTTTGGCAACCATGGGAGGAATACTTAGAACACTAGCTATCCAGAAGCAGCACAACGCACTAGGCCTCTGACATAGAACGGTCCTATACCTACAAATCTCTCCAGGAGAGACTATGCCCGTCTCTTCCTCGTCCCCCTCTCCCCTTCACCACCCATCTCTTATGTCTTTCACCACTGGTTATAACATCTAAAAAAAGAGCCAGGAGATGGTGAACATTGAACACTCACAAAGCTAGCGAGCGATGCCATAAACTGGTCCTGCGGGTTGCTACAACCCTGTTGATAGCAGGCAATGTACACAGCCCACACGCACTGATCGTAAAACCATCACAGACCTACCCATTTCTGACACAATCTTGCCTACTGATAACTATGCATGATGTAAATAATTTGTCTACCAAAATAAGGATTTAACAAAACCATATGTGTAAACTGCATTGAATGTCATGTAACATCTCTTATGACTTGTATATTTCATCTTTATTGCACTGCTATGTGATGTCTAAACAATTTATAACATAAGTCTACCTGTGCTCATAAATAAAGAATATAAACTTTAAAAAAAAAATACAATAAAAAAAATAGGTAGGTTAACACTTAAGCGTTCGGAATACATGTTTGCATACCTAATTCTATAGTGTTCCTTAAAGTTGATAAATTTTATTTATTTATTTTTGCAGTTTCACTGTGGTATAGAAAATTGTTTCCTACCATTGATCGGCAGCTGAAGACCTCATAGTTTATATTGCAGCGTGTTTAAAAATGACATAGTAATATGCTTCTTTCTAAAGCTAGTGATATCTGATGAATCATTTTATAATTTATCTTTGCAGACAAAAATATACATATACAGACACTGGGCGCTTCCCAGGAAATGGATGAGAATAACAGGATGCAATATTTTTAAGAATCTCTTTACAGAAAAAAGGACAGCTGGGATGGGGGTGGGGAAGGCTGTATCAAATTCTTCACCAGATTCACCAAAGCATAGTTTTTGGAAGACATTTCTAATGGTTACATATAATCTTTATCTATTCTATAGATAAAAAAAAATAAAATGGAAAAATTGCCCCTTTTAAGTTCTACCTCTCTTTCTCTATGGGTTATGCCCTCAATCTTTGGGAGACTGGAGAAGGTCGGGGTTCAGGTGTTTCAGAACAGTTTTTGAGCAGGAGGAGATAATCTAACATGATTTCTTGCTTGAGAACGACCCACTTATGTACAGGGACATTGTTAGGTATCTTCAACTGTAAACCAAGCAGCACAAATTTGCTTACAAATCTATTGTACTTTAAAACACTAGGGTGTGGCACAGTGTCCAAAAAATGCTACATTTTCCTTTCAGAAGATGACCATTGTAAACACAGTCGAGACACCACCATCAGCTTTAAACTACGGTAAAGAGCTGACCCTTCTCTACACTTCCAAAAAATATGTGCGTGCTATCCACAACGGACGATGAAAGTACACATTGACAGTGTTTGTCAAGGGAAAGATTGCACAAATCCAAAAACTCATCCAAGTGCATTGTTAGTTACAGCAAATAAATGTTGGGATTAGATTTTGCTGATCAGTGCAGTACAACCATATGTGGTTCACAGCAAAAAACACTAGTGGCAGTCTACATAATCCATATGTGCTGTACAAAAAGCAGACACAGGAAATCCATATACTTACCTGGAATTTACACTAAGGCTTTTAGCAGATATTTTGTTTTACTTGCCCCCTAATCCTACCAAATTTGAATTGGCAAATGTCCAGGGACTTTTCAGCAAGTAATTTACTTGCAGGACCCCCAACCTTTGAAACATTACCGCAGAAAAAGTGGAGTCTGTTACAAAAAAAGGAGTTAAGAGGCACCCTAGCTACCATTACATTAACTGAAAACAGTCTGTAACAGGGAGCCAGATAGAGATGGCAGAGTTTATCATGCAAAAGTTAACTATGGAGTCAACTGACTTATTGGTTATTCTGTATTCCTCGACTTGCTCTGGCTACGCTTTGTCAGCTGCCTATATTGACTTAACCCCTTAAGGACCAAACTTCTGGAATAAAAGGGAATCATGATATGTCACACATGTCATGTGTCCTTAAGGGGTTAAAGCGGCACTATCACCCCACCCCCCTTTTAAAATGAGTATTTTATAAAGATACAATCTTTAAGAAATATACATACTGACTGTGTAGGAATTTTAACTAAATCAAAAGAACTACTTTGTCTCAGAGCTAGACACTGGGTGGAGTTACCACTTTATATGCATATCACTTTAGTGTGGCTGTGTCCAGTGTCTTCTATTGATAAGAAGGTATGTGTGTGTTTCCTTATGCTCTTCCAAATTTTGAGTGGTGATAATTTTTTCTGTATCATGAGTGTTGTCTCACAATCTACATTTTAATTTCCCATGGGAATAGGACCCACTACTCCTCCTGCATTTGTTTGTCAAATGTTTTATTGTCTCAGATGTATTGTGCCTTTTGTCTTTTTGTTTGTACTAATTGTACCCATATTCTGCGCTTCATAATTTGCTGGCGCTTTATAAAGTACGATGATGATAATCAGGCTTCCATCACATCAATAAGATCATACTGTTTATCTTTTGACTATTTTTACCAACTACTTTTACTTTTTTTTTTTTTTTTTGGTTAATCAAGATTCTACCTGTTTTTAAGCAGACACCTGACATTTTGACCAATCTCTAACTTTTCAAACATTGTTAAATGTTCAATCTGCCTTACTTAGATGAGAGGCTAAGAAACATTTTTCAGGCAACCGTTTGTCTTTCACAGACCATGGCAGCCTCAAACATTGGCATCTTATGAGATGTTTTAACTTACAGGAAGTAAACACTGACTTTGCTATCATTTTAATCACCTATTAGACAATCTAATTGATGGCCACAGGTAGACAGGATGGATGTGTTCAGTCTCTGTTGTTTGCTCTCTTGACCCAGAGGAAGAGTCTGACGTGAAAGCCTCAAATTACTTTTTTGTTATCCCAAGCTAAGGGAAATTGAAGGAGCCTTCTGTGTATATAGCAGAAGTCTCTCATAGCTTCCTAGTTACAGGGTGTTGTCCTCTTTGAATATGTTGAGACAATATATATATTACACAAGAATGCAGCAGCACAGTTATACATACAAATGATGTCCCTGGATGGGGCCTAATTGATATGTAAATCGATGTGGCCTTCATTGGCTCTGTAATGTGTTTTGTTTAGTTTTTTTCTCGATAACTCTTTACAGAGAGAATATGTACAGTTAAATGGTCACTCTAGCACCATCACAATTCTGCATACATGCAAAGTTGATGGGGCATAGCACCCTGCAGCCATTCTCCGCTCTAAAAGTGGCTTTGAAATGCAGCGATCTTAACAAATATCTACCTTTTAGAGCTGTCAGACATGTTGTATGTGCAAGTTCTGTCTAGAGGAGCAAAAGAGTGCACATTCATCCTACATGATAAAGTGGATAAGGGGATAAACCACTTAAAGTGGCACTGTCATGCCAAACTTACCTTTCGTTAATCGATTCCTCTTTCCCCTCTCTCAGGATCTGTTCTTCATTTCTTCCTGTCTGCTCTAGTTTTCTTTAAAACATAAGACAAAGTAGGGACTCCGCCTGACCATCTCTGACCAGCGGAGGAGCAAAAGCAAAGTGTGCTTCATTTCCTGTGGTCAGAGAAAATTTCCCCACAATTCTCACCTTTCCCGTGTTCCCGCAAAGACTCCTTTCACTTTTCCCGAACGGCCTGTCCTGTAGACAGAACACCAGCAAAACTACCGAATTGCATCCTAACAGAATGAGAACAGTTTCTCCTTTTGTGTTGGGGCGCAATTCGGGACTTCTTTCGTATCGGAAATTCATTCATATACCGCAAGTAGGGGCATGTCTACTAAGCAGTGAGCACCCATGTGCCAGTGGCCTCAATGGGTGAAGATGGATTATTTTTCAAAAATGAGTGTCAGCGCTATATTTGATAACCTTACATTAGGCGATCAGTATGAGTATGGAAACCAGCAACTTATAACTGTGGGTTGATAATATAAGTATCAGACCATATGTACCACAATAAGTTTGATTACACACACACAAAAATATATACAAAACTTGTTCAAGGGTCCAAAAGAGTCCTGGGTGAAAGTCTTTAAGGGGCTAATCTTGTCTTGCAGCAGAGATGTAACCTCTACGGATACACTGTAGCTCAATGAGGAGTGTGCCTTTAAAAGGATACAAAAAAGCTTTCCATAGCATAATACTGCTATTTATTCATATAAAAAGATTCTCTCTCCCTCAAATAGAAACCCCTACATCATCTAGTGGTGGTACTCGTTTCCAAGATACCACATATACACTTAAATGAATCAGAGGCTTGACAGCCGTTTACCGTCCACGGTCACTGCAGTGCAAAATCCTGCCCGATCTCAGTGCTGATGAGGCAGAGTGTTCGTGCAGACAGGAGACCTTAGTTTGGAATCAATGTTTGTCAGGCTGTAATCCTCAGACCTCTTTTTTTTTTTTTTTACTGCATTGAGCTGTTATATTGCATTAAAAATGTAGGGGTTAAGTTTACCCCATAGTTTCTCTTTGCAACTTCTGCCTATTTTTAAAAGGAACTTTCCACATTTCCGATACTGGGACATTTTCAGGACAAAGTGCTTATGGTAGATTTACTAATGGGAACTTTACTAATATGTAGCTTTACTAATGGTCTCTATAGTGATTGCTCCATTTTGGTTGTGCTTTAATAGTGGTTCTTTGTTTACAGTTTCACAGACTGCTGTGACGGAAATCATTGGTATATTAGCCAGATGTTTCTCCTCTGTAATAATAGAAAAGGAAAAAAAAACACAGATTTAACTCTGTTTACTAATATTCACTATGAGCAGAAACAGTCCTGCTTGCTTTATTGGGCAGTCCATGGTTAATGCAAATATAAATGCTTTATCACCTGGATTTCATGGGAGATTGGCTTAATTACTAAACTGGAAATTGACATGGTACATGAATGTCATGCTCTTATTTAGAGCTTTTCCTGTTGTAATGGAACTGCTATTGTCAGTTTTTTTCTAGTTTCAGTAAATTCATCTTTTAATTTTCCTATTGATATCCATTGGTTTAAATAGCAGACGCCCAGAAGTGTATTGAGTGGTACTTGCTGCAAATGTTTGACAAAGTAAACTAATGCTAAGTTTTGCCTCGGTTGCTGTGTGTGTTGAGCAATGCTAGAGCCATAAAAATTGAAAATATGATGGCAATGGATGTGAGTGTCTGTATATGATCAGCCAAATATCTTTACATGGCGCATGGTCCTTGTTCATCCTTTAAGGCTGGGTGGCTGTGCATGCAGCAATGAACAACCTATTATTATTATTATTATTATTATTATTATTATATATTTAAAGGCTTGGCCTGTAGTTGTGGGATGGGCTTGAATTCCCTTTAAAAGGGCTGCCAATACACTCCCACCTTACCGTTGCTGGTCTGGCGAGTCTGAAACGTTTTACTTCCGGTTCAGATTGCCATCTTGGATTTTCCTTACATGTTTCCTCGTGGTCTCCTGGTCCGGTGCTTCCCTGGCTCTCCTTCCCGTTGCCGGCGTCTGCACAGCCCGCTCGTTACTTTACCGCCGCGAAAAAACGTAAGTCAGGCCCGCCGTAAAGCAACCGCCGCATAACTTCCTTGCAGCGTTCAGTTCTTTTCCATTTCATGCATTATGCCATTCGGCTAATTCCCTCATCTACCCACATGTTTCACGTTTCCTAATCTAACGAACGCTATCATTCAGTTATATACATATAACTTCTTTCTGTTCGGTTTTCGAATACCACTTAGGATGTATCTATTCGTATGTTTCAACACTCTACCTAGTTCTTTCAGTAATTACAACAAACTCCCGAATAAGCACGAATTCAGCCGGTACTCCATGGGGATTTTGCCCCTACTGGTTACAAACGTTATAACAGTCACTTATAAAATTCTACTAAAGTAAATATAAATGTTTAAACCTGGATGATGTGTCCTGATTTTCCTGACTTTTTTTTCCCACAGGTTCATACTAGGGATTCGTACTAGGAATTGTGATTTCTGATACTTGTATCAATTATATTTACTTCTAGGTTGGGGAATTTAATTATGCATTCAATCTGAAGGCCAATGATACAGATTAAAATAGTTAAGTATTAAATAGGTAATTATGAGACTCCTGAGACGACGCACATGGGTAGCGGCCTCCTGTCAATTCTTTATCACATGTATTCACGTTCCGGGGTGCACAAACATTGGTGCTGATAACTTGTCTCGATTTCTTCACAACACTACCCTCCGCTTCCAGACTGGCAACTCCTGCCCCACTCTTCCGAGACATAATGGATTAAAAGCTTTTATATCATGCACGTCACATTTCTCACCTTGCACTTTCAGTAAACACTAGAAACACATACGACAGGGCTTTTCACGTATTCAAGAAATTCATCACTGAATTCCACATCCACGACATGTTTACGTTGGAATCAATACTGGGTTTTACTTCTTTTTGCAACCTTAAATTATAATTCAACACTATAAAATTGTACCTTAAGGCATTCAACACCACATGCTTATCCAACAACCCAACGCTACAGGTTTCCTGTCCTCATATCAAATTAAGACAGTACTTAAAGGCATTAAAAAATTGGACACACATGTCCCATCACAAAGACTATCCATAGACAACAACATATTCCATTCACTAAGCAATTTATTAGATTCTTCTCCTTTCGAACCCATAACCAATATCGTAATAAAGACGGCTATATATTTAGCATTTTATGGGTTCCTCCTACCCAACAAATTCACGACTAGGACCATTACAACCTCCGACTACCTAAGAACTATGGACTTGCAAAAACATAACGACAATTACTTACTAATTTTAAAACAATCTAAAACCAGCACCATCGGTCATACTACTGAAATCCCCTTGTATCCTACTCATGACAAATGTGCCCCGTACAAGTTTTTGATGCTTATTTACTCTCACTCCCCAAACAACCTGTACAACCTTTGTTAGAACTACATGGAAACATTCTGACTACAACATAATTTATGCTCTATGTACGTCTACTGTTCACTAGGCTCGGTCTAAACCCCAATCATTTCTCAGGTCATTCTTTCCGAATTGGGGCAGCATCTACAGCATCTGCTAATCACGTACCCACTCACATTATCAAGGCAATGGGACGCTGGAAGTCCTCAGCCTACACCCTCTACATACCTAATCCTGTTAAAGACAAGCTTTTTGTGACTTATCTAAATAAATATAAGTTTGTTAACCGTATTACGTCTTATGGTATTTTCTTTTTGCCCACTTTTATTACAGGCCTACTGCTTTGTCGGTTCCAGCACTCCACAACTGACTGGTTCCAACTCATTGATGTTATGATTATTATAAGCTAGATTATTATATATGGCATAATATATGCCTCAGTTTTTTATTTTTTTTATTTGGTAGTTTTTAATCCCTGAGCTGAGCCAATAATTAATCACAGTGTGATTCTGGTGGAAACCACTTCTTGGAGCAGGCACCTGACATACAGCAGGCCCCACACAATTGCTCACAATGAGTTGTTTACTTTTGTGTCCCTGTCTTCCCCAGTGTAGTGAAGGTGTTTTGCAAAATGAATTTGAAGAATGGGACTCTCAGCTAGCACTCCAACTAAAGATTGAGTCGCCAAACCATGGGTCCATTTTGGGTCCATAACCAAAAAGGTCACAAACTACTAGTGTATTTCATTAAAAAGAATGAGTAGCATTTTGGGCAAATGTACAAATGAAGGCATAATATTTATAAACTTAATCTTGTAATCTTTTGCCCTGTGCTTTATATGTACCAGTACATGTATATATCCTTATTGGTTAGATGTGAACCCAAGATGTACAAATGCATACATTCTAAGAGCACAAAATAAAATGTGCTATTTATGACGGAACTATTTTAGCTAACTTTATTGCAACAGGGTTCTACAAAGCATGTAGAAAAAAGTTGTCAATTGAATCGAGAATATTATGTTTGCAGGCCTCCCAAACGTCCTGATATCAGCAGGACAGTCCTGATTTTTTGGTCATGTCCCACTTCCTAACCAAGTTCCCTTGTGTCTCACTTTTGGGGAGACCATGTAACGGTCCCCAACAAGCATAGGGCGAGTGCATCATTAGATGCGCTTGCGCTGTGTTCAGTAAAGGGGGCTGGGCAGTGAAGTGATCTCGTCACTGGCTCTGCCCAAAGAGAGTCGGCCTGTCTAGGAAGGAGCAGACTGTGTCCACCTAAATTGCCCAGCCTGCCGTGAGTGTGTGCCAGGGCAGACCTTGCAGGAAGCACTGTTTCATTGTTCCCTGCTGAGTCCTAGTGCACTGAACACAGCGCATCTAATGATGCGCTTGCCCTATGCTTGTTGGGGACCGTTACATGGTCTCCCCAAAAATGAGACACAAGGGAACTTGTTTGGGACAGTGGGACATGACCTGAAAATCAGGACTGTGCTGCTGATTTTAGGACGTTTGGCAGGCCTGCAAACATAATATTCTCAATTCAATTTACATCTTTTTTTCTACATGCTTTGTAGAACCCTATTACAATAAAGTTAGCTAAAATATGTCCATCATAAATAGCACATTTTATTTTGTGCTCTTAGAAAACAATAGTGTGAAATTATACTGAACAGCTAGGACAGCATGCCAGGAAATATGGCTGTGTGCAGCTTTGCTTGAGTTTCACATTTGGGATTCTTAATTGGTTTCAGAATAGCTTGTTTCATGTTTTTTCTGTATTTGTTCCAGCCAGTTGTGTGAGCTTCCTGGGCAAAATAGTACTATTATGTCATAAGACCTTTTGAAACTGTTTGTTTGCATTTTGAAGTGTACCTGTTATGGTACACTCAAGTTAAGTTTTATTTTTAAGAACATGCCATTCTATATATTTTGCTAGCAGAGATTTGAGTTGTAAGCTATTTAAAATTTTGGCTCCTTCCTCGCTTGTCAATAAAATCCTTGGTGTTAGACCTGTGTGTTCACAGCACAAACTGTCCAATGCCAAGGACTGAGTGACAGGAAGAGCAAGAGAGCCCATGCCAGACAGTTCTTGGCTCCCTGTCAAACTGCTGCTTCCCCAGGAGGCAATACTCACACTTGCTGGGATATTTAACTTGGACAAATGTCTACAACAGACAAGGGCAGCACAGGAGTGGGAGTGTTACAGCACTGTAACATCCATGGCCCTTCTGGGATGGTGGCTCTGGAACGAAGGATTGCAGATAAGTAATGATATAGCAACTCCTAAATTACAAATTATGATTTATCATGATTTTATATGTTAGAGTGCACCAGTTTGTTTTAAATGAAGTTAGAACAAAACACTTATATGCTGAATTGTTTCAGGGGGAAGTGATCATTTGTACTAAGTTTCCACTATATACGCACTGAATTTTGACAGCATATATACTTTAGATACAATATTTTAAAGGTACATTAGATATAGTTAGAAATACTTTTCTGTCTTTATTTTATGTCAATGTAGAAGACCTGTAAGCTGTAGCAACATTTTATTTATTTATTTTTTTAAAAATAATGTGAACTAGATAGGGAGCAGCATCATAGCAACATCATGTGCCATTAAAGGACCACTATAGTGCCAGGAAAACATACTAGTTTTCCTGGCACTATAGTGCCCTGAGGGTGCCCCCACCCTCAGGGTCCCCCCTCCCGCCGGGCTGGATGGCGAGGAAGGGGTTAAACTTACCTTTTCTCCAGCGCCGAGCGGGGAGCTCTCCTCCTCCTCTCCGCCTCCGATCCCCCTCTTCGGCTGAATGCGCATGCGCGGCAGGAGCTGCGCGCGCATTCAGCCAGTCTCATAGGAAATCATTTACAATGCTTTCCTATGGATGCTGGCTTCTTCTCACTGTGATTTTCAAAGTGAGAAGCACGAAAACGCCTCTAGCGGCTGTCAATGAGACAGCCACTAGAGGCTTTTGAGGCTGGATAAACCCATTTATAAACATAGCAGTTTCTCGGAAACTGCTATGTTTATTAAAAAAATAAAGCGGTTAATCCTAGAGGGACCTGGCACCCAGACCACTTCATTAAGCTGAAGTGGTCTGGGTGCCTAGAGTGGTCCTTTAATTGAGTTACTGGGCACAGTAAAAGAACCCTCATCTCGTTGACAATCACAACTACTCTACTCCCTACTCTACTAGGTGCTGTAATTTATTTATCTAGCATTAAAGTGTCATTCTTTGCTAGCGGAATATAAAATGAAAGAGTAACAGATGTCACTCATCTGGTACATGGGGGATGTTACATTTAGAGTGATTTTTTTTTTTTTTTTTAAACCAGAGCATACACCTTTTGGAATAATATACATCAGGCATAGGCAACCTTCGGCACTCCAGATGTTTTGGATTACTCCTCCCATGATGCTTTGCCAGCATTATGGGTGTAAGAGCATTAATAGGGTTTTAGTCCACAACATCTGGAGTGCTGAAGGTTGCTTATCCCTGATATACATGTTAAGTGCAAAATAGAGCACCTAATATTCATAGGTGTGAACATGGGGTGTGCACAGGCACTCCCTAATGCAGTTGGAGTGTCAGCTGCTGCATGAGCTGGCAGGCATATTAATAGACATTCCTGACCACCCCAGCACTCATTACTATAAGGGAACTTGTGATCTGCACTTCGCACTATTGCAATGACTAAATTCTTCCTCACTGTCCTGAACCAGAAAGAGCTTTTAAAGTGATTTGCACCAGTGAAAATTGCAGACCATGAGCTCCTCCAAGGGAGCCATATAGGATCCCTACTAGACTACCAGATAGGACCTTTGTCCAAAAGTAGGATGTAGAGGCAAAAAAGCTTATTTTTAGGTTTGTTTTTTTAACATTGTAATTCATGTGGAGTAAAACACACACAAGCTCCTACTCATAGCACATTCATTTACCCAAGCTAACCACCCAGATCAACACATATTCATAGCTACCAACACACATCTTTCACTGGTACCCACACACAAGAAAACACATCCATCACGCCTACCCACACACAGAAACACACAATACCTACTGGTACCCACACATCCCTCTCTACTATTCACACAAAACACATTATGCACAGCGACACACATCATTCACAGCCATCCAAACATATCACTGCTACTTGAACAAAGCCAAAACCAACATCACCCACAGCCAGCCATATACAAGGTATGCAGATAGCCACAACAGACACAGTCATGATCCATCCACACGCAGTTGTTTAATATATAACATTAAAAAAGAAGCACTCCTGGGTGCACACCCTAATGAAAAGTGCTGCTCACTCCTATGTCTACATTCATGGGGATGTAGCCACTAAACACTGAAATTTGGTGAATTTAAAATAGAATTGCAAGATGTAGGCCAAAAGTGCTGATGTGGAAAGATTCCCCTACTGTGCTGTAGTCACTACTTAGTTATGCAATGGATGTCACAAACAGCAGCAGCCAGTCTTGGTTTAAATGTCTGTCTGGAAAGCTTTTTTTTTTTTTTTTTTTTATTCTTTATTTGTAGGTTTTTTTCATGCAGTTATGTATTCAAGTGGTGGGTACAGAATAAAGAAAGAGGGTGGGGGAGATGTTACATTTGAACAGAGTACAATTTTGTATTGTTTTCAAGATTAACATGTGCATGCCTTTAGTTTGTTTCGAAGCGTGCAGTTCTGGTTGCTGAGCGTTTCAGGTACTGGCATGCTAGGTAGCATGGGAGATTTGGCGCCAGGTGGATCGATGGGTCTGGTAAGCGGTTTTGTTGCTATAATGGTACTCTTAGCCTTTTGGGGGCTGAAGTATAGCAGAGTCAAGGGGTTGGGAGGAAAGGTTGTGGGAGAGCTATTTTTATTTTTTATTTTTTATTTTTTTTTTAGCATGGATTGCTTTTTTAAAATGTATTTATTTCGCAAATTGGACAATTGCCAGAGCTTCTCTCTTCACCTGTCCCCCTCAGCTTGCGTTTACTTCTAGTATAACAGGTCTAAATCAGCTGATAAGCAAAATACAGTTTGAAGATTGCTACTTTTGTATACAAAAACAATGATGAAAGGAAAGAGAACCTATTTAAAGAGACACTATAGGCACCCAGACAACTTCAGCTAATTTAAATGGTCTGGTTGCAGGGTCTCCTTAGTCCTTCAATGTAAAACATTGTTGTTTTTAAGAAACTGCCTCTAGTGGAAATTTTGTCTCCTCTCTCATTTCTCTCCAATATTCTCATCACTTATTCATCACATGTCCCCTCCTCTTCATTTAGCATCTTTTTTTATTTTAACAAATCCTCCCTCTCTCAATTCTGCTTGGTTATTTCCACTTGACCTGGCTTATTTGGTCTGATCTAGTGCAGTAGCTACTAGCCTGGCCTATTAGTTACACTCCTCCAAAAATGCCCATTTTTTTGTTTGTATTTGTTAAGGACATTCAGTTTTTGTCATTAGCTCTCCATCACCCATGTCACACCATGTCCTCTCCATCTAATAACCTATTGCATAATGCAAAGCGTGCCACCACAAACTTCAATTCTGAACTATTGTTAACATTTGGAAGAGGAGGTAAATAAATATATATACATAATCACTCAAATCAACTGAGACTGCTGCATGGAAACCAGTAACCGCAAACCTGTAGTGCAAGTATATATGTTTCACTTAGCATGAACTTGTGATTTTAGTATAGATTACATTTTTGTTCCTTTCAAGAAGACCATGTCATCCACGTGTTTAATGAAAGATTGGTCCACTTTTCCAACGTTTTCTGCTTTAAAGCAAAAATGGTTCTATCTTAGGGGACTCTTTGTTCTATATTTCTTTCTTTTAAGACCGCAGTATAAATATACCTCTATCAAAGGGACATGCATCAGTTGACAATGATGTTTTTAAACCAGCATGCAAACACTTTGAAACAATTATGCAAATCAAAACGAAGCAAGACAAATATTGAGAAGTATGTAATAAACATTTATAAACTTTCTATAAACTTGGTAAAATTGTGTTATTACCTGCCCAGCTCTGTTTCAGACCATTCCACTACCTGACACCGGTGCCTGACCTGCATGGATCATGCTGATCAGACTTCCTCTCTTTTTCCACTGTAAGGATGTTGGAAGTTGAAGAAATCTTCCAACTACACATATGTAAATCTGTTTGGCATGCCAAATGTACTTTTCCAGCATTCTTAGGGATAGGGCACTGATAGGCTAGCTCAGTGCCCATCCCACCCCCTGGAGTTGGTGTGGAAAGCATAAGAAAGAAAAAGCAGGTAAATATGGGTAAAATTTTTTTTTTTCAGCTTGGTAAATGATGCAGCTGTCTCCTTCAAAGCTAAAGCTTTTGAATAAGTGTTGTTTCAAATTGATGCATGTCCCTTTAACATATGAATATGTTAAAAATCAAACTGCGTGTTTGGTTTAGATGCTTTCATTGTTTTTGTTCTCTCTCATGGCATTTTCAGTTTTCTTGTATTTCGTTAATTACAAACTCGTTGAGTATTGCAGTAAATGGAGTGTGTGTATGTATGTATGTGTGTATGTGTATATATATATATATATATATATATATATATATATATATATATATATATATATATATATATATAATATATAATATATATATATATATAATATATGTGTGTAATATAACTATTATAAGCAATGTCTCTGGCTCTGTTCTGCTTACTGATAGGTAAAATTATAACGGTTTAGGAGATTATAACTCTTCGACGCTGTAAACCATGTATACTGACTATTTCTTTCTCTATATTTTTTTTTTCCCTCCCAGGAACAATGCGATTTGTAAGAAAATCTCTCTATCCAGCAGATTCTGCACCAGCCAAGGGAATATGTTGGGAGTGGATGAATGATGAAGGTTACTGGAGTCCCTATGAGATGCCAGTTGCAATATTCCTGGAAGAAGCTTTCTGCAATCGACAGCAGTCAGTTGACCTTGCATTACTCAGACTCCAATATCATGTTGATTTCATGTCTTTCGTCCAGACAAATAAGATAACAGGTTTCAGACGTCGAGTTCAGAGGCGTATTGATACACCTTACCCATTAACTCCCAAAGTAGGGCCAGTTCATAAGTCTGCGGCCTGTGCATGTTACCAGTGCCTTGCCAGCAGTGGAGCAGGCCCTATTTCAACTCGCAATAGACACTCCATGGGTAACTTGCCAACCTCTTCAAACTACCAGAGCGCCAGTAGGACATCTCTTATATCCACCAATAATGTTGGTTATCTACCTTACCCCAAACCGACATTAACTAGTGCAAAGTCTGCTCCAAAACTGAACAATACATGGCTGCCACCATCAACATCCATGCCTTTGCCAGGGCCATCATCAACTAATGGAATCAGGTAATTTTGTGTAATGTACAAAGCCTTTTAATGACAACAAAAAATGTTTTGTTTTTTTTTAATCTATTTTTTATTTCTTTTATTTGCTTTTTAAAATTTACTTATTTTTTTGTTCTCTGGGAAAAATCCAAAGAATTAAATAGCAACCCAATTTAATGTTCTATAAGGATTAATGTGTATATTTTCAAATTGCTAGATTGTAACCTACTTTAAAGATGTAGTTCCAAATTGCTAACAATGTTTAAATGTTATTTTTGTGAGACCTGGCGAAACTGAATTTTTTCAGTTGGTTCTTATGAATGGATAATTCTAGTAGCTATAGGCCATGTGTAATCATACCAATCCATACTAGCAATAGCTGCTTTAATAGGCTGATAGTTGTCAGTTGATGCTTTCAGCCAATTGCCACCTCTTATTGCTGCTCAGACTAATGCGTCTTCATTAGCCATCTCCGCACAGAGGGGATAGGCTGCTGCAGTCTCTCGTTTAGCTTTAAAACATTAAAAGTAATTGAACTAAATGGAAGAGGAGCACTAGGGACTCAAGACACTGTAGCCATTTTAGTGAGAGGAAGCAGTGACAGTGCATGTTCTTTTAAGGGACACTATAGACTTCAAAACAACTTTAGCCTAAATAAGCAGTTTTGATGTGTAGATAATGGCCCTGCAGTCTCGCTGCTTATTTGTCTGCTATTTGGGAGTTAAATCATGGTTTTTGTTCATGCAGACCTAATGATTCTATTGTGCCAGGAAAACTAGTTTGTTTTCCTGGCACTATAGTGGTCCTTTAAAGCGTAAGTTGTTCTCATGCCTATACTGTTCCATTAAGTAAAAATGCGTTGGCCCCTTTATTTGGTGAGAGTTTATTGCAAAAGCTGTAATAACAAGAGTTTTGGAGCAGATACATTAATTTTAACTGTCCTTTTTAATTTGTTTTTGCACATTCTTTATACATTGCATATACAATGCATTAAAGGAGTCTGTCAACACCAGAATAGAGGATCAATTTTAAGATTGTCTGTCTGTTCTAGAACAGTTTGAATGTACTTTGTTTAATCCCATTACCCCCAGATTTTGATAGTTGTATTATATTTTATCAGAGCACAAACATTGACTGGTCTAAAGGAATAGCATACATTAGAAGATACCCTTTGTGATTTAAGAAGTATGAAAATTTGCAAAGCTAAAAATGTGCCCCCAACAAGTACAAAAGTTATTTGCTGTGTTCATGCACATGCGATTTATTCTTTATGCGGTACTGACGGTTTGAAAGTTTCTGAAATTGGTGACTTCTCTTGGAAACCTGGGATTGAATTTGACTGCTCAACCCTAAAATAAAAATAAATCTAAATCTGCTGTTTGCTTTAGAAAATAATTGGACATTACAAGATTTTAGACAAAAAAAAACAAAACTGGAATTTTGTAATCTAGCTATTTTGAGATTAAATTTGTAGTTCCTTATAAATGTTCTTCCTTTCCTTGTTAAGTGAATAAACATCTATGTGCATGCATCCTACTAACCACTTCTATGGCTACAGGCCAAAAACTGCCTAAAAGCAACCAGGGATATTTACTAAAGTAAAAAAATCAAAAAGAATTTCAGTTTAGTCCAAAATACTTAGAGGACCACTTTTCACCCCCAAAACACTTCAGCTTGCTGAAGTGCTTTATGAGTGAGGAGTATCCTATTTTAACCCCGGTTTATTAAAGTGATGATTTCTATGAGAAATCAGTACTTTAATAAATAAATGTTTACCCCTTTTGCTGTCAGTAAATTATTCAGGGAGGTTTTCTTTCTCCTTCATTAGTTCCCCTGAGATAACAGAAGTGTCTATTTGAGTGCTCCTGCCTCCTCCCCCACCGATCTCCGATCATTCGTCTTCAGCTCATTCTATTCCTCCTCAGATGTGTGCACTTTCACGAACTGTCTGATCACGAGTGCACAGATTCATACTCTTCTTACTGAGAATCCTTCTGAATGTTTATTTTCCAGTGAATATACTTTTAGTCTCTTCAGGGGAAAAAAGGGGATGACTTGTAAAGGCAGCAGTTTATAGGAACTGCAGTTTTGCAAGCTCTTTTAAGATATACACCCAATTAATACATGCATGAACAAAATAATCATGCATGTATTCATTATGGCTATATCTACTAAACAGTGACTTATACTGACTGATAATAAAGGTAGTGCCAGAGATTCTAAAAACAGAGTTGTGTATAATAAAAAGATTAATAAAAAAAAAAAATCATCTCAAAAGAAAGTTAAAATAGAAGTCCAAGTGTGAATCCAAATATAAAAACTTGCTTGAAGATAAAACCTCAAAGAGTCAGGGTAGTTTCTCTGGAATGGGGTCAAATCAGAGTATTCTTGGCAGCCATATATGCAATAGAAAGAGAACTAATGGTGCAGAAAATCCCAGAATAACATAAAAGTAAATAAAACGTCTATGGTCCTACTTACAATTGATAGAGCTTAACCTAGCTCTAGTCTGAATGGCGTACAGTGGCACAATCCCCACTTATAGGATACATAGGGTGGTATAGGTAAGCGTATGTATCATCGATATGAAGATCATTTACAAAAAAAAAATATATATAAAAGAGTCCGCAATAGTGCTCACAGTATTAAAGGCACCAGGACTATAAAATAATGTATTGGTACCTACATTTAATTGGGCAGACTAACTGCTCAACGTGTAGGCGTTAAGTGGTATAATCCCCACCGTGGATTCTTTTGGAGTAGTCCTCACTGGAACTTAAAATCGAATGCCAGGTAGAAAATAATAAAAAATTAAAATGGCACATTCACAGTGGAAAGAGGCCAAAACACCTCCCTGCATGTTGCTTACACAGCCTTCCTAAACACTTCCTGTAAAGAGTCATCTAATGTTTACACTTTTTAATTGCATTCCTTTATTGCAAATTCTGTTTTAATTTAGGATTTCTTATGTCTTGCTAGACCCCGCAGGAGCCTGCTGTATGCAATTAAGGTTCAATTTACAGAGTAAGCGATAAATACAGCCAGGGGAGGTGTGGCTAAGGCTGCGTGGACTGAAACAAAAGTGATTTAACTCCTAAATGGCAGAGAACTGAGCAGTGAGACTTAGAGGCATAATCTATACACACAAACTGCTTAATTAAGCAAAAGTTGATTTGGTGACTTACTGTCCCTTTTATAAATAATAGTAAACAAATGCATTCAAACGTGTTTCATACTTAGACCGTACAAATATATTTGATGAAAACAAGTGAAGAAATGAAATGAGATGGCAATTGTATAATAATTATATTAATTGTTACTTTTTAACCCCTTAAGGACACATGACATGTGTGACATGTCATGATTCCCTTTTATTCCAGAAGTTTGGTCCTTAAGGGGTTAAATAGTGTGGTTTCAATCTTAACGTATTCCTCAGTTCACATTCTCAACAAGATGCCAGGATTTATTTCACCAAGCATATTTTTTTTTTTTTTTTAGACATAACCATCTGGAAAGAACATGTAGCTATTGAGCAGTCATGTAAAATTTTGCAATGCACTCATTAAAGAATATTTTGCTCTAGCAATGAACTTGTTTTGCCTGTTTGCTTCAGTAACCTTATTAAAAAATAAATAAAAATAAATCCCAATTAGGTCTTTAACTTTACATCTTTTGAGTAAGAATATATTCCTGGGAAATTCTCGGTTTCTGTTCTGTTTCCTAAGCTTTATTGACAGCTTGACTGTAACTATGAAAACTAAATCCTTGTTCCAGATAAATGCACTATGTGTTCTTTGCAATATTTGAATATAATTGTCATGCATTAGCACATAATACGTACAGTAGTCTAAGGGCTGATTTCAAGACGTATGGCTACAATGGCTGAAAAGTCAAAATGATTGTCAGAGTTGAAATCTTACTTATATATGTTTAGATTTCCATCTCTATAAAATGCAGGAAAGCCATTTTGTTGTTTATGGAAACAAGGGAAAATAAATGTTTCAAAATTGATTAATCTATTGTAAACTGACCATCCATGCTGTATTTGTTTTATACAGGGTTGGTGGTTAAAATACGGATTCCATGCTGTCTAATAGCTAATGTGCAAGTGAAAGCCTAAACTCATTTCAAGTAAAAGAACATGTATCAAATGGGAGCACAGTCTTGGTTATCATGTTTAGTTAGACCATACGGACACGAGTTCTATATTATCATTATTTATAAAGCTCCAGCAAATTCCACAGGACTGTACAATAGGTGGATTAACAAACAAGTATTTGAAACAAGACAGGTTGGGCGCACAGAAACCCAATTGAAAAAGAAGACAGTTTGGGCTTTTTAATATGGGCCCTTGTGAGTCTTGTTAGTTGACTGATACCTCACCAATTTCTGCCAACAATATTTTTTTCTCTCCATGTATTCCTGACCCTATTGTGTTAAAAACACTATCTAAATCCCCCTACCCTATCCCCCGAAATATAGTAAAATCGTAACTTTATTTCAGTCTGGTGATACTGGCTCTGCCCCTGATCTGCCTCCTTGGCTGACATCATCAGATCTCACACAATCCCAATACTTTCCAATAGGAAATCATTGGATTGGCTGAGATTGTCAATGAGGTAGAGCCAGGACAAGCCAAACACAGCCCTGCCCAATCAGCATCCCCTCATAGAAATGCATTGAATCAATGCATCTCTATTAGTAAAGTTCAGTGTCTCTATGCAGAGGGTGGAGACACTGAATGTCACAGCACTGCCCCAGGAAGCCGCTGTAGTAGCCATCTGAGAAGTGGCCAGTGGAGGTATCCCTAGGATGTGATGTAAGACGTGCCGTTTTATCTGAAAAGACCTAAGCTTCAAAAAAGCCTGCAGGGACTATGGTGTCCCTTTAACAGTGACTTTCACAGGTCTTACAACTAAATTTGTTGCATCTTCTGTATAACTTTTGTAGGTTTTTGGAGAACTTATAGAAACAAATTGGAGACATGTTCTAATTTTGACATGCTTGTTTTGCTTGCTTCCCAGAGATGCTGTTTGGTAAAACAAAAATATGTCACCTTACTGACCAGCGCCATACTTTGATGCTCTTTCTAAACCATACTACCCTAACACTAGATAACTATAACCCTGACCATTAAAGGAACACTTTACTGTTAGAAATACAAAGACACTAAAATGTCCCTCTGCCCACGTGGCCCCCTTCCTGTCTCTCTCCCCTCCATGAAAGGGTTAAAACCATTTTAACTCTCCTAATTCCAGCACCAATGTCCCTCAGCACTGGATTTGGGCTTCTTCTCCACCATCAGCCAATGGGGATACCTATTGTGCATGCGCGGGAAGTGTCAATTGCCACAGTTTAGACCTTTGTTATACTTTTCTGACTCTCATATAATCTTTGTGGCAAAGTTATTCTGCCTGCTTTTCATATGTTAAATTTACACTATAGGTACTCAGACCACCTAATCTCAAAGGAATGGTTTGGGTGTCATGCTCCCCCCCCGCCCACCCCTTCGATTTAAATGTGCAGCTGAAAACATTGATGTTCTACAGGAACTTCTAGTGGCTGTCATTGTGACAGATATTAGAGACACTTCTGCCGAAATAGTAGTATAAAATTCAACTATTTCAATTCCTAACAATATAGTGTTCCTTTCAGGCCAGAGTAGATGAACTGGAAGCATAGATGACTTAGTGACGTTTTTCCAGTTCACCTCGTTTGTTCTTAAATTTTAAGTTCACTCCGAATTTTTAGTTTGTAAAACTCTACATCAGGATTACTAATCTCACTGCCCCATACTAATCACTTAATTATTTTGCTCTGATGACCAAGTTCTATGTCAGGCATCCCAACTGTCCCGCTTCTGAGTCATGTTTTGCCATCTCTCTTTAGGTCCCTGGTGTCCCACATTAGGGAATACCAGAAAACTGTCCCACAGCAGTAATTATGCAAGTGGTTCATGAGACGCACATGAATAGTGCCGCAAACACTAGGACTTCAGAAGCACTCTCTGCATGGTTCTACATATAAGGGGCCAGACAGGAGGCTGGCTGGCTGTCAGCATGGTGTTTCTGACGCTCCTTGAGTGGGTGGGCTGCCCCAACCCACTATGGGCGTCACTAGTAATGTAAGTTGTATCATTGGCAACACCTTATGAAGGACCACTAGTGTAGATTCCATCCTTTGAAATGTTGGGAGGTATGCTGCCTTGTTTTTTCTGCTTTAACCCCATATGTTCGCAAAACAAAAATAGTATTTCTCACAAAGTTTATTTTTTAAAAATACTTAAAGGACCACTCTAGGCATCCAGACCACTTCAGCTTAATGAAGTGGTCTGGGTGCCAGGTCCTTCTAGGGTTAACCCATTTTTTCATAATTATAGCAGTTTCAGAGAAACTGCTATAATTATGAATGGGTTAAGCCTTCCCCCTAATCCTCTAGTGGCTGTCTCATTGACAGCCACTAGAAGCGCTTGCGTGCTTCTCACTGTGATTTTCACAGTGAGAGCACGCCAGCGTCCATAGGAAAGCATTGTAAATGCTTTCCTATGCGACCGGCTGAATGCGCACGCAGCTCTTGCCGCGCGTGCGCATTCAGCCGGCGGGGCGTAACGGAGGCGGAGAGGAGGAGGAGAGCTCTCCGCCCAGCGCTAGAAAAAGGTAAGTTTTTACCCCTTTCCCCCTTCCAGAGCCGGGCGGGAGGGGGTCCCTGAGGGTGGGGGCACCCTCAGGGCACTATAGTGCCAGGAAAACGAGTATGTTTTCCTGGCACTATAGTGGTCCTTTAATGGGAAGCTGTAGTCCCTTGCCTTGACCTCTGCTCCATCACCGCGATCACTTCAGTGAGGTCCATCCCCTTGCTCCTCTCCGATCTGCCCCTCGTGCTGCACCTCCGGTAATCCTGATTTGTCAGGCTTGAGGACATTTCCCTGAACAGAACAAAACTCGTCACTGACGCCGACATGCTGACTTTATTGCCAGTGTGCCAGCATCTGAACAGAATAATGATTTAAGCAGTCCTGAATAACAGAAATGGCAGCTTTATTGGGGCAAAAGCAGCAACGTTTCGACCCTACCTGGTCTTTATCAAGCTCATGCTAAAGACCCGGTAGGGTCAAAACGCTGCTGCTTTTGCCCTAATAAAGCTGCTATTTTTGTTATCCCGGAGTGCCTGAACCGGTATTTATTCTGCATATTTTGGAAGGGAGGCCTGGCCAGTTGTGGCTTTGTAGCACCTGGGTTGTTTCGTGAGTGTGGTATCCAGTACTTGTCTAGCATCTGAACAGAGTGTCGTCATGCCACTCAGTTCCTGAATCGCCGACTAGGGGTTTTTCTTGCAGCTTTGATAAATATCAGTTAACTGAGCAAACCGTTTTTGCTTTTTCTCACAGTGAAGGTACTTTTTGTTACTTTAGAATTCATTGGAAGTAGTGTAATGTTGTGGGGTTTTTTTGTTTTTGTTTTTTAAAACGAGCATTGCTTTTTTGAACTATAGCATTTAAAAAGTAGTGGTTAGTCTCTGTAGTTGTACAGATTAAGTGTAATTTCTGAGAATTGGCACTGTTTACATTTTGCAATGCGCATGCCCCTAGCGACTGTCCATATGAGCTTCCGATTAAAAAAGGGTCTGTAACTGAATCTACTTTATGTTCAGCATTTGCATGCAAAGTGTGTTGAGTGCTATTCTCTGAGAAGTATTGCATTCAATGTTTCTCGTAGGAAAGCAATGGATTGGCAAATTGTGGTGATTACCACATATGTGCCATATATTTGCATATCTTTGGGCAGATTTATTTTCTTTAAAAAAAAAAATGGTGGGGTCTTGCCCGGTATTCTAATCTAGGAAAGCAAGACTGCTAATTAAAAAAACAATTTACTCTGATTAGTGTTCCTTTCAGATTTGTTTTAACATTTGTCATTGTATTGTGCATTGCTTTTGATTGTTTAATTCATATTTTTTCTTCTTTTTTTCTTTGAAGGATACCATCTATACCAGTTCAGTTGCAAGCACAAAGTTTAACACAACCGGCTCTGGCAGGTAACATACAATATATTAAACCTTTTTTCTGTAAACTCGCCATTGCTATCCTACATTTGCTTAGCTGTTAAAGTCCACAGTTTAACATCTTGAACCAATATATGGAGGAATGAACATGTTTTTCTGGGACAAACTACTTAAAGGGTTACTACAAACATCATAACCATGGCAGCCTGCTGTAGTGACTGTGATGCGAAGGGTACGCTAATGCTATTGCATTGGTTCTTAAATTACCTGGTTCCCGCTGGACACTGTGCCTCCTGTCATGGCTGGCCAACTGATCCTATCAATTAACCATTGGCTGTGAACATTATCTGAGTGAATTTCTGTGCAAAGAAATGTGAACAGAATTGAGATAAGCTTGGCTAATGATGCTGATGGAGGTGGTGCAGTTAGCCTGAATATAGTTGTAATAAAGTTGTACATAGATTCCAAGTACTATAACCACATCACAACATTGATGTGGTCATGGTGTTTGGAGTAAGCATTTAATCTTGAAATGCATTCTTTGGGTTTTCATGATTATTGCTTCTTACTTAGCATTTTGTCCCCTAAAAGCATTGTTTGTGGCATGAAAAATGCTGTATTTTGCCTTTTGTGTACCTGGAGCATGACTTTGCTGTCTGTGAGACCTAACCTTCTAACAACCATAGGTTTTACTCCTGTTGAAACAAATATATAAATAGTAAATATATAAGACGTAACTCATTATATGCCACTTTAAAGCTAACCTATCAAATAAAATATCATAAATACGTCCAGAGGTTTTAAAGAAAAACATTTTAAATTAGACATCTCCCTGCCAGAAGAAGCAAGAGATAATCCACTACTGCTCATACTCTCCAACAACTTCATGGCCTTGATATTAATTTCTTTGCGTATTTACAGACTCGTAGCTTGCTTATTTTACCACATCTTGATTTGGACCATTCTATAGTCCTCCCAAAACCAGCTAGCTCATCATACTTAATGTCAGGGTCCCGCGGGCGGCTGCGAGGGGAGGCTGCAGTCCGCTCGCGGCACTCACCCTCCAGCCGTCCGCGGTCCCCCTTCAGCCGTGTGCTCGGCGGGCGGCACCCTCTCTCCCACGGGTGCCGTCCGCCTCTTCCTCTGTGTCTCCCAGCGGCAGCATGCATGACGCTGCACGCTGGGAGACTGCCCACTTTAACCAACGCCGGGGTCAGTCACCTGACCCAGCGTTAAAGACACAGTGCCTCAATCACAGTGGGAGGTTTAGATATCTCCCACGTGTGATTGTTAATTCTGATTTGGAAATTATCCAATCAGAATTAACCTTTGGATTTATATACTTACCTTTCCTGTTCCTCTTCGCCCTGTTGTGGTCTTTACGTGCTAGTATTGATTCTGAACTTGTGCTTCTGGTTACGTACTCTCTGGCTTGTTATCCGACTTTGTGACTTTCTCCTACCCTTTGACCTCGGCTTGTCTATCGTTATTCTGTCTTCTGGTTCCCCTTACTCGGCTTGTTTCCTGACTATTCTTTGTGTGCTTAGCCCGGCCACTCTAAGGTCCGGTACTGCACTTTGTGTGTGTGTGTGTTGGCGTGTTTGGTTCCCCGAATCGTGACATTACAACAGGGCCATAATGGAACCTGCTGACATACCACAGCTCCTAGTTAATCAGGAGGCTAGAATGGATGGCTTGGACCACCGTATGGACCAGTTTGCCCAAGCTTTACAAACCATACTGGCTCGTACTGCACACTTGCAACCTGCCGTCCAGGAGGCTGCTGCTGCTGTGCCCGAACCCATTCCCACTCCGGTACCCGTTCCTGCTCATGTTGTTCACATGACACCGCCACAACGCTACAGCGGTGACCCAGCATTGTGTCGTGGTTTCCTTAACCAAATTGACATCCATTTGGTGATGAATCCACGTTCCTATCCCACTGACAGATCCAAAATTGCCTTTTTGATTAACCACCTGTCCGGGAAAGCTTTAGCATGGGCTAACCCCATGTGGGAGAATACATCTCCTATGTCCTTTGTGGATTTCTTGACAGCTTTCAAACGTACGTTTGATCAACCCGGTAGGGTTGCCTCTGCTGGCAAAGCTCTGCTTAGGGTACGACAGGGTAATAGATCTGTAGCGGATTATACTATCGAATTCCGCACGCTAGCAGCTGAAGTGGTTTGGAATAATGATGCCCTCGTAACAGCCTTTCAGGAGGGTTTGGCCGCCTACATACTGGATGAAATAGCATCCAGGGAATTGCCTGTTCTTCTAGATGATGTCATAGATTATATCATTCTTATTGATAACCGTATTAGAGAGAGGCGTAGTCAAAGACGGATGGATACACGGGCATTACCTGCTCCCTCCTCTACTGCTTTACTAGCACTACCCGCTCCTAGTCAACCAACCGCCGAACCCATGCAATTGGGTGCTACGGGGCTAACTGAGGCTGAAAGAGCATATCGTAGAAGGGAGGGGTTATGCCTTTATTGTGGAAAGAGGGGGCACCACTGTAATGCCTGCCCTAAGTTACAGGGAAACTACAGCACCTAAGGCCTAGAGAGGGGTCGGCCTCGGGTGTTATGACTTTGTCCCCTCATGTGTCCATCTCCAGACCGTTTATTACGGTTTCTCTTTTGGTCAATAAAACCACCATAACCACCAAAGCCTTGATCGATTCAGGTGCGGCAGATAACCTTATGGATGAGAACTTCGCTAAAACCGCAGCCTTAACATTGATCCAAAAGGCCACACCCTTGGTCGTTGAGGCCATAGATGGTAGACCACTTGAGAAACCTCTGGTGACCCATGAGACCCAAGAAATAGTGATGTCTGTAGGTGTTTTGCATAAGGAAAGGTTAACCTTCCAAATAATTGACTCCCCTACTGCTTCCATCGTTCTGGGTTTTCCCTGGTTAGTGAAACACAACCCTGTTCTCGATTGGGGTTGCTTGGATATACTATCCTGGGGGGAATCCTGTCAACGAGATTGTATGGCTCATGTACGTCCTATTTGTTTACTCAACGTGCCCGCGGCTAAACCACTCTCTGTTTCTGTCCCTTCTGTATATGCAGACCTTGCACTGGTTTTTGAAAAGAGGGAGGCAGATAAGCTACCTCCACATCGTGACTATGACTGTGCCATAAACCTATTACCGGGCACTATGCCCCCTAGGGGTAAGGTCTACCCTCTTTCTGAGAAAGAAAACCAGGTCATGGAGGAGTACATACGAGAATCCTTAAGGAAAGGTTTTATTAGAAGGTCCTCCTCTCCTGCTGGTGCTGGTTTCTTTTTTGTGGCAAAGAAGGAGGGCGATTTGAGGCCGTGTATAGACTACAGGGGTCTGAACAATATAACGGTTAAAAACGCCTACCCTATCCCCCTCATCACTGAGTTGTTTGATCGCGTTAAAGGTTCTAAGTACTTTACTAAACTAGACCTCAGGGGGGCTTATAACCTTATCCGTATAAAGGAGAATGATGAGTGGAAGACAGCGTTCAATACGCGTAGTGGGCATTATGAATACCTGGTCATGCCTTTTGGACTGTGTAATGCCCCTGCTGTGTTTCAGGATCTCATAAACGATGTCCTTAGGGATCTATTGCATGTCTGTGCCGTGGTGTACCTTGACGACATACTTGTATATTCTCCTGATTTGAAGTCACATCATAAACATGTTAGGATGGTGCTTAAAAAATTATTACAGAACGGACTTTATTGTAAGTTAGAAAAATGTCTGTTCGATCAGACCTCTGTGCAATTCCTGGGATATATAATTTCTGAACAGGGTTTTAGTATGGATCCTGCTAAATTGGAAGCTATACTGTCCTGGCCACTTCCCCAAGGACTTAAGGCTATCCAGCGTTTTATAGGTTTTGCTAACTATTATAGAAAATTTATTAAAAACTTCTCACCACTTACCTCCCCTATCACAAAGCTGACTAAAAAAGGTCTACACCTTAGGGTTTGGACTCCTGAAGCCCTTAAAGCCTTTGAAACTCTCAAGAAAGCATTTGCCTCTGCTCCAGTACTACACCACCCTAATCCTTCTCTTCCCTTTGTTATGGAAGTAGACGCTTCTGAATCGGGGGTGGGAGCAGTACTATCACAAAGGTTATCGTATGACGAACCCCTCCATCCCTGTTGTTTCTTTTCTAAAAGGTTGTCTGATCCAGAAAAGAATTACGATGTTGGGAACAGAGAACTATTAGCTATTGTGTTAGCTTTTAAGGAATGGAGGTACTTATTAGAGGGTTCTAGACACAAAATTATGGTTCTAACAGATCATAAGAACCTCTCCTATATAGCCGATGCTAGAAGGTTGTCCGCCCGACACGCTAGATGGTCTCTATTCCTTTCGCGATTCCAATACATTATTACCTATAGACCTGGTTGCCGTAATGCCAAAGCTGACGCTATCTCTCGACAGTATGAACCTTTAGAATTTGTTAACCCAACCCCTGAACCTCTTGTACCAGCTTCTCAGATCATAGCTGCTACCCGTTTGGTTGTTTCATCTCCCTTCCTTGAGAATATTAAGACATACCAAACCCAAGCGCCTCAGGAGACGCCTGTTGGTAAACTATACGTGAAAGTAAGTGACAGAAAAAAGTTAACAACATTATTTCACACTGCCAAAACTGCTGGTCATCCGGGGGTTACCAAGACTTATAAGAGCCTCCTTCAACAGTTTTGGTGGCCTTCACTCAAGCGAGACGTAGTGGATTTTGTTCAGGCTTGTCGGGTTTGTACGCAGTGTAAGTCTCCTAATATGAGACCCCAAGGCCTACTGATGCCTCTATCTATACCCAAGAAACCATGGACCCACTTGTCCATGGATTTTATTGTAGACCTTCCTCCTTCTGATGGTCAGACGGTGATATTAACTGTGACGGATAGGTTCTCTAAGATGGCCCACTTTATTCCACTTAAGAAACTACCCTCTGCGATTCAGCTTGCCCAGGTGTTTGCCAAGGAAGTGTTCCGCTTGCATGGGGTACCTCAGGATATTGTTTCTGACAGGGGCCCGCAATTTGTCTCTCGGTTTTGGAGGGGCTTTTGTGCTGAGATGGGGGTCTCCTTGTCGTTCACTTCCTCCTATCACCCGCAATCTAATGGTGCAGCCGAACGTGCTAATCAGTCTGTGGAATTGTATTTGCGCTGCTTCACTAATGCGCACCAGGACGACTGGTCTCGCCTTCTTCCGTGGGCTGAATTTGCCAGGAATACGGTGTCTCATTCGTCTACTGGCTTAAGTCCTTTTGAGGTTGCTTATGGGTTCTGGCCTTCTGTCCTTCCCGGAGCGTTCTCTGACAAGGGAATGCCCGCCTTGGACCAGCACCTCGCCTCTTTACGGAAGACGTGGGATCAGGTCCATATTGCGCTGTCTCATTCAGCAGCTGCTCAGAAGAAGTTCGCTGATCGCCATAAGGGTGCGACCCCTTCTTATGCTCCGGGTGATAGGGTGTGGTTGTCCTCCAAGAACCTCCGTCTCAGGGTCCCCTCGATGAAGTTTGCTCCCAGGTTTCTTGGTCCCTACAAAGTGTTACGTAGGATTAACCCCGTTTCCTACTCCCTGGACTTGCCTCCTTCCATGCGTATTCCGCACACGTTTCACGTTTCGCTTTTGAAGCCCTTGCTGTGTAACCGGTTCTCTCGTCCTCTCGGACGGCCCGTTTCCCCTCGTACTGTCTCTAGTGACGTGTTCGAAGTAGCTGCCCTTCTCGACTCTCGTGTTTCTAGGGGTCGGCTGCAATACCTGGTGGATTGGAAGGGTTACGGCCCTGAGGAGCGGTCTTGGGTTTCGAGCTCTGATTTGCACGCCCCCTCTTTAGTCCGCTCCTTTCATGCCCGGTTTCCTTTGAAGCCTTCTGCTTCCCGCCCTCCGGGCGGTCTTCGAGGGGGGGTACTGTCAGGGTCCCGCGGGCGGCTGCGAGGGGAGGCTGCAGTCCGCTCGCGGCACTCACCCTCCAGCCGTCCGCGGTCCCCCTTCAGCCGTGTGCTCGGCGGGCGGCACCCTCTCTCCCACGGGTGCCGTCCGCTCTTCCTCTGTGTCTCTCAGCGGCAGCATGCATGACGCTGCACGCTGGGAGACCGCCCACTTTAACCAACGCCGGGGTCAGTCACCTGACCCAGCGTTAAAGACACAGTGCCTCAATCACAGTGGGAGGTTTAGATATCTACCACGTGTGATTGTTAATTCTGATTGGAAATTATCCAATCAGAATTAACCTTTGGATTTATATACTTACCTTTCCTGTTCCTCTTCGCCCTGTTGTGGTCTTTACGTGCTAGTATTGATTCTGAACTTGTGCTTCTGGTTACGTACTCTCTGGCTTGTTATCCGACTTTGTGACTTTCTCCTACCCTTTGACCTCGGCTTGTCTATCTTTATTCTGTCTTCTGGTTTCCCTTACTCGGCTTGTTTCCTGACTATTCTTTGTGTGCTTAGCCCGGCCACTCTAAGGTCCGGTACGGCACTTTGTGTGTGTGTGTGTTGGCGTGTTTGGTTCCCCGAATCGTGACACTTAATAAACTCACTTTACTTTCAAATTCAACCCAGCGTAGAACATACAGTCAGTCGTACAATCAATTTTATCTAGCTGGCTAAAATATTTTCCAAAACTAACTCACGACAATATCAAAACGATGACAGTCACACTATGTGAACATCTCCCATCAGTATCATACCAGATCCAACTCCACACATATTACTCCTCACAGAAAAGTTTCTGCTAAAACAAGAGATACAAGATTCAGCTGATTGTTCAAAGTATGGGTCGAACATAGCAGACCTGTATCACGTTTTTTGGGGATATGTGCAAATTGAATCATTCTGGAGACAAGTCACATTGTATATATACGGAGTTACTGGTAAATCTTTTCACATTTCTCCAGCTTTGGTGATGTTGGGATTTGAGCCAGATTTCTAAACTGGCCCATTTGATTTTGGCAGCAGCAAGAAAGATCATTCTGCAACACTGGATGAACCCCCTCCCTCCAACAATACCCTTACTGGAAAAAAAAAAAAATTAGCTTTCCTGTTTTATATGGACTGGGTGGAGGCCTCACTCAGCATAAGCACCCAATTAAAAAAAAATTCTTCTACACCTGGCAACCCTATATCAATTTCATATACAACTAAAATTAAATCCACTTTTGAATTTACAGATTAGTACTTGCCCAAAGCGGGCCGATCATCCATAGTGATTTAGCAATAATTTAGTGTATTTGTTCGCTGGGTGAATCAGTTCTCGAACTCCCCCCTCCCCATTTCCCCAATCACACAAGCAAACTAGGCATTCAACCTCACTCAAAGTGCTTAACCGCATGAAATGCTGAAAGCGTGAATGAAAAGTTATGTTTTATATTCTCTTGAAATGTTTAGCATCATTTATATTTAATTTTATGTTTGTTTTTTGCTTCAATCTAAGGAAAATATGCAAAATATGCCAACTACTAAGCATTTTTAAATTGCTTTTATAATTGTTTATGAAAACCTGCTTGTTACTCTTCATTGCTCCGTGAAAAAGAGTTTAAAACTAAATTGGACTCTAGAAACCTTTTTGCTGCCTTGATGTCATGTAGATTACCAGCTGTCAGTACATTAGGAGACATCTGTATTATCATAAGACATAACATTGCTAACCCATCTAGCTAAGGTAGTCAGTGATATTTTGTTCCCAAAACAAATTAAAAGCTGAGAAGAAAACTCAGATTTTAGCTTTTTAATAATTTTCTCACTACGTGGTCAAAGTACAGCACATCATTTATGGTTTTAAAGAAACACAGGGGATAAAACATTCATATGAGTTTGGGTTCATCTGACCAGTGACTAGTAAAATGACCACCATCATAGGTCTTTATTATGTATGGTCATTGGACTAGCAGGAATACATTTGAATGAAAGACAAAACAACATAGTCAGTTTGAAAGTTAAACACTTTGTGGATACTGAATTGTTATCATTGCAGAGTTGCAACAGATTCATAACCAAAGAAACAACCCAAGTATTCTGGTATTTGGGTTGAAAGAAGCTCAATTTGCAGAAATATCCAATATGTAGACCAATACTGTCCTGTAAAGTTTCCATTGTCCAAAGCAGAAAGATAATACATTCAAAATCATTGAAACATTGGTATGTAGGAGATGCAAATCCTTTTTTACGCACAAGCTAGACCAAACTTTCCAGGCTCATCTGTAATTGAGTTTAGTACACCTTGCCCAAATTTATGACAATATATCTTTGGCTGATGCTAAAAATTAGTCAACCTCTGAATACCTGAAATCCGCAAAGCAATCAACATTCTTTAAAACCAGAACCAGGTGAAAATCCATAATTGATTGTTAGTCAAGTAGATGAATTTTCACAATTGTTATCTTGAGAATTAATAGAGTCCTGATCCGTTTCAAAATCCACACCATCTCTCTCAAAGAAGTCTTAAACCTAAATTTTATTACCTCCCGTGAGGAAGGTCTGGTGTGTGATACTTTAGCACATTTTCTTGAAATGTCCTTTTTTGGGGCAGATATTCTGTACGTGAATTGTCTTGATCCAATGAGTGAACTAAATTTAGACTTTTTGTGCATTATGGCCTCCATTTTAATTTTTTTGGATAAGCTATTCAAATTATTTGATATTTTGATATTTGTATATTGTATAATATTTGAGCATTTAAAAAAAAAAAAAAAAAAAGTGTCCAAAAATATTAAAAAATTTGAAAAAAGCTTATCTCGAAATGTTAAATTGAAGCCTATGTCAGGAACTTCTAACTTTTATTGTCTCTCTGAGTCATCTGGGGTGAGTGAGGGCCAATATTTATTGTCATGATACTTAAGAGATTGTACATCTCTTTCTGATGGTTTGGAATGAGACAAAGCCAAGGAAAAGGGACTTAGAAAATTGTATTCTTAACAGACATAGTTACTTATTCATCCAGATGCATTTTCTCCGGAAGAGAGTGGCTCATTAGATGAAGGGATTAACTAGTTACTAGTCTTGTAAAATCAGCAAATTAAAAAATATGAATAAAACCGATATATTGGGTAACAGAGAGAAACTGTGTACAGACTGTACTTGCAATATTATAGTGAGAAAAAAATAGTTGAGAATGAGAAACTACAAAACGAACCACTGAAAATTGAGCAGCTGCTAGAAAACCTGCAGTCTGTAAATCACTTCAGAGAATCTGGTGGCTTCTTTCAACTGTCCAGTACACGGAAGCTGAGAGCGACCTTGCATTTTTAATATTTACTAACTTGTTTTTAAAATAAATAAAAATATATATATTTATTTTTAAAGTTGTTATTTAAATTAACAAGTTGTTTTCTAGAGAGAACAAGTAAAAATTTAAAATATGTATTTATTTAAAAAAAAAAAAACACTTCTGTAGTCCAGCCATTTGAAACTATGAAATTCACATATTTTTTTTGTGCAATTAGTTTTTTTTCCTATGCTTTTTTTTTTTTGATTCTATTTTGTAGTAGTAAAACAAAACACGCATCATTTTAAACCTTGACCATGTTTAAGAACAAGAAGTATTTGAAGTATTAATGTTGGATTAATTCAGTGGACATTTAATTAAAACTTTTTTGCTTACATTTACCATTTGTGCTTTAATTAAAATGCTGATAATTAGAATTTGTTCCATTTGAATGAAATAAATGTTATTTTATTGATGGAGCATTAATAGGTGGTTAGCAGTGATTCTCCTTTAACGCAGCTGTAATTGCCTGGAATTTTAATTTACCACTGCATCTGCTTTTTACCAACATGCAGCAGCACTCTTTCTGTCTAACTTTTACAAAATGCCATGTGAAGCACTATAAATAAGACCGCAGTAGCAATACCCAGTGACTATACTATCCGAAAGAAGGAACATGAGAAGGTGGACCAATACCAAGGAGTGAGAAAGGATGTGGAAAGTAAAGGCAGTAGTAGTTTCAGTTGTTATAGGAACACTAGGGGCTTCATCAGATTCCAGGTGGGACATCCAAGATCCAGAAGAGTGCAGTTCTAGGAACTGCACAGAACACTTAGGTTCCAAGGATTCTTGTTGTAAAGGATCCAAGAATTGTGTGTGTGTGTGTGTGTGTGTGTGTGTACACACCCACACTATATTTTAGTTATCCAATATACATTGTTTTTTATATATATTGGGTAACATAATATATTTTCTCACCCCTCCTGGGGGGGATTGCATTTAGCCGCATTAGTCCAGTAAACAAAATACTATAGTATTGTATAGATAAAGATATACAGTTGTAATCAAAATTATTCAACCCCAATTGAAAATCAGGTTTATTGTCAAAATGTATAGACTTTAAGCTGTTTGCAATGAACAAATCAAACAAAAGCAATTTATATTCGTTCAACACAACAAATGCTTCGGATTGCTTCCCCATATTCAACTGAAAATGTAACTTCTGACTTATCCAGTCTTACAATTATTCAACTATTTCATTGCAAGTATCTTTAGTACTTAGTAGTACACCCTTTTGCTGTTATGACCTGCTGCAAACAAGATGCATAGCTAGACACCAGCCTCTGGCAGCATTTCTGAAGAATCTTAACCCATTGCTCATGAGCAATGACCTCCAGTTCAGTAATATTCTTTGCTCTGTGTGCTGCAACCACCTTCCTCAAATCCCACTAGACATTTTCTATCAGGTACAAGTCAGATGACTGTGATGACCACTGTGGAATTTTCCAGGACTACTTCTGCTAACCAATCAGTGCCCTATCTCTAAGAATGCGGAAAAGTGTATTAGGCATGTCTGACATTAGAGGTGCTTCTTGGGTCAGTGCTGCACAGTGTGTGTGCTTTCAAAAAACTCTGTGCAGGGACACTGTCATAATATCACTATTGCAGTATAAACCGAGTATTAGTATGTATTTGAATTGGTATATAATTGTTTGTTTTATCTAGAACATTCTATTGTCCTTATTTTATTTAGTACTTGTTATTCCTTTTAAAAATGGGTGTATTATTTACTGTCTTGCCTGGTGAGGTTTAAAGATGTGCTGGCACTCCTCACACCACTTGTAAAGCTCTACACACCTAACCCAATAATATGCCATACTATGTTTAAACCCAGCTGCATTTCCATTCATCAATAAAGGGAAGAATTGAAACTGTAGATATCCTCTTATCACTAGTCCTTACAATACCAATAAAATTTTTTTTTTTTTTTTTTTTATTAATTGCCCCTATGGACCAGTCTCCACTGATTATTAATAAACACAATCACATTAACCCTAACAATAACACTGTCAATAAGTGATCAACTAAATTGGAAGGTCACAGCAGAGTGACACAGAACTGATTGTAACACTGGTGAAAAAAACTGATCCTAGTCTCAACATGGAATTTGAATGGGCAAAGCAGGATTTAATTCAATGTATTGTATACTTGGTCAGATTAACATTCTTTATTGCAAACAATGTAGCAAAAATAGTGGCTAAGGCTAGTCGTGTCACAGAGGTCTATTGTAGTCTGACACTTTGGTCATGAGGTACTTTGACTGCTTTCTTGTATTCTGGATAGCTAAGAATTCTCTTTGCTTACATATTTATATGTTAGTGTGATTTTATTTATTTGTTTGATACAAAATGTGCCCTTTGTCTGTGCAATTTTATATATTATTTTTATGAATCAATATGTTTTGTGTTTTTAAATTGTTTTGTGACCAGTACATACTTGCACACCTCCCAGCATTTTAAATAGACAAAGAGGAACTTTTCATTTTAGATGTTGAGTGAGGGTGTAGCCAGAGATAGACATTTTACGTAACTTACCAATAATAATTTATGTAACTTAGAACTAGAACGATCAATCCTATTTACACAAACTGATTTCCAATCACATGTATTGTATAGTATAAGTACATTTATTGAGTATTATTACTGTGAAGGTATCTTATACACTCAGACACACCAACAATAATATGAAGTTCATAGAAAAGGGGGACATTAGAACAGACAAAAGGGACAAAGAAATTTTGCCCCAAATAGGGACACTTGGGAGGTATGTACTTGCAAATGTCATTAAGAAGTTTTAGGGACATTCTTAAAGGGACACTGTAGTCACCAGAACAACTACAGCTTATTGTATTTGTTCTGGTGAGTGAAAGTCAGGCTTTTTGCTGTTAACGCTTTTTCTCTGTGTTTTCAGAGAAAAGGCATTGTTTACATTACATCTTAGGGATGACTGCTAGAGGTGCTTCCTGGAGCAGTGCTGCACGCTATGCATCACTGCCTTTCAGTGTTGCCACCCTCTGCATGTAGATACTGAATGTTCCTCGTAGGATGCATTGATTCAATTCATTTGTACGAGAAGATGCTGATTGGCCAGGGCTGTGTTTGGCTTGTGCTGGTTATGTCCCTGATCTGGCTCTTTGGCAGTCTCAGTCAATCCTATGGGAAAGCATTGTGATTGGCTCAGATAAATACTTCTAATGATGTCAGCCAAGGAGGCAGATCAGGGACAGAGCCAGCAGCAGAAGACTAGAATAAAGGTAAGCTTTTGCTGTATAATTACAGGGTTAGATGGTAGTTTTAACACTATGTCAGGAATACATGTTTGTGTTCCTGACCCTATAATGTTCCTTTAAACATAATAACAAGTAATGCTCATTGCATACATCATGGTGCAAGAAAGTATTTTGTGTCCTTATAATTGCAGTGATTTGCAAAATTAAGAATGACACCCTTTATTATGCCTGCTATATATCCTATGTACGAGATTCATTGTTTCCGATTGTGTGGCCCAATTGAAGAGAGCAGATAAGGCATGAGGTAACGTTTATTTTGCAGTAGAAAATAAAATGCCTTGTTTTTGAGTTTCTTTGGATAGAAATTGTAAAGACAAGAATGAAACCAGGGAATTGCATGTCTTAGCTGTTGTTGGTGTTCTATGAATGGTTTGTGTAGGATGCAAAGCTCCTTTTATGGAAATTGTGGAAAATACACATTTTCTATTACACTGTTATATTTTTTCTTTGAATTGTTTCAATATGGTTGGCAAACCCATACTCTGTTGATACAAAATTGTTTGCTGTTCGTTTCTGAATATTTCTGAATATTTAGAGGTATTTTTATATAGCTCTGCGAGGATTGATCTTCTGTGGATCCAAAATTCTGCACAATTCTGGCTATTTTTTTCTTTCTTTATCTTATGCAGTTTGAGTTTACCTACCTCGTCCACTCTCAAAATGTATATCCATTAATCATATCTGAAAAAATTTCATTTTCAAAAGAGCTATTGCAAAATTGACTGGAAAACAAAAACGTGTCCAAATGTTAGAGGGTTAGACAGGGGAGCTGAAGGGAGCTGCTGGGAAAGTAAGTAAGAATGTGCTGGGCACCCTCTGCACAGTCCATGCCACCGGACCACCAGGGAATGCCATATCCCTCCCTGGCCTGGTAAAAAGCATGGAGGGGGGACTAAAACATAATTTTAAAAAATCAAGTATTTAAAAAAAAGTTATAAAAATAAAAATGTCCCCCCCCCCCCAATTTTACACACTTAACATACCTACACAAACACTCACTGCACAAACACACACACTGCATTCATTATATACATACACACTGCATTCACTATACACACACACTACACAAACACACACTCTGCATTCATTATATACACACTGCACAAACACACGCTGCATTCACTATACACACAATACACAAACACACACTCTGCATTCATTATATACACACTACACAAACTCACACTACACATATACACACTACACAAACAGATACTCTACACAAACACACACACCTATTCACTAATCACATACTCTCACTGCATCCACTACAAACACACCCATATTCTGGAAAACATGTATAGTGTGTGCATTTACCTTAATAAAAAAAAATGAAAGATTTGTAAATAAATAAATAATAAACGTGTTCAGTTAACAGTAGGTTTGTGTAGAAATATATATATTTTTTTTAAATTGTATATGTACAGAATATCGGTATCAGTAAGTTACTGGCTATCGGCCTGAAAGTTCACAGATCTGCCCTAAAAAATCTATATTGGTCGATCCTTATTATTTACTCAAGTGAGAATTCAAAATGAATTTCAAAGTTTAGATCAAAAGAGCCAAACTAAAAATAGCATTGACTTTGAGATTCTTTTTTTTTCTTTGGGGGGTGTTTTGGCCTCACGTGAAATTCACTTTGAATCCCCAGCATATTCATGCCACTTTCTAGTTCAGCATGGTATCTTGATCTGGAGTGTTGCACTACCACATACAAAACTTGAGTGCAAAATAAGTTGGTTTTTATTTTTTTATTTTTTTATTTATTTATTATTTTTTTATTGTTTCATTTTGTCATCATGCATATTTTGATTTATATGCCATTCTTTTTATTATCCATTTTACTTAGCTTTTTATTTGTTTTATTTTTTATTTTTTTTCCTTTCTTGCCTTTTCCTTTTTGCATGTGGATTTCATATACATCTTTTAGGCATGACGGGTATTCTGATGTCTGCGGCTGGCCTCCCTGTACGTCTTACCTCTGCACCTACCTCTGCACCTCCGCATTCCAACCCACCCGTGACCAGTAAATCTGATAAAATATCAGTTAAGAGATTGAGGAAAATGCCAAAGAAAGGTAGTTTCTGTGAACTCTGTCGTCTTACTGTTGTATTTTTAAATTACATTTATTTATGTTGAATTTGTGTCATTATTGTTCAAATTTCTTTTTCTTTCTTTTTTTTCTTTTTAAATACTGGGTATGGATCCTGTGCTATTTAGAAATTTTGCAGTTGCAAGAAACTGGTAAAGTTGGCATCATTAAGTGTAATGTGTTGAAAACAATAGAATTATTGGCTGGAGTGATGCCCAGTGTTTTTTAGGGCAGCAGTATTTACCATTGGTCTGTTCCATTATTATTAATTTTGTTTAGTTTTAAAGTTGTATGGCATAGTTTAATGTTTTTTTAATATTTAAAGGACTGAACAAAAGTGCCTAGTGCTAGGGATTTCCTGCTCCAAACAATAAGACTGGGAATCCCCTAGTCCTTTACATATATTTGTTTACATATGATGCCAAAGGATTGGGCATCCCATGGTCCATTAAATTACTTATTGAGATAAGCGTAACATATATATATATATATACTTGGCCGCACAGTTATCTTATACAAGTCATGCTTTTGCATTGTATGGTTTTTACACTGGCGACAAGAACAGCCTTTTTTTTGTTGTTGTTGCTGCGATGATTACTTGCAGTTTTTCTCAACTGGAATTGGGAAAATAGCAAATCTTCATTTTTCAGCCCCAAAAAAGGCCAAATAAAAAAACCATCATAACCGTCGAACTTAAAATAAAATAAAAATCCAGAGCGCAAAAAAAAAACAGACGAAAAAGAAAAAACCCGAGCGCAAAAAAATAATCCATCTTCACCCATGGAGGGCTCCGCGCAGACTGAGCTCCGCAGGGCGGGGCAAGGCTTTCAAAGCCTTGCCCCTCCCTGCAATTAGGCTAAGAACACTCTGATTGGTGGGTTTAAGCCAATCACAGTGCTCTGTGTCATTAGGTGCCCCCACCCGCCGCCCAGGGGTGGAGCCTGGGGGGGGGGGAGAACAGTAGGTTCACCCCCCCCTCATTATCATTTGGTCCCCACCCGCCGCCCAGGGGTGGGTGCCCGGGGAGGACAGTAGGTCCCCCCCTCATTATTATTATTATGGCCCCCACCCGCTGCCCAGGGGTGGGGGCCAGTGGGGGGGAGGACAGTAGGTCCCCCCCCTCGTTATCATTATGGCCCCCACCCGCTGCCCGGGGGGAGGGCAGTAGGTCCCCCCCCTCATTATCATTATTATGACCCCCACCCACCGCGCAGGGGTGGGGGCGGGGGGGGACACAATAGGTCTCCCCCCTTATTTTACTTTAGGGCCCCCACCCGTCGTTTAGGGGTGGGGGCCAATATATATATTTTTTTGCTCACTCACCTTACTAGACATGCGGTATAGCGAGTAGGAGCTGAATTTACCAATACTAAGTAATCTTTACTTAGTATTAGTAAATGTGGCTGAAAGACCAATTTAGGTCTTTCAGCCTTTTAGTAGATGACTCCCTGATACCGTGGGAATTAGGGAGTTATCTACTAAGCGGCTGCAGCCACAGCAACCATAGGATCGGAGTTTCATTCATTCGAACGAAATTCTGATCCGAATAAAGTGCCAAATTGCGTTCAAAAACAAACGAACATACTGTTCTCATTCAGTTAGAACGCAATTCGTCAGTTTCGTGTAAAATGACAGGAAGCATCGCGGGAACACAGAGGAAAGGTAAGAATTATGGGAAAATTGCTCTGACCAGCGGAAATGAAGCACACTTTGCTCCTCCGCTGGTCAAGCGGAGGAATCCTCCATAAGGCAAAGAGTCCCTATTTTGTCTTATGATTTTAAAGAAAACTGAAAAAGACAGGAAGAAAAGAAGAACAGATCCTGAGAGAGGGGGAGAAGAGGAAGAGATTGAGGAACGGTAAGTTCGGCATGACAGTGCCACTTTAAATGGGTTTCTGCTGTGAATATGAGTTTATACTTGTCGATCTCGAGTGCAATTAAAATACAAGATTCTGAGTAAAAAAGATTGAGGCTGTATAGCCATCTGGTTTTCTTTTATTATTCCGTATTACTTGATCTGATTGTGAGTCCAATAACCAATACAACAGAAGAGTATGATACTTATATAGAGAGAATTAATTTCATATCCTGATATTACATTTCTGATGTACTATTTAGTCAGTTTAGATGAAACCCTTGAAGGAACACTCCGAGCTCCATAACCACTACAGCATTCTATTTTGGTTATGGTGCCACTCCAATGTAAGTTGTAACGGCACCCGGGGTTAAAAGGGGTTAAAAGCCATTTAGGAGATATTCCCTTCCAGATATACAGGCAACTATTGTAGACACCAATCCACCGAACTGGAGAAGCATATGAATGCTCTCAAACATATGAATGCTGTAAACAGCTGAAAAGGAAAAAACATACAAATAGGTTTACACTCCTAGCAGTCGAACTGGAACAGTATACAATAAGTCCCCCCAAGAACGAGACAAGGCTCCGTTTTGTGGGTCAAGCAGGAACCGACAGAGCTGTGGGTTTATTGTTCTTATATACACATTAGTACCACCCACAGGGTTTTGTAAAACAACCAATAAACACATACAATACACTCAGACACTCCCACACAAAATCCTCCCCTCTGCCTGTGAGACAATTACCTTACACAATGGGTTAATGTAATTATCACAGGCAGAGAAATACAGTTTTTCCACATTATTCATAACTTTAAAAGTATACCTCACATTCACTTACATTTTCAGAATCCGCATACTCCAAATACAAACATATGTCAAAATCATCCAAATTGGTTCAGTGGTTCAACAGATAGATCGAAGTCCTTTGTGACCAAATGAAGCATGGCTTTTCTGCCCAAAACCAGTTCCACAGAGTCTTCTATCCTGGAAATAATTGGGAAGTAATACAATTATCTCCAAGGACAGAGGCAAAACTCCATTGAACACATGGTAGCAAAAGACAATAAAATACATAAAATACAGGTTACATTTATTATATAAAATACAGACATGCAACATATCCCCAGATAGCTTAGGTCTGAGCGCACATTATTACTAAATGGCGCTCAGACCACACACATACAGTTCGATTGCCATGGAGCCAAAGTTTTTTATTACACGAATAGGCTCCATGGCATAGCTATCTGTGTTAAATGAGTTCATTCAGTAAATCTGAGAATCTACCGAACGCCAGGGCAGAAATACATGAATAGACCTTTCTGCATAGGAAAATAAAGTATTTAAATGCCGGTCCATAGTCAAAAGGCAGCAGGCAGGCAACCAGGCTCCTTCAATGCACAGTGGCGAGTTTGGTCTCGTCACATAAGTGATCAAACTATTTAATCACTTTTTACCTGGGGTTTGCTGAGCACTGGTCCCTGCCTCTCTGATAGCTGTAAGTGGTGGTGCCTTAGCTGGGAGCAATTTCCAATTCTCTGAGCCTGCATGGCAGAGTTGCTTCTAATAGGAGCTTTAATCTCTCACGAACTTAAGTGACCAGCACCAGCAGACCACCTAGGAAGGATTCACACTTTTGTCAAACACCTGGCACCTACAGCACTACAGGAAAGATATATTTATCTTAAAATGGGTTATTTTAAACTTGAGCCAAACCTGAGTGATAGAGGTCCTGCAGCCAACTGTGTGTACGGTGTGTGTTACACTCATGGGCAGCAACTGCTATTTTTCATTGAGCTCCTCTCCTGGTAATTTCATACCGGGAGAGGAGCCAGGAAGGCAGGATCACTTAGTCCCTGTCTCCACAGCCCCACTCCTAGCAAGACACTATTAGAATATCTGGAATACAGAATTTTTGATGGCAGATTCAAAAAAATGGCTACTGAACTGGAGTTTTACTACCACTAATCTTAGGCAGATTGCATGTTTCGGTACTGTCCTGATATTTGTGGTCCCCAAAATGCATGATGTCAGTCACACCATGTGTTGTGGTCAAGTGAGCTGTATGGGATTGGAAAACAATCTGCTCAAAGAAAAAACATTGAGATTATATGACATAGTCTTGTGTCTCATTTCACACCTATTTAATACCTATTATACATACCCCCTATTACCCGAATTCCAAATACATCCTTCTCCAGCTCCCATTTCCTATACTTCTCCTACATTATCATTTTATATGCACGTTTTACATTGTCCTCACAGTTTTCACCTCAGTGAACACTTTGTCTTTAGACCTGTGTCAGGTACTTGGTTCTGGCATGCCTTGGTCCTGTCTTACCCAAGAGTAAGAACATTGCAATGATGCAATGAGCACATTAGTTCTAGACTGGCCAAGAGGGGATGTCACTCTTTCCAGAAATAAATCTTAAAGGGGAATGGTCACTTTCCTGGATTTTGAATATTATGTTTACTTGTCGCCTATGTTTAACATATTTGTGAGGGAAGGAAAATAGAAATCCTCACTGCTGTTTTTAGCTCATGAGAAACAGAGTGCCTTAGTTTTGGCTTCATGTCAACAGCTGTTCTAAGCTCTGCTATTTACCCCTGTCAGTCTGCATTTAGAGAGGAGGAGAATCAGCTCAGTTTGCCCTCTTCCACTTCATTGTGTGCTCTAGCTGTAGCAGGACTGAATTGGCTTCTGTTTGTGTCAATAGTACATTTTTATTCTACATTTTGAAAGAAAATGAGCTTCACGTGAAAAAGGCCAATACGTGAGATGTGACTTCTCCCCCTTAAAGTTGGTGACTTGGATTGAGCTTTATGGTTTAGTAATCTAGTGGAATTTGTGACTCTACAATTGTCAGACCTCCTCTCTGCCCTGCACTCACCTCTCACTCTTGCTGCATCCCTCCTCCCTCTGCAGGATGCCAGGCTGTGAAGCGTCAGGGAATGCTGACCTCTGGCCTTTGTCTCTTCCTTGTCAGCATCTTGCCTTGATTTTGACTTAGCCTCCTACTGCATATTGGGCTCTGCCTACCAAACTCTTAACAGCAGCCAGGGAGGTCATACAGCATAACAGGCTGGACCATACAAAAACTTTGGAGTCTGTGAGCGGAGCTTGACACACGGTAACCAGATGCCATCTTAAGCAGCACTGGTGCAGTGAACAAGTTTTTGGTAAACAACCGATAACTGGCTAACAGATACTGCTACTCACCCAATGAAATCTTTCTGGAGACTATCTCACCTGCCAATTGATACTTTTTCTTTGCCAACCAACCATCTAGTAGCAATGAAAGAGGAGGGAGGCCTACAATGGCCTGAAGCCACATGCAGCACACGCCTCACTTGCAGAGTTTAAGGACCATCTCCCAAGTTACCTGATGCCTGACACTTTGACCATGGTCCGGCTCTCACAAAAATATACAGCAAGTTCCAATGGGTGTCGAGATATTGGGACTTTATTGCAATGATAACTGCGGCCTAAAGAACCTGCAAGTTGTGTGTGTCAGTGGGTGTGACCCGCCTCTATTTTCCCATGCTGTGATGGTCTTGCTACCGCTGGCCCCACCTCCATTGACTGAGATCAGCAATCTTGATCCATAGGAAAATGCTGTACTGCGCCAATCAGCATTTACTCATAGAGAAACATTGAAACAATGTATGTCTATGGGGAACATTCAGTGGCTCCATACAGAGTTGGACTAGGAAGCATCTTTATTGGCCGTCTGAGTGACTGGCACTAGAGGTGTTACTAGGCAGCAATGAAAATATGGCCTTTTCTCTGAAAAGCAGTGCATACATTGAAAAGCCTGCAGGCTATAGACACCAGAACCAATACATTAAGCTGTTTGTTAAGCCCTGCATTATATCATTCCACTAGTTTTCCTGAAGTTATACAAGCTCCGCATTAGGCTCACCTCAGCTTATGCCACTCAACATGTAATCTTTCAATCTTTTAAAATTTTCTATAATGCATGACCGACCTCTTAACACTTTACACTCCGTATTAGGTTATTACCCTAATTTGATGATCATCTAAGCACTAGTTTACTCAACTGTTTAAATAATACCGTATATACTCGAGTATAAGCAGAGTATTTCGGCACCTTTTTTGTGCTGAAAAACCCCTACTCGGCTTATACTCGAGTCAGTCTGTATTATGGCAACTTACATTGCCATTATACAGACCAGGACCGCCGGGCTCATTACAAGCCCAGCGGTCCTGTTGGGGGCTGACAGTGAGCTGTTACTTACCTTCCTGCAGCTCCTGTCAGCTCCCTTCTCCTCCGTGCAGCTCTCCGGTCAGCTCCGTAGGGCTCCCAGTGTAAGTGGGTCTTACAAGACTTACACTGTAAGCAGAACGGAGCTGGCAGAGGAGCTGCACGGAGGAAAAGGGAGCTGACAGGAGCTGCAGGAAGGTAAGTAACAGCTCACTGTCAGCCCCCCCACTGAACAGCCAATGCCACTGGACCACCAGGGATTTAATATTATTAAAATAATATAATATTATTTTATTATTATATTATTATTATTTTAATATTTTCATTATTTTTTTTTTAAATGTTTTTTTGTCCCCCCTCCCTGCTTGTTGCCTGGCCAGGGAGGGGGGACAAAAAAAACATTTAAAAAAAATAATGCAAATATTAAAATAATAATAAAATAATATTATTATTTTAATATTATATTATTTTAATAATATAATTTTATTATTATAGTATTAATATTTGCATTATTTTTAAAAAAAAATGTTTTTTTGTCCTCCCTCCCTGACCAGGCAACAAGCAGGGAGGGGGGGACAAAAAAAATAAAATAAAAAATAATGCAAATATTAAAATAATATATTATTAAAATAATATAATATTAAAATAATAATATTATAATAGAATATTAAAATTATATAATATTAAAATAAAAAAATATAAATAAAAACGCCCTCCCCTCACCCAGTTTACACACACTGCATTATATACACACTGCATTCATTATATATACACACTGTAAATAAATATTCAATTAATGTAATTTTATTGGGATCTAATTTTATTTAGAAATTTACCAGTAGCTGCTGCATTTCACACCCTAGGCTTATACTCGAGTCAATAAGTTTTTTCCCATTTTTTTGTGGTAAAATTAGGGGCCTCGGCTTATATTCGGGTCGGCTTTTACTCGAGTATATACGGTAATTACATTTTATAGTCTTGTTGTATGAGGTTTATGATTGCAGTATCACATGGTTTTTTTTTTTTTTGTTTGTTTTTTTTTGTTTTTTTTTTTGTGTGTGTACTTACTTTATACTATTATAAAGGGGCATTTGTGCACAAAGCCCGTTTTTTTTTGTTTTGTTTTTTTACTAGTGTGCACCTACTAAGTATTGTTTGACTCTCTGTTTGCATAATGTATAGGATTATCTCTGACCTGCTTTCTAACCAAGTGTCTGTCATCATTTGAATTCTACTACTTGTCATAACATGCCTTAATAAAATATTGATTGACAAAAAACAAACAAAATAGTTTGGAGTCTGGATGGTTAGGGAATAAGCAGCTTTTTGGAGTATAACTGTAGAGTTAAGGTGCACAGTTTATAGAAGACATATAGACAGGCAATGAACTAATATACATTCTACACTCTTGCTCAGCAAAGCTGAAAGTAAAAGTATATCTCTTTGCCATGAGATACTATTGGACGTGTTAGAATACAGTTTGACCAACTGTGAGTAAATATAGGATTACAGCTAATCTTGAGCTTCATAGGGACTTAAAACTAATTGGAAAGGCTGCTTTCCAGGGGAAGCATTGAGTATATGTTGTGATGACTTACTTCTTCCATTTACTCCATTGACTTTAAAATGAAGCCTTGCAGGTAGGATGGGAACAAATAATGGTGATGCAGGAGCCTTATAGCAAAGCAAAACAGGCTACAAAGCTGGGCACAGTGCACACGGCATGGACTGGCCCAAAAATCTGGGCAGTAAGAAGTAATACTACCATAAGGTGAACACACAATTGTGGAAATAGTTCGGTATTGTAATGTCCTTTACTCAAAACAACATTATCGGCAAAAAAGTGTTGTTTTTGTTTTTTTTGTTTGTTTTTTCCTTCTTTCTTTATTCCACTGCCTGAAAAAAGTAGTTGTTGTGTTTTTTTTTTTTTTTTTGTTTCATCTTTATATTTTGTCAGCACCAGGATTGTGCATGTTTTAGTCCATGGATTTTAAGCTCTAGCCCCGATAGATGGTTTGAGAAGTATAGTAGTTTGGATAAAAGTTTGAGATCCCTGTTTTAGTCACTAGTTTTTCCATAGGATAAAAAATCCTTTCTGTAGGATGATTTGATGGGAATTGTAGTTGCAACAACTAATTGGCATGACAATGAATGATGGGCATTGGGCCGATCAAGTGAAAGATTTTACAGAGGAAATAATCATAAATAAAACCAAATGTGTGCTTAAAGTTGATTAGCTGATTTTGATATCTTAATAAACTGCTTTAACTTGATAAATGTGTTTATTAAACGCATAATAATAATAATGTGTTCTTAAATAATGTAACAGACCGATGCAAATTTACTTTTTAAGTGGAAAATGGTTATGTCATAACAAATCTGAAGTACCCATTAATTTAAATGGTTTTCTTACCTACCAATATTCTCTGCCCACCTTCCAGAGTGGAGGTGAGTAGAGAGCCGGATGCATTGTGAAGGAGCGATTGTGCCCCTGAAGAGGATGGCTGGGCTGACAGCATGCACCCTCAAGCAGTACATGCAGAGAGTTCTGTGATCTGGGCATGGACCTACTCATCCGTTCCATCCTACATTTTGAGATCTCCCAGCAGATTTCAAAATGTGCAACAAGTCCCTGGGACCTATCTGTCCTGGGTGACTGCACCCAAATGCAAGTCTGTCCCAGCAATTCGAGGCGGTTGGCATCTGTAGTTTGCAGTGTGTGTAAAGCAATGTTGGAATATGGGCATAAGTATATACTTAATAGATTATACATAGTTAATTTCCATGGTACCTAATTAGGTGAGTGCTGTGGCAGATACCCCACCAAAGTCAGTTAGTACATGAATAACTTCTGACCAAAAAAAAATACATTTATGTATTATGTTGTATGCAAATTATTTATTTGCCCTTAAATATACTACCTCTAATCACAGCTCACCTCTGTTTGCCATAAGATCATCAGTACTGCCAACAGAAAGAGATTCTTATAGAGAAGCATTACAGTGATGGATTTGTATGCAAATTGCTACATTGTGACTGCAATGCTTCTCTCCCAGTTGTGATGCTGCCACTTTATAAAAGTGTGATTTCTCTCGAAGAGAAGACCTATTAACCTCTGAAGCAACTCAGCAAGCTCAACAGATTGTTGTAGGGTTTACACTGACAGGAGATTTAAAACCATTTAACTTATTACCTGAGATTCATTTGGTGCTGCTTCCAGTCTTCAATACGTGTAACCCAAAGCCAAAAGATGTCTGTCTGAGCTAAACCTTTCGATACAAGGCGTAGCTTATTTTAGCTCATTGGCTGAGCGTGATCGGCAAACTCTGTCAGCTGACATGGCCCTGCTGTGGTTATGATGCCTGGAGTGTTCCTTTAAAATATTGTGTGAAACTGGCCTAGTAGTAAGAATTGTTCAAATGAAAGCATTAAAGGAGCTTGTTAAACTGTGTAACCACTGCAGCCCATTATAGTGCTTATGGTGCAGAGATTCATTGGGTACCATTTCTGAGGTTTTTATGAAACCATTTTCAAGCAGGTAACCAGAAAGGGGTGTCTACTAGCACTAAAAGCCTGGTACCTCTGCAGCCACTCAGGTAATGTGTACAATTTATGTTGTCACTACCCTGTCACTAGTTTATTATTATAGTTCGCAGCTGCTTGCTGTATATTGCTGCATGGCAGGTGGGGGCATAAGTGAGGTTAAAGACCTCCCGTGTAATAAGATGGTGGACATGTTGACCCTCATAAGCTTTAATTTATTTTTTCTAACCAGGTTGGTAATTAAAGGGTTATTCTAACCACCATGACTACTTCTGCTTTAACAAGTGGTGGTAGAAGTCTGTATGTGCAGTGTTTTTGCTTGGATTGTTGCACATCCAGATATATTTGCACTTTTGTGCCTGGAGCTCCGTACACCCCAAGCACACAGGACTTTAGTAGCTCATAACTCCAGACTGCAATGTCAATTCTGTGCATATTTCTGTAGTCTGAGTGCACTTCAGTCTGGCAATGGACATGATTATCTTCCTGCAAAGGAAAGCATTTGTCTCCTTTCATGGCAGTTGTGACGTCAAACTGGGAGTACCTAGCAGCACTGGAAGCTTGACCCGGCGCTGGATGACAAATACGTTTTGCTTATTTTAGTATTTATTTTAGCGTTATGTAAGTAGGACATTATGACATAAAAAAAGTAGGGGAGTTGGAGTAACCCTTTATATAAAAAAATAAAATATAAAAAAAAGGTTGATAAATGTAATAAACACTTTTATCAGCTATTTTATTTCAAACAGCCAAGCCTTTTATCGTGTTCGAGCAGCTGAAACTGTGGCTGGCTTTAAATGAAATAGAACAAAAAAAAGTCAATATTTAACAACTAGTTTCTGTCAGAACAATTAAATTGGGAAGCTGGAAGTTTAGCTAGGTTTTAGAATTTTTCCAGTTCAGTAAGTCTGCCCTAAATTTTGGTATTTCTGTGTGAATTCCTGACAATCATTTAATTGAATAGCCTTGAAAGACTCTCCTTAGAAGGCATATTAAATGACGTGGGTTCAAGCGAGCATTCTCATTTTTTGTTAGTGGTTTTTATAGTGCAATATTTATTCTAACTTATAAATAAATCTTTTACACCCACAGTAGCATCTCCAAAAGTATTTAAAAGGACTCTTAGGGCATCATAACCACTTGCGGGCAGTAGTGGTTATGGTGCCAGGAGTGCCATACTGTCTTGTGATAAACAGTTTACAGACTATTTCTCTGTGTCTGATAAGGCTGCATTATCATATCCACTCATACAAGATTTAGACAAAATTAATTGGCAGAGAGTCATCAGCTGACACTTAGTCAATTAATAATGTTGGAGTATTTGTCAGAAGCACAGGCATGTGACAGAGCCAGGTAAATGTCAAACCATTCATAAATGTTTTTGAAAGATTATCAGTGAATGGCACTATGGTATTCATGGTTGCTAGAGTGTCCTTTCATACAAGGCCAGACTGTGAATGAAAAGCAGCCCTGGAAAAAAATTTGATACCAGCCCCATAATGCATTGCACCAGCATAGTGTGCAGATATGGAAGCAAAAAAAACTAAAACTGAAAACAATCTCTCAAACGTGAAAGAAAGCACTCATGGGGCTTCAAAATAAACAAAAGAGTGGATTTGTTGTAAGCAGACATGCATTTGCATATAATCAATGTTTCAGTCCAACTACCTTGACATATTAAGGAAAGTTTCGTAATTTGGACTGAAATTGTAAATGTATGTTATTAAACAGCAGTAAAAAAAAAATGACGTCATCTTGCTTATTTTGAAGTAACGAGTGTGCTCTTCACTTTGGTTTACAACTGGATGATCTCAGTCAACACCAATTTAATTCCCATAGGAAAGCATTGGGAGGCTATTGCGCATGTGTGGCAAAACGCTGTGTTTCACCGCACCAATCAGCATCTCCTCATAGAGATGCATTGCATCAATGCATCTCTTTGGGGAGCGTTCAGTGCCTCCATGCAGAGCGTGGAGATGCTCAACATAGGTGCTGCAGGAAGCAGCTCTAGTGGCTGTCTGAATAACTGTCACTAGAGATGTTTCTAGGCAGCAATGTAATCACTGCATTTTCTCTGAAAAGGTAGCATTTACAGTACTCAGCATACAGGGACAGGCTTTAGACACCGGAACCACTACATGAAACTGTAGAAGTTCTGGTGACTATAGTGTCCCTTTAATACGAAGTCTTTCTCTCACTGGTAGACTCTAAATTACAGGGAAAGCAGGAGACACAAGTGAAGATGCATTTTGTTTGTGTCTTTCTCCCCCAAGGCCGCTTTTCATGTGTCTCTTAGCCCCAGACCCTTTGTCTCTTTCTCCCCTTCCCCAGCCCTTCTGTTAGTCTCTTTCCCAGGCCGCAGCACTTCTGTGTCTCTTTCCCCACAGCTCCTCTGTGTGTCTCATTCTCCCCTTCCCCAGCCCCTCTGTTTGTCTCCCCAGATCCCTCAGTATTTTTTTTTTTTACTCTCCTGCCCCTCCATGTGTCTCATTCCACCCCCTCCAGCCTTACACGTGTATCATTACCCCTGCCACCCCTCCATGCTTCTAATCCATCCCCACAGACTTCTATTTGTCTCAATCCATCCCCCCCAGCTCCCCATGTGTCTCAGTAGCTCACTCAGCCCCTCCATGTGTCTCATTAGCTCCTTCATATGTCTTATTAGACCCCCAGCCCTCTGTGTCCCTATAGCCCCCTCCCAGCCCTCCGTGTCTCATTCCACCCCCTCCAGCCTTACATGTGTCTCATTAGCCCCCTTCCCTCCATGTTTCTCAATCCATTCCCCCCCAGCCCTCCAAGTGCCTTATCTCCCTCAGTCCCTCCATAGGTGCCTATACCCTCCCAGCTCTCAATGTGTTTGTATACCCCTCCCAGCCCTTCATGTGTGTCTATAGCCCCCATGTGTCCCATTAGTTCCCCCCAGCCCCAATGTGTCCCATTTGTTACCAGCCCCCTGTGTCCCATTAGTCCCCCAACCCCATAGCTCTCCCTGTACCTTGCTGTAGTGTGGCCGAGCAGGCAGAGGAGCTCCTGCTCACTGTACCCGCTCTGACAGGAAGCAGTTCTATGCTCTGTGAGTACTTCCTGTCAGACCGGGTAGGGGAACAGAAGCTCCTCTACCCACGGTCTGCCTGCTCGGCCACGCTACATTCCGTGACCGTCAGGAGAGGAGTGCATCCCCTCCTGCCGGTTACTAAGTAATTGCGCTGTGTGGCCTGCGGGTCGGTGCGCACTAGGTGGTCGCGCACTGGCTTGATAGTGTGCCGGTCCACCGTGAAATTTCCCGGTGGGCCAGTCAGGCCCTGCTTTCGTATGCTTTTGGAGATACATACATCATGCAGTAGCAATATACTGGTTATGATTCTAGAGTGTTCCTTTATAATGTAATTTATCAGATAAATGATGTATTGACTTTATAAATATATTAATGCACAAAAAGAATGTTTCATTTTCCTTTTCATGTTTAAAATATATTTTAACTTAAGATTGTTCCTTGTCCTATATAGATTCAGGGCCATCCCCTTCATAAAAAAATAAAATAAAAATAAAAACTTACAGTGAAGCACACAAGGTAGTTCATCAAGAAGGAAATTCAGGCAGGCTTATGCAGTATATGACTGTACTAAATGCCCATTGGTTGGGGGCTTTGAAGCTTATTTATAGTAGAGTGAGCACCACCCTGGATTCTGTATGTTATGTAGATATATGTATATGTTTGTGTATGGATGTGAGTTGTTTGTAGCTTGCTTGTAGATGCCTGCATCTAATCGACATATAGGTGTGTAAAGTACTGCTAATTTCTGTCTGGTACCAAATGGTTAAGTATTATGCATCACATTCTTTCCAAGCCATATAGTTGCTGTCTATAAATTGATTCCTTGGCTCTTAATCTGTATATACAGTTTTTCATTCTTTCAAAACCTGTTTTATCAATAAGAATATATTTTTAATTTTAGGAGGTCCTGTTGAGCCAGAACAAGTTGTAAAGAAATACCTTGAAAATGTAGAAAAACCATCTGATGAGGTATAGTATTATGAAAGATGTATATCGCAATTACCCGATTTGCCATAAAAAGCAGATTTTGATTTATATACTTAACCTTCTATTGCATACATCCCAGCATGCTCAATGTTTATAGGTTTTGTTCCATAGATTTAATGAAACTTTGGGAACATATATAATGCATTTTAGATACATTGATTACCAAAGTACAGGGATTGGATTACAGGTATTACCAAAAGTCATGCAGACATTTTTGAGCAATCCGCACATACATTTGGTTTCCATTTAAAATAACTACGTATTTTCTGCAGAATTGCTCTTTGTTCATAACTTTTTATTATTTTAACAGCTTTCCCTAACTCATACCTCCCAACATTTTTTTTTGACATTCTATATTTTTGTTTTTGTTTTTCGGACACAGATATGTAACATACAGATCTTGTTATTGCGTTGAACATATGCAGATGAACATTCGTACAACAGTTAAACATTTAGTTTTTAGTGTTAATCAGTGCTAGGTATATTCATTTCTATTGTGTTGAGAATAGAGCGTATTTCCGTGTTGGCTATCTGTTGTTTGCGTCTGTGTTTGCGAGTATTTGGGTGTAGTTATATTTTTGTTTTTATTTCTGTAGGTGCGTGTAGGGTGGGAGCTCGGGTGTAGTTTGCCCTGCTGCGTGAGCGACTCTTGTTAGAATGTCGGTGTCTTCGGTTTGCATCATGACCTCTTCTCTAGCTACGTTTTGTATGAGTTTTGGTTGGTAGTGGACGTATTTCGGGTCTCGTCTATATAGCTTATTCCCGGGCCGTGCAGTCAGGTGTTAGCGTGCATCCCTGTTTGGCTTTTTACCCTTTTGTTTTCTTTACCCTGAGAGCTCAGGTGAGCGTTGTATTCATTTGCGATTCTTTTATGTGCGTTGGGTCGAGTTCTGGGTGTAGGCCGTGTGTGTGATACTGTCTATATATGTCGTTGTGTCATCTCTCTAGGGTTGTTTGTGGCTTCGGGTTGGGTTTATGCTCGATTAGTGGTATCTTGGTCCCTATCTGGTTAGTGTGTCTTCGAGTGTTTCTCCCGTTGTTGGTAGTCATTTCGTTTTCCCTTGTGGGGTAATCGCGTCTTACTTCTTGTGTGTTGTCGTGTTTCATTTCAGGTGTGGATGGTAGGTGTCTGTTGTGTTGGCTGAAGATAGGTCAGGGGTCGGCCTGTCTATAAGGTGCCTATGTTAGACGGCTCTTCTGAGGCGTCTTGAAGCCCTTTTACCCTGCGTGGAGTGGCTTTGTCTCTATCGGTGGATTTCCCCTTGTTTCTACCCTTTCTCGTGTGTGGCTATGGGAGTCCTAGGTCAGCTAGTCTTTCTACTCCGATCGTGTATGCCTTCTCCTCTCTGACTGTCTTTCCTCTCTATCCGTAGGTGTCTGTTCCGTTATGGTCTAGTGGTAATTTTTGTGGAGTGCTTCAGGTGTACGTCTCAGTTGTACGTCTATAGTCCCTGGGCGGAGAGGGGGGTTATGGTCAGGTGTGCGGTTCTATTAGTTGTGGCGTTTATTGTAGCTGTTCGTAGTCTTGTCGTGGAGCCTACGCCACTGCGGCAGCTACCCCGCTCCCTCCCGTGCCAGCTCGCGTAGCTCTTTCAGACACATAGTCCTCCCATGGGAACCATGTCAGGGCACACTTGTCCGAACGTCCCTGCAGTGAGGCCGTCCTGATTTCCAGGTTGTAGATTGTTTCCACTCTGTCTATCCATTGTTGAAAGGAGGGAATTGCTGGGCTTTTCTACATTGTTGGTATAAGCGTTTTTGCCGCCGTGAGCAGGTGTATGGTGAGGCCCTTTTTGTATTTCTTTGGAGGTATGTGTGTGTGATTCAGCAGCAACGGTAGTGGCTGTAGAGGGATTTCCATTCCAGTGATTTCTTTGATTGTGTGGTGTATCATTTGCCAGTATGGTACAATGTGGAAACATGTCCACCAGATGTGGAGCCCTGTGCCCTCTTCTGTGCCGCATCTCCAGCATTCTCCTGGGATCGATTTGTGTACGTGCCATAGTACATCCGGGGTCCTGTACCAGTGTGTTAGTATCTTATAGTTGCACTCTTGGAATTTAGTGCTTATAGATCCTTTGTGTGTCAACTGGAAGATGTTTCCCCATTCGAGGTCCGTTAGTTCAACCCCTGTCTCCCTTTCCCATCTCTCCGTGAAGCCTAGTGGGCTCTTATCCCCGTTATTTTGTATTGTGGTGTATAGAAGCAATACACCATGTGCGAGGTGCTGTCTGGTCGTGCAGATGTGTTCTAGTTGCAGCAGCGGGCGATGTAGGTGATCTTTGCCTTTCACAGCGTTGATGTACGTTTTTATTTGGTGGTAACGGAATACGTCTAGTCTGTTTGGTCTGCAGTCTTGTAGTAGCTCTGCCAAGGTCTTCAGATTCGGTCCGTTGCACCATTGGCGTATGTGTACCCAGTCCGTTGCTCCGAAGTTCCGTAGGTCTGCGGAACTAAGTCCTCCTGCCAGTGTCAGGTTGTTAGTTATGGGTGTGAGCGGGTTGGGGGACGTCGTGAGTTTCTTGTTGTATCGCACCCTGCACCAGACCCTCAGAGTGGCATCTATCATTGGATTCCCTGTGCGCATGTCTCCATGTGTAGCTTCACCTAGCCATAGTAGGGCGGGGATCTTTCCCTGTGCTTGCTGTAGTTCCATGTGAATCCATTGTTTGGTGCTCGGGTTGGCGTGCCAGTCGACTAGTCGATGAAGGTGCATTGCCTGATAATACGTGATAATGGACGGTAGTCCCGTGCCTCCTTCACTCTGTCCGCTCCAGGGTCGATCTCCGTATGCGTGCCGGCTTCTGGCTCCATACGAACCGTCGGATGGTAGTCGTTAACGTCTGAAAGAAGTCTCGTGGGATGGTTATGGGCAGCGTCTGGAATAGGTATAAGATCCGAGGCATAACGTTCATTTTAATTGCATTTATTCGTCCGAACCATGAGATGTACTGTGTCGTCCATCTCTTTATGTCCTGTTGCAGGGTTACGAGAAGGGGCGTGAAGTTTATTTGGTATATTTGTGCGATGTTCTTTGGTAGCCAGACGCCCAGATAGCGTAGTTTGGTTGCGCATATTTTGATTGGGTACTGTGTACGTATGTGTTGTTGGAGGGCGGTGATTCGTGTGAGCGGCAACGCCTCCGATTTATCCAGGTTGAGTTTCAAGTTGGATACCTCGTTGTATTTCTGGAAAGCTTCCAGTAGGTTCGGCGTTGATTTCCTGGGTTGTTCCAAGAAGAAAAGCATGTCGTCGGCGTATGCCGCCACTCGGTGTTCATTTCCGCCTATATGGTGTCCCGTGATTCCCCCATCTTGCCGGACCGCTTCAAGGAAGGTTTCAAGGGTGAGGGCGAATAGAAGGGGAGACAGGGGACAGCCCTGACGCGTCCCATTGCATATGTTAAATGAATCCGTTAGTGCTCCATTGACTCGTATGCGTGCTGATGGTGTGGTGTACAGTGCCGCAAGTGCGGCCCAAACCCCATGTGTCTCAGTGTCTCCGCCATGAAGGTCGAGTCTACCCGATCAAATGCCTTTTCGGTGTCGGTGGACAGTAGCACCATGTCCCGTTTGGCAGCCGTGGCTGTGTGTATGATGTGTGCCCGGATGGTATTGTCCCTGGCTTCCCTCTCCGGTATGAATCCGACTTGGTCTGGGTGTACCAGATCTGGGAGTGTGCGTGCAACTCTAAGGGCCATGGCTTTGGCGAAGAGTTTTAAGTCTGCGTTCAGCAGCGAGATTGGCCGGTAGCTGGCGCAGTTCGTTGGATCTTTGCCCTCCTTTGGTATGATCGTTACTGTCGCCCTCAGGGTGTCCGTGTGGAATTGACCTCCGGTTCGTATGGAGTTGATACCCGCCAGGAGTCTGGGTAGCAGAATGTCCTTGAAGTTGTGTATGTAGGAGACTGAGAATCCATCTGGTCCTGGGGCTCTGTGTGGTTTCGATTGTTTTAGCGCTGCCGCTAGTTCTTCGATCTCCAGGGGCAGTTCTAGGTCGGCTTCCTGTTCCGGGGTAAGCTTGCGTTTAACATGGTCCTCTAGGTACGTGGCTATCCGCTCCTGGTGTTGTCTTGCCGCCGGACCCGTTCGGAGCTGCGCCTGGTCGTAGAGCGTCGTGTAGTAATCCCGGAACGCTTTTAAAATACCCTCTGGGAGTCGTGTAACGCCACCTCTGGTCGTGTGGATTTTGTGGATGTGTTGCGTTCTCCGTTTCTCCCGGAGCATCCTTGCGAGCAGTCTGCCACTTTTAACAGAGTGTTCATAGTAATACCTGGATGTTTTCCTTGCGGTATGGAGTATGCCTTGGGACAATATATCCCTGAGCTCTCTGCGTTTCTTGGTAAGGTGAAGGAACGTGCTCTCATCTAACGTGTTCTTGTGATCCCTTTCTAATTCTGCTATTTGTTTCGTCAGGATAGCGATGTGCGTCCTCCGGTGTCTTTTGCGGTTGGTACTAGCTGCAATGAGGTGCCCTCTGATAACACATTTATGTGCATCCCACAGCGTTAACGGTGGAGTATCTGGGTTGTCGTTAGTGGTAAAATATTCAGTTAAGGCGCTAGTTACCGCGGTAGTGAGCTCTAGGTCATCTAGCAGGGATTCATTCAGTTTCCACTGTCTTTCTAGTGGTTTGTAGAGTGGGGAGCTGGTGCGCACCAGAACTGTCGCGGGGTCAGAATAGTCCATCAAGCCTATGTCTGCATTAAGCAGTAGGTCTAGATATTCCTGGGCCATGAATATGTAATCTATACAACTAGTGTGCGTGGACCGCTGAGTAGTGGGTATAGTCTAGAGTGTCTGGGCGGTACGCCCTCCAGCAGTCCATGAGCCCCGATTTGTGTAAGGATCGTTGCGCGGCACGTAGACAGTGTATGGGGATTGCGCTCAGTCTCATGGGTATGTTTAGGTCACCGGCCGCCACCAGCAGGCCCTCCCTGAACTTCTCAAGCTTGGCCAGAGTCCGGCTCAAGAAGGTGTGTTGTTTTTTGTTTGGGCCATACAAGCACGCGAAGGTGTATACGCGGTCTACGATTGTCCCCTTAAGGAAGAGATATAGTCCGTTGGGGTCTGCTAGGGTTTTCGTGCATTGGAATGGTGTCGTGTGGGCAAAAAGGATCGCCACCCCAGCTTTCTTGGTGTCAGTATGGTTTGCATAGAATCCTAACGGAAAGCATCGATTTTTCCAGTCTGGGTGCGTCCCCACCTCTGAGGTGCGTCTCCTGCAGGAACACCGCGGACGCTTTTGCCGTCCACAGCCGTCGGTGCAGGTGTGAGCGCTTTTCTGGCGTATTGAGTCCCTGGACATTATTGGACCAATATGTCACCTGCGCTGGGGAAAACCTCTGTCTGGCTACCATCTCGGGGACGTGGGGCACCCCGTCTGCAGCGGCACTGGCAGAAAAAAAAAAGGGGGGGGTTGTTGTCGTGTCTGTAGGGGTCAAGGAGGGGTGCTGCGGTATTTCAGTTCTGGTGCAGCTAGTCGTGTGGGTGGTACTATGGGTGTGACGGCGACCCTGCACCGGGTGCTATCGTTCCAGGGGTCGTGTGGTGTGCCCGTCCCGCGGAACCCCGGTTGTAATTACAGTATGGGTCTGTCTCAGTGAGGTTCAGTGGTGTCACCTTTGGAGGTGGTGTCATCTGGTCTAGTTTTCAGTTGTCTCCCCGTCTTTCCGTCAGCTCCCAACCTGTCAGAGGCGTTTTTGTTGTCGTTTCGGCAGTGTTAGCTAGTTTGGGGGTGTTTTATGTGTTCCCGTCCCCCCGGTCTCTATTGACATTGTTTGGCTTGGTTGCAATTCAGCGTTTCGTCATGTGCTGTTGTGTTCCTCTCAGTTTTCTCCCGTCTCCGGTATAACCAGTGATTCACTTAGATAGCGCCCATCTCGGTTAGTCTGGTTCTAACTAAACCCGTTTCGTCCTGTTCACCGCCCACTAGTTCTATGTCATCCTCCGTTGGCGTATCCCATGGGTTCCAGCGTGTTGTGCGCTAATGTCTCCACTTGTTATGGCCCATGTTGAGTTTGGGTCGTTGGTGAGGCTCTATCGTTATAGTGTGCCGTCTCAAATGTGTAGTCATTTTTTGGTGTGTGTCCGTCTACAGTGGTGTATCTGGCATGCGGGCTCTAGTATGTTAGGTGGGTCTTTTGTTGGGTTGACGGTGTATGTAGCCCATGTCTCACCCAGTGGTTCTTTATCTGCTTGCGTAATTGCCCGGGGGGTTTCGTGCAGTTTGCAGAGGCTTTTGTTATGTGGGTGGCCTGTGGTCTAGATTTGTGCTCCGTGCAATCTTTTGGCACGGGGTTTGTGCGTGTAGGGGGTAGTCGCCCACGGGAAGGTCTCCTTTTGTGGTGTGTCAGTAACGGGTGTTCGCCGCCTTTTCCGATTCAGTCTACTTGTTGGCTATTTTCTACTTCTCTAATTCTCTTTCAGTACTCCGGTCTATGTTGTCCCTAGCTTGTGTTCTAGCTGTGCCTGCCTCTTATGTGTATTCTACTCCAGATCCTTCTCTCTAGTTCCCTTCCCTTTTCCCTCAGTGGTATATGGTTTCCAGGACTCGGATCAGTGAATTTTAACTATGTACATGCAGTGTGCTTACAGCGTATTTGCGCTGTTTGTAGGGGGGTCACTTATCTAGGGGGTTGTCTTCCCGAGGCTGTCATCGGTAAACATTAAAACTATGTACAGTATATGACCTAACTTCTAGGTGGCCCTCAATTCTATCGCCCGGACTCCCCTGTGCCCCCGAAACCCAGCGTCACACAGTTCAGGCCGTTGATGATGTTGTGTCCCAGACGATTTTGGTTATGCTTGGGTATCTGTTGCAGGCCCTCGTGGTAGCTGCCAGTGTCTTCCCGGACTCCCTCCTACCCCAGTGAGAGCCCATATCCTCCCAACCTCAGGGTTCCCCCCTTGTTCTGAGCAAGTGTAATCGGGCCTTCTGGTGGGACTTTCTACCCCTGGTGCACCCTCTGGTTGATCCGTCCCTCCCTCCCCACCTATCTGGATCCCTTATAGGCCGCTCATCGAAGGATATTGGGCAGGGTTTAGGGAGAGTACATACCCCAGTCCAGGCCGTCTACCAAGCGGGTCTGGTCCGGTTCGGTGTACGTGCCTGGCAAGCTGAGGGGAGGTACATTACTCAGCCTACTCCTCGGGGATCTCTGGGCCTCCTGTGCGATGTTGTGGAACCGGATCCGCCCGGAGATTGTGTGCCACCTCCGTTGGTCCTGTTGCCCGGGATCTAATTCGGGATCTGCACTACAGGTAAGTTGGCTGCGTTCAGGAAACGGGGTACGTCGCTTGGCCACCGGATAGTGTGCCACATGTTGCCCGTTCTCGCTTGGAGGCTAAATGGGAACCCCCACTTGTAGGGAATCCTCTTCTCCTGCAGCATCCGAATTAGCGGCATCAGGGCCGGGCGTGCGTCTAAGGTGATAGTGGACAGGTCTTGGTAGAGGGAGACCTGGGAATCCATATAGGAAATCCGTTGCTGCGTCCTCGCCGCTTGCATCATGGTTTCTTTAAGTTGAAACGATTCTAGGGAGCAGATGACCTCTCCTGGTAAGCCGTCTTTTCTAGGAGCCCGCAGGGCCCGGTGTGCTCTCTCTATGCCAAAGTCGTTGGGGGCTGTGTCCCCTAGGAGGTGCATGAACGGATTCTAATGTTCTTCCTGCGGCCTCTATTATCGAGGTCCTCGACCTGTCGGCGCAGGTCTAGAAGCATATTTCCTTGCCTCCCAGTCGCCAGTTCCGCTGCTTGCCGGTATTGGGCGTTCTATAGACATGCTTCTTCCAAGTCATCCACGCGGTGTTCCAGTGCTGTGAGGTCCCTGCGGACTGCAGTGATTTCCTCCCTGATAGCTGCTCTCAATTCCGCGACGATTTCCACTTTGTCCTTGCGGGTGAGCATGTTTGCCGTTATTTTCGTTAGATCAGCCGATATTTGGGCTAGCGTGGAGGTCTGGCTTGAGGGTGCAGTATTGGCGCTTGGTGATGACGGCGTCGTCGTCAGTGCCACAAAGGCCTTGCGGTGTTGTGAGGAATTCGTCCATCGGGCCGGGATTCTGCCTAGCCGGGGTTGCACCGGAGGTACCAGCCGTACCCATTCGTTTAGATTTCCCCATTTTTAGGTTAAATGATCGCTATGTACTGGGGTTTAACAGGTTGGGGCTTAGGAGCTCAGGTCGAGTACGTCTCACTCCATCTGCATTCAGGCCGCGCCTCCCTCCTCCCAACATTTTAAACCAACAAAGAGGGATGCTTTAGGTGAGTGTGCCAAGGGGACGACTGTTATGAGAAATTATTAGGTGACTTACTAATAACAATTTATGGAATTAAAATGTCATTTATTTACACAGACTGATTTCTTAACACATTTATTGTAGTTTAAAAAGGGACACTAGTCGCCCCCCCCCCTGGACACATACATGCATACATACATACACACACACGCCCGCGCACATGCAGACACACACACACACATTCAAAATGTTTCCTACCTTTGTGACTTTCCCTGGGGTCCAGTGGGGGCTCAGCCCACTCTGACTCCTTCCTCCCGCGCGGGCTCTCTGTATGCTGGGTGGAGTGTCATTTCCTCCCAGCTTGTGATGTAATCACAGGGGGCCCAGTCGCACTGTTAAAGCGCCCCCTGATAATTCATATCCATCGGGTGGCCCTGACAATATTGGCCACCCGAAGGACCCCTTAACATGCGGCTCCAAAACGTGGCAGCTGGTGCCTTGTCGTGGGGGTCCGCAGGGCGGCCGGGCCCGGTTGCAGCTGCGACCGTGGTATGTACGCCGCTAGCTAGGGCTAAATTAACAAACAAATTGATTGCATAAAAAATGGCAGATGTGAGCAGTGAGACTTCAGATATATACACAAAAACTGCTTGATTAAACTAAAGTTGTTTTGGTAACCATAGTGTCCCTTCAAAGACACAATACTGTGAGTATTATTGCTGTGAAGCACTGCTATGCACATGCCAACAAAATGGAGCTCCCAGAAAAAGGAATATTAGGATAAAAAGAGACAGAGGGATTTGGGCCCAAATTAGGGACTGAACCTCCTAAACAGGGACACTTGGGAGGTATGCTAAAAAGGATAGTTACTAAATATCTATAGGGTTATTCACCAAAATGATAATTCCAAGTCAATTTGAAACTGAAAGCCAGAGTAGCTAGACTGAATGCATAGCTAATCTAGAGAATGTTAACCTTTAAATTACAAATTAAATTGGAATTTTTATTTTAGTAAAAAAGGTATAGTTTAGCACATGTGCTGACCATCCACTGTGTGTTTTATTTTTATTTTATTTATTTTTTTACCATTTCTCATAGAAAGAATTGCACTAAATTTCATGCATAAAATAGTTTACTGGAAACCATAATCTGTTGATTTTAAACGGTGCAGGAGTAAAGTTCAATAATCCCTTTTAAATATCCATATGTATAATTCTTTCATTGCTACGTTTAATAAAAATAATGAAACTTTAAAGTGCTTCCCAATTTATTTAAGGGATTGTTGACAAACCAAATTGTCATTATTTGTCAAAACAACTGCCAATCGTTTATCTTGGCTACATTGATCTACAATTCAGCAGTTACAAGATCTTTTATGAATTAAAATTTTAACTGCTGAATATTATGGTTTGAGAGAAAATTATGGTATATACCTTGTAACCCCTACAATCAGTGGTAGTGGTTATGATGTGCACTATCTTGAATTGGTGTCACTTTAAAAAGCATAATAAAAGTCAATTTATACACTGTAGTAGAATTGCTGGCAGAAACTATTTTTGACTTAGTTGGGACTTACTGGCATGGTGATGGCAAAGCAGCAAAGAAAATATACAGTCTACAAGCACTTTAAACTTCTTTTTTTAATAGAAGGTTAAAGGACCACTATAGTGCCAGGAAAACAAACTTGTTTTCCTGGCACTATAGTGCCCTGAGGGTGCCCGCCAGGCTCTAGGGGGAGGAAGGGGTTAAATTTACCTCTTTCTCCAGCTCCTCCTCCCTAGCGACGTCATCGGCTGAATGCGCATACGCGGCAGGAGCCGCGCGCGCATTCAGCCAGTCCATAGGAAAGCATTCTCAATGCTTTCCTATGGACGCATAAAATCACAGTGAGAAGCGCGGAAGCGCCTCTAGCGGCTGTCAATGAGACAGCCACTAGAGGCTGGATTAACCCTATTATAAACATAGCAGTTTCTCTGTTTGTAGAAAAAAGGGTTAAACCTAACTGGACCTGGCACCCAGACCACTTCATTAAGCTGAAGTGGTCTGGGTGCCTATAGTGGTCCTTTAAGGGTCCAAAATAAGGTCCAATTTCATAGCAAATAAAGCTGTAGCTTTCTGAAATGTATATTTTCCAATTGATGAAGAAATTTGTTAAAACAAGGGTAATTTGTACTAGCTTAATGATTCGGATTTTTCTTTTCAAGGACTGCATCATCTGCATGGAAACTCTGAACTCTCAATCAGGCTATGCTGATTCTTCAGAAAGCAAAACCATCAAGCCTGCGGCAGTGGGAAAATTAAAGAATTGTGGTCATGTGTTCCACCAGCTATGCATGCTGGCTATGTATAACAATGGAAACAAGGTGCGTATTCACTCACTCGAACATTGCTTCCTTAGAATACTGATGAAATCTGAGGTCTTGTGAGAGGAACTAGGGGGCAAGAGCTTTAGTTTGTTTAAATGAACAATGCTGCTTCTTCCCACCCCTCCCCTTCCCTCCCTCCTTCCTCATTTATGGAACAATGAATTGTGGTGCTAAGTGTTTGTTTATTCCCAGAAATGTGTGCTGTAGTCTGCCTTACTTGTTTACATGTTGCAGGTGTGGTTAGTCTTGCCTTGGTTAATTGAAAGAGTCAGACTCTATAGAAGTTGCAGAAATATTGTAAATACTCTTGTCTTCAGAATAGCCATGTTTATTTGCTGAAACAGGTAAGGGTCTGAAAGAAATTCTCTAGCAGATTTCATGAACATTTTTTATTTTTTATTTAAAAGAATATTACAGTGTGTGTGTGTATATGTATATGTGTGTATATATATATATATATATATATATATATATATATATATATATATATATATATATATATATATATATATATATATATATATTATGTGCAATGCTTAAGTGTTCTGCCCAATGACCCCCCTCATTAAATAAAGGGTTACGTTACCATTGATCCAGGGCAAAAGGGTCTCTTGCTACAGCTCCCCTCTACCTGCTGGGGGATCATCAGTACTGATAATTTTCCTGCCAATGGAATACTTCTCATATAATCACAGCACTGAGCCTGCACTGGTTCTCAAAGATAAACATTGAAACCAATGCTTCTCAACAAGAAGGAAGCTTAAACGTCTGCTTTTTGCTGGGCCACAAAACAATCAAGAACTTTGAGGGTGCAGCCATGTCACATTCTAAAACTGCCATTAAGTGTGACATAGGGGACACTGTTAACCTCTAGAGCACTGAAGTGCTTAGCGGTGTGGAGTGTTTCTTTAATTGGAAATGTTACAACTAAAAATAACAATAGTGAATAAACACAAAATATAAATATATATATAGGTTAGACATAAACAAATATTTTAGTGGGGAAAATGATATGCATTTGTTGTAACACTTCTCTTCTTGCAAGATCTCTGATATTTGTTGAATTGTGTCATAATAAAAGTGTGAAATGAAAGAGCAGCCTATTGGCTGGTGAGGAGGAGGTCTCTTAAAGGACCACTATAGGCACCCAGACCACTTCAGCTTAATGAAGTGGTCTGGGTGCCAGGTCCATATAGGATTAACCCTTTCTGCTGTAAACATAGCAGTTTCAGAGAAACTGCTATGTTTCCCTATGAGTTAATCCAGCCTCTAGTGGCTGTCTCATTGACAGCCGCTAGAGGCGCTTCCGCGCTTCTCACTGTGGTTTTCACAGTGAGAAGACGCCAGCGTCCATAGGAAAGCATTGTTATTTATTATAGTGTGTATCTATTTGCAGATCTTGTTACATAAGCTCATACTTTCTTCTCAATTTTTTTTTCTCTTTATCAGACATAATTTTCAGTATAATACCCTTGACGTTTTGTTTTTTGTCTTGTCATATGTTTCATGTGAGTTGATTTTGTTTTAAACACATCTGTAGGATGGCAGCTTGCAATGTCCTGCATGTAAGGCCATCTATGGTGAGAAGACTGGAACACAACCAAAAGGCAAAATGGAGATTTTCCTAATACCTCAATCTCTGCCTGGCCATCAAGACTGTGGAACTATCCATATTGTGTACTCAATTACCCCAGGAACACAGGTACAGTTTGTCTTTATTTTGGGATGAAATTAACAATTCTCCTACTAGATTACCAATAGATTTTTATAAAATATTGTTGTCTAAGACTCCACTCCAGCACATTGGACTTTAAATGACATGATGACTAATAGGATAAAGTACTGACTCTTGGCTTTAATCTAGGGCTATTTTACATCAATAAAGAGAGAAACATATGTATATGCTGTGAAAACAACTAATGGGTTTTCAGACCCAGAAAGGGGAATTTACTTTATTTTCCTATGTGAGTCACCTAACATGAATCCATTTGTAACTGGCATATGTTTCATTTGCCAAAGACAAAACAGAAAGAAAAATCCCCCAAAACAAACATCAGCTGAAGATGACTGAATTACAAGCATGGTAGAAATTCACTGGAGAGATAATCTAATGTCTGGTTAAGTTATGTTAAATGCAAAGCATTTTGTATCTAAGTACTGGATATGACAATTTTCTTTCTTGTTTACCAAACTAAGGCATTATGGATATAAAGGCTTATTATTCAAATATGCTTCATGGTTTCTGATCTCAAATTAAAGCTTATATTATACTCTATGATTTATCCCCTAGTTAATATTTCAATTGTATTTTGCTGGGTTCCAAAGCTTACACAGCAATGTTTGTGCTGCTATCCAGTTACCTATCAACTGCACTATCTTTTTATGTGTCTGTGTACATTAAGTAATGTGTTTTCTTGTAAGCACAGCATTTATTGGTACTGTATGTACAAATGATAAGAAAATACTGACATGTATTAAACATTGAATTCAACTATATGATAAACAAAACAAACAGCTTATGGTTTAATGTAGCACCAAAGTTGAGGCACTTTAAGAACCATAACCATTACAGGTCACCGTACTGGTTGCTGTGCATAATCAATAATGTTAGAGTGCTGAACTTTTAGTTTTTGTAAAACAATTTTTGAGCATGTGGCTCTTTTAGGACTGAAAGTCTTGCACCTTTGCTCCAGCTTGGCTAATGCAAAAGTTATCTGTATAATAATGACTTCACTAATAAGCTGAAAGTGCTGTGTTATCCCACCCACACAGCCTATTATTGATGTTTAAGGTTGGCCAGATAATGGTACAAGTCAAGGCTTTAGGTCAAAGCTGGTGAAAGAGCCCTGGATTTTGTCAAAACACTTGCAAAAAATTTGAAGAAGAAAAAAAAATAGAGGGAACGTACCTTTAAATATCTCATCGATATAGTGTACGCATAACAGCATAATGTGTGGGTGTGCGATACTTAACTATGATTTCTTTTTTTTGAATTTTTTTTTAATAATTAAAGAATAATATATTATAGAGCCATATCCACAGAAATAAACACAGTTGTACACTAAACTGATTTACATTGTGGTGCAAGTTAAACTCATGTATGGTATAAATATATCAGTATGTGAAATGGTTGTTCTGTATTTAATTACTCTAGATGCCGTGCACAAATTAGTACATTTGGAGCTATATTGATAATCATGCCATTGGTTTTCATGGCAGTAGATTCACTTTCAGCATACCAACTATGATTTGCTCTCTGTTTGTGGCCCGTGGCCTAAATTGTGCATTAACGTGTGCTCAACATATAATGGTATTAATGATGCTTCCATGTATTTATTTACATATTTAACTATGTTAACCTTTACTTGCTGTTTCGGCAGGGTCCTGAACACCCAAATCCAGGAAAACCTTACTCTGCTAGAGGCTTTCCCCGGCACTGTTATCTTCCAGACAGCAGCAAAGGAAGATTGGTAAATATATTATGCTTGGCAATCAAGGATACAGCATTTCCAGAGCTAAATCTGTAGACCCCTTTTTCACTCTGATATTTGCATTGTTACCTATGTATGCCGTAATCTCTGTACATCACATTACTTGCCTCTTGACTGTACTAGTCAAGTCCTGATATTGCTCACCGTTTTAATTTATTTTAACAAACATGTTAGAATGACAAAGGGCAGCATAAGTATTGAATCTCTTGAGTTCGTTTTATTATTTTTAAAAGCAAATAAACTTAAGATCTAATTTCTAAGCCTTATCTTTCCACAAAAGCACATTCCCAGAATACACCCTATATAATATGCAAAGCTCTGTGAAACTTCTCAATAAGCAAAATTCCAACAACACAATGGTTGTCTAAGAAAGATTTCAGGGTGTAGAAACAGGATCTGAAGAAACCACGTGGTTTGTAATCTACTGGTAACATAATCCACAAAGAGGGTTTCTTTCCAGATTCCACTAAACTTGCAATACACAGGTGTGCCCACGCACAAAGCTATACATAGTGTGCACATAGAACATGCAAATAGCAAGGCTAAGGACTTAAAGTCCTATGCTACTAGCCTGGCCTAAAATTTAATCGCCCCCTGCAAGTCGGAGACACTAGCCTGGAGTGAATCTCTACTGACTGGGGCTAAATATTCATCTCTCAGTGGCTAGTGGAGAGCTTTGAGTCCTGCAAATAATGTGTGTGTGTGTTCATAGATGCATCACTTGCTCAGTATCTATGCATATAATTGGGAGACATAATATCAGCATACTTATGTTGTGGAGGTAAGCAGTACGGTGTCCTTCACCCTTTAAAGGGATACAATAGTGCCAAGAATATAAAGCTGTATTCCTGGCACTGTAGCTCCCTCTGCTTCCTCCCTCCCTCGCACCACCCCGCATGGGTGAATTAAGGGTTAAAAAACCCTTTATTTGCTCACCTTTTTACAGCGCCAAAGTCCCTCAGTGCTGGGTCAATGCTTTTCTATGGTAGACAGCCACTGAGAGTTTCTCTGGAACTGCAATGTTTAACATTGCAGCACTAAGTGCAAAAGGGTCATTGCATCCAGACCACTTCAATGAGCTGAAGTGGTCTTGCTGCACACAGTGTCCCTTTAAATGCATAAAGTTTTACAATGTAGACTTGCTACTCAGGAATATATATTGCATATATCATTAATCACACACCAGTTATTGGCTATACTGGCAACAGAAGACAGCTACACACATCGCATGATTCATTGTTTGGCACTGAAATGTTTATACATGGATATTATTTCGTAATGTCTGCATGTCAATGGAGGCCTCCGTTTTGGTTTTTTTTTTAGGGCTGTTCTTAAGGTTCATAAAGTCACAGATTATAATTGCCTTTATTGTAAGTTTCGATGTGCTATGTTTGAATTCTGTGCAGTTTTGGGAAAGCTGTTTTCAAGTGGTTTGACAGAAACGGGCATTCCCTGACCATAGCTGGATTACTCATTAGGTGGCCTTTTAAGGCCTAGGTTTGAGGGAGCATTGTGATGTGTACCAATGTCAGGTGCAGATCACTTTCAGAGCTCCCCTACGGTCCAATGACACTTCTCAATGACTCAACGCGCTGCAGCCAGCGCACGGAGTCATTAACAGACTGCTGGACCAATATTGATGCAGATCACAGCTCTCCCTTACTGGACCACAAACGAAAGGTAAGCAGGAGGAGGAAAACACCCTCAGATGCTACACACTCAAAACTCAGCTCTCAAACAACCCCAAATACAGCACTCAGCCTCCACCACACACAGCACTCATACTACACGCAGGCTCCCTCACACACACAAACACTTACGGAGCAGAGCCCAGGGCACCTTAAAGGTGCCATTAATCTGGCATCCAACCTAGGGTTCTGGGCAGCCTTTAATAAGGCTCTGTTCCCGACACCCTTCTGTTTGAGATGTCTTAATGAACAAGGTTAAATTATTTGTAAGATTTGCTAAACTTCTGCTTCCCATTCTTTGTCAAATTACCATTAAATTTTCTGCACCACTAAATTGAGAGATTCAAGGTTTCTCCATTTTGGCTTTATTTTTGTTAAATCATGACACAGTGTAATAGGTCATGTGTTGTTCATCTGAGGTTGTATTTACTTAATGTTAAGACCTGCTGAGGAACAGATGATTGTTAGAATGTCTTGATATTTAAAACCATAGAATTCAAAGAGAATGTACATTATTTTTCTCAAGACTGTATATAATATTAAACTTGCTTTTCTGTACTTTCTTTTCTTGTACTAGCTTGATGTTTTTAGATGAAGCGGTCATAACACAAGCAAGATTAAATCATGAGTTAAATGGTTACTCTAAGCACCATGACCACCTCTCTTATTTGCAGTAATCATAGTGCTTGGAGTAGATTTAAAAACGCTGCACATACAGAGTTAAAGCACATGGCAGCCAGAGGGTTAACCCCACCTCCACCAATGTCATTGGCCAGCCCGGAACAAGAGTTCTAGGCTGGCTTACATGAATTCTGCACATATTTGTAATGTGACGGCACCATGCATATCATTCTGACAACAGGCGTCCAATGACTGCACTCCCTTCCATGCCACCCAATTTTCCCTTTGCCAGTCTTTCTTACATCCCTCCCCCCTCAAGTGAGGGAGGTGACATCACAGGAGGAAGATTGTGCTGAGGAAAAACTTGACCTCTGCACAGGATAGAAAGGCAAGTTTATTCTGACTTTATTTTAATGGGTGGACATGCAAGCAGGGGTTACTCAATCAAAAAACAATGTTTCATTAAAACACTGTTTCTGGTTGGAGTAACCTTTTAAATTTAGTTCAGTTTGTTTGTTATCCAGCTACATCTTTTGTTGATCTCAAATCAACATACTCTACAATAGCTGCATAACACTGATAGTGCACCATTACAGCTTTTCAACTTGGTTTTATGAGACCTATAGAGGCGTTTATGTGAAATAGCTGGTGACCCCATTGTAGGGAAATAATCTTATTTACTGAAACAAACTGTTAATCCTCTGTTTCTAATTATAGCTTAGTGGCAGTTTGAGTCACTGACTGTTGTATTCAACTCACTCTGCTTCAAAAACAAAAAGTCTACTTGCATATGCACACTACAGTGCAAAGATTTAGGCAAATGTGAAAAAGTGCTATAAAGCGAGAATGCTTTAAAATATAGAAATGTTATTTGTTGATTTTTATCAATTAATAAAATGCAGAGTTAGTTAACAGAACAGCATTCTAAAACAAATCAAAATTTGTTGCCACCACCCTTTGCCTTCAAAACATCATTAATAATTCTAGGTACAACAATCACATATTTCTCTAAGGGACTTAGCAGGTAGGTTGCTACAAACATCTTGGAGAACTAACCACAGTTCCTCTGTGGATTTGTGCTTGGGTGCCTCTTTCTTTTCATGTAATCCCAGACAGGCTTGATGATGTTGAGATCAGGGCTCATTGGGGGCCATATCACTAGGACTATCTCTAGGGTATCTTCCTGTTCTTCTCAGCATAGAGGAGACCATTTATTCTAAATAAATTCCCAACTTCACTGTTGACACTCATTCTAGTACTGCTCTCCAGTCTTTCTGCATGCTTTTAATGTAAACATGAGAGAGAGCGCGCACGCAGAGGACTCCAAGTCTGAGGGTTCTGCACAATATCTTGGCTATTCCTAGAACTGCACCCTTCTGGAAAGTGATCTCGGTTGTCCCACCTTGGATCTGCAGAAGGCATTCCTTCAACGTGTGGGTCACAACCCTGAGTTTTCCTATCTTAACTGGGACTAGTACTCCCTCCACTTTCTAGCTCCTCTTTCAATCCTTATTTGTTCACCTTCTCGTGTTCCTTCTTCCTGATGTAATAATCACTGTTTACGGCCACATCCACCACCATTACAATCTTCTGTTCCTTATCTACCATCACGATGTCAGGTTGGTTGGGCACTACTTGCTTTTCTGTATGGATCTGAAATTCCAAGAGGATCTTAACCCTGTCATTCTCAACTATCCTGTTTGGTATCTCCCATCTGGACTTAGGCATGCCCAGCCCGTATCCTGTGCAAATATTTAGGCACACATTCCCAGCAACCTGGTTGTGCCTCTCAGTGTATGCTGTTCCTGCTAACATCTTGCACCTTGCTACTATGTACGGGATTGTCTCAGAGGTATCTTTGCACATTGGGTTTTGTTTGGTGTGATAGACACCAGCTTATTTTGATCTGTTGCTGAGTGCCTGTTCTGTGCTGGTAGGATTTCTTAATGTGAGCAACATCCACTATTTGCTGGTGTTACACATCATGGAGCGGTTTATCTTGCCATGGAACCTCCTTTTCTGCATCCTCTATCTGTTGTGTCAAGGCTTTCATTAGCAGTTCATCTTTGGTAAGCTAACTTCGTAATGTACTTGTGGATGTTCTATGTTTTATCCAGGACTGTGGTTTTGACACTTATCAGGCCCTGACCTCTTTTCTCCCACCTGCTGTGCAGTCTCGATTTTGAGTCGAATCCTCCTTTAATAGTGAGTAGATTTTGGGTCTTGACATCTTCGGTGACCGGCTCTTTTCTTACCCAGGTTATCTTGCCTGGGTATGTGATGACTGGTAGGGTATATGGTTTGGAGGTTTTGATCTTGTTCTTGCCACTGAGTTGGGACTTCAGGACCTGTCTGACTCTCTGCAGGTTCTTCAATGTTGCAATCTTCTTCATGGATGCCTTATGTTTGTGGTACCCCCAGGTTCTTGTAGTTGTTCTCTGCATCTCATATGTGACCTTCTGGTACTTGGACGCCTTCTGTCCTGATCATCTTCCAACTTTTTGCTATCATCCACTGTCATGCCAAAAGCATGAGTTGGTGTTTGATGTGTGTTGATATATGTTGAGTTGTTTTTTTTTTTTTTTGTAAACCTTGTGATGACATTTATTTTGGTCTTTGATCTTGCACCAGGCCTAGACCATAAAACATCCAGATAGCCAACACCAGAGCTGGACACAAGAAATTGCATAGAGTGGGCAATAAACTGCCAGACCAATCCCCTCTGTCATATTGATCAGTATTGCTTGTGAGGAGGTGAGAAATACTCTTGAAAGCTTGTCTTTTAAAGCGGCACTGTCATGCCGAACTTACCTTTCATCAATCTCTTCCCCCTCTCTCAGGATCTGTTCTTCTTTTCTTCCTGTCTTCTTTAGTTTTCTCTAAAATCATAAGACAAAGTAGGGACTCTTTGCCTTATGGAGGATTCCTCCGCTTGACCAGCTCTGACCAGCGGAGGAGCAAAGTGTGCTTCATTTCCGCTGATCAGAGCAATTTTCCCATGATCCTTACCTTTCCTCTGTGTTCCCGTGATGCTTCCTGTCACTTTACACGAAACTGCCGAATTGCGTTCTAACTGAATGAGAACAGTATGTTAGTTTCTTTTAGAACGCAATTCGGCATTTTGTTCGGATCGCAATTTCATTCGAATGAATGAAACTCCGATCCTATTCTTGCTGTGGCTGCACCTTACAGCCGCTTAGTAGATAACTCCCTAATTCCCACGGTATCAGGGAGCTATCTACTAAAAGGCTGAAAGACCTAAATTGGTCTTTCAGCCAACTTTACTAATACTAAGTAAGGGCCCCCACCCACCGCCCAGGGGTGGGGGCCGGAGGGGTGTGGACAGTAGGTCCCCCCCTCATTATCATTATGGCCCCCTCCCGCCGTGCGGGGGGGGGGCCAGGGGGTGGGGAGGACATTAGGTCCCCCCTCCCCCCCTCATTATCATTATGGCCCCCACCCGCCGCCCAGGGGTGGGGGCCGGGGTGGGGGGGACAATAGGTCTCCCCCCTGATTTTATTTTAGGGCCCCCACCCGTCGTGTAGGGGTGGGGGCCAATAGTTTATTTTTAGTTTTTTTAACAGTGAGCAGCCACAGGCTGCTCACTGTTTACCAGACATGCCCCTACTCGCGGTATAGCGAGTAGGGGCATTGGGGGGATTTTAACCCCCATATTGACCCCCATAGAGTGAGGGGGGGCCTGGGGGGCTTATGAAGTGGTGGGGAGCACTGCTCCCTGCCGCTTCTATCTTTACATATTACAAGGAGGGAGCTGCGTGCCGGTAGCTCCCTCCTTATAATAAACTGAACAAACAAACACTGATACTCAGTGTTAGTTTGTTCGGCTGACATTTCTATTCATTCATTCTTCTGTCTGATGGATGAATGAATAGATGAAATTCCCGTTCGCATGTCCAGGTGTTTCACTGGGCATGTGCGGGAATCTCAGTCTGTCTAGTGTGGGCTGATGACGTGTCCCACAGGGACTTCATCTACCCACACAAAGATGGTGGCGCCCTGAATATAGATCGGGGCAGAAAATAAGGATTAAAAAATAGGTAATGTGGGGGGCTTAGGGGCATTTGGGGGTGACTAGGGTGTCAGATGTAGTGGAGGCAGGAGGGGGGTTAAAAAAAAACCCATGATTCGGCATGACAGTGCTGCTTTAAGTATTATATTGGTCCAATAAAAAGCTATCGTTGCATACTATTTACATAAATGCTGTAAAATAAAACTTAATTAAATATTTACAAACCTATTAGAGTAGCAAACAGGTCACTGTGATGAGACAATGCAACTCCAATCTAATTTAAAACCTGAAAAAGATAAATGTACATCTCTTGGTTTCACAGGTGTCATTAAAGTGACCGTATTTATTTTCTTTCTCTTCCTAGGTTCTAGAGCTCCTAAAATTGGCATGGGCAAGACGATTAATTTTCACGATTGGGGTATCCAGCACGACTGGTGAATCTGACACTGTGGTGTGGAATGAAATCCATCACAAGACTGAAATGAACTCTAACATAACAGGACATGGCTTTCCTGACCCTAACTACCTGGACAATGTAATTGCAGAGCTTGCAGCTCAAGGAGTCACAGAAGAAGGCCTAAATGCATAAATGACTATCCAGGTGGATGACTTCTGCAGTTTTGAGGCAGGAGCATTCATTTCGTTATAAAATGCCTTAAAGTTTGGTTTAAGTTTATACTTTTTTTTGTAATGCAATATTGTCTTAAGGAGATTCACTGAGAAGCTAGGGATATCTGTCTTGCTTTGAATACAAGCTGGCATGCTGGTTCATACTACCACCCCTGCAGGGCGGGGAGTGGTCATATAAATACTCCCATCAGTTTGATTTCTGTACATGTCTAATACAGTACAACATGCACTTTGCTAGGGGAAACTAACATATATTTCTTTACCATTAGAAAGGAACTGTCACTTTTTTTTTAGCTAATCAACAGTCCTTAATGTGGTGAGTAGAAATAGAATGAAAGGTTTACTGGAGTGAGATATGCAGTAGAGGTAACATCCGCTGCCTGCCGACTTTCGGTGGTGGCCATTCTCTCCCGATTCTCTGATGTGCATGCACATAAGTGTGCATCTGTAATTTGCATCGGTTGTTGTGTTGTGCCAAAATGTTTGAAACAAAAATGGGTTTGTTTGGAGGGGAAAATAAAGCACAGTGAATAGCATTGTTTGTTATTGGAATCCAAAGTTTTCATTCAAATTAAATTAAACAAATCGTGAATACGATGGCAAACCAGAAGGCATGTTTCATTGCTGGTTTTTAGTTTCTTCTACTATATCTGGGTACGTTGATGACACTTGGCACAGAATATAAAAGATATATTTACGATATATATGTGTGTGTATATATCTCAAGATGTTCTCTAGATCTTATTATGCGGTTTTACCAGTTAATATAAAAAACTGACATTTCTGCTATATCTTTTGTTTAATATATTAATTTGTTAAAACATTTGAAGAGACATGCATATTGTATCTTAGTATGATTCCCCTCCCATTTAACCCCACCTCTTACTGTTTTCATGCCTTATTGTATAAATTACCTTAAAGGAGCACTCACATATGTTAGGTGCAATATGTAGGTTAGATTATATCTTGCTTTGCTGATGTTTCATTTGGTTTTATTTTTTTGGGGAAAAAAAAAACATTTTGTGACATAGTAACTTTTTCAGACTCGCTATACATTTTCTCTTTTTATCTCCGTTAATACTGCTGTACAGTATGGTTTCAAGGAGTAGTCCGTAGGCTGATGATTTCCTTTAGTAGTAAGATGACAATTGAAGTACAACTTCTAGGAACCCATGATGTGCCCATAATGCACTGTATATGTGCAGTAATGCTATAACTAGTGAGTATCGTGATTAGTTGATCCTTGGCAGATGCTGCAAAGTATTTGGATTTTCAGAAACCTCAAATGTTTCCACTTTTTCATCAATATTCCTATTTTATTGTTTTAGCAATTTTTTAAAAAATGCGCCTTCTATTTAATGTACAAAAAAAGAATGAGTCAACAAAGTCAACTAAGCCTGGAGTGTCTTTTGAATATATCATCCAGTGGCACAGGGCTATGCAATACTGGGCTTTAACTTCAGGGCTATTTCTTGTGAGACTTGAAATTAATTGCTAGACTTTCAAAAAGTATGCATTCATCCTCCTAGATGTCTGTTCTAATTTACATGCACTGCAGGAAAATTCAAAAACTGCAAACTTGTGCTCAAAAAATGCCATTCCTATAGCAAATTATTTAAGCCCTATAGAAGTGTTAACATTATTTCTCACAAGTTGGATGGATGAAATGGGGAAACATATAGATGCCATACTTTTGTTTTCCTTCTATTATTTTGCCTGCAACTTTTTTTTTTTCTATAACATTTTAAATATCTTAGATATTCTGAATATATGAAGCATTAAAATGTATGAGACATTAATATTATCTATATATTCAAAGATTGAAAAGAAAATGCTGACGTGTGTGTGAATAGGTTAATGTGCCATACTGTGTTTCTGGCACTATATAATGCATCCTCTTTTTGTACAGTAATATTTTTAACATATGATTGTGCCTTTTACAATGAGAACAGTGTCTTCTTATTGAATGCTTAAAATGAATATTTTGGTTTTCTTTATTGTGTATTACCACACTGGTGTTACTAGCTCTTACTGTCCTTTATGATTGCTGAGATCAAAGTACAAACTCTCAATAGGCATTGAAGCCATTTATTCTTTTTATGGATCCATACCGAACTTTAATCGACCTTTGTGTCGTTGCTGACGCAAATACAAAGGGTGAGGGTGAGGTTGTTGGTCATTACGGCAAAACTGTGTAAACTATTTCACTTTCATTTATCATTTACTTAAACTACTGAAGTTGGTTTAACTACATTATTGTCAGTCTGTATTGATATATGTTTCTTTAAAGTACGAATCTTAAAATTCATAAATATTTTAAGCGTTTTATTTCCTTTTCCTACAAAATATGAATTAATTTAATAACATTTTGATATATGAGCATATAATAAACTAAAGCAAATAGCATACTGTTTTATCCTCACTATGTGAAATCTCTGTTGGTTTGTTTATGTTGTCACATTTATTTAATTTTCTGCTTGAATTTACTTTGATGTATGCCTGTAACCATATTTTTTAGACTTAAAGGGGCACTATAGAGTCAGGAACACAAACATGTTTTCTTGACCCTACAATGTTAAAAACACCATCTAGCCCCCCTGGCCACCCTTGCCTCCCTAAATGTAGTAAAATCTTACTTTATATTCAGGGGCCCTGCCCGTCTGCTGACATTATCAGAAGTGGTGGTCTGAGCCAATCACAATACTTCCCCATAGGATTGGCTGAGACGGTCAGGGGCAGAGCCAGCACAAGTCAAACACAGCCCTGGCCAATCAGAACCTCCTCGTAGAGATGAATTGAATCAATGCATCTCTGTGAGGAAAGTTTAATGTCTGCGTGCAGGAAGCACCTCTAGCAGCCATCTAAGGAGTGGCCAGTGAAGTTATCACTATTCTGTAATGTAAACACTGCATTTTCTCTGAAAAGACCGTGTTTACAGCAAAAAGCCTCAAAGGAATGATTCTATTCACCATAACAAATACAATAAGCTGTAGTTGTTCTGGTGGCTATAGTGTCCCTTTAAAGGACAACTGTCAGAACTCTGTGTGGTTACAGTGCTGTAGGTCCCATCCATCTCAGGGTTTCTGCCAAATCCATTATGGAGTTTAGTGAAAAAAGAGGCTCATCTGGCAGCAAGAGTTTGACCCCTTGGCTGCTGCATACATAATCCAGAAAATAATAAATAAATAAAACCACTTGGGGGTTAACATGAACAGTAGTGTTGGTGTTATTGCTGCCTAGCAAATAAAAAGGGGGGGTGGGGGGGAGATAGAGAGACCTGACACTGTGGACATAAAGTGCTAAATATTACCGCTGGGGGAAGGACATGTCACTGTGGGTAGTGGGTGTGAGCTAATTTAAAAATAGGTGGGTGGGGGGCAATGCTAGTGTCCTCGCCCATAGTCATCAGCTGGGGGTGTCAATATTATGAGGGAGGTTTTTCTCATATGCAAATGGTATGCCAAAATAAAGATAATTTGTATTTGGTGGGTACTATTCTGCCCCATGTGGTTCCAGTAAATCTGTGTGTCAAAATTGCAAGTATTAATGGGCAGGTCTCTAATTTGTCCTGTAAGCTTCCCTTAAAAAGCTGACATACTATCAACATTTTTGCTAAACTGAAGAGGTGTAAAAGCAGACAAAATTTGACAGGTTTCTGAGTTAGCCTACGTCAGGATTATAACATTCACTGTGAAATCAGAAATGAGTGGAGGATGCATTTAAAAAGCACAGAATAAAACAACAAAACAATATTTTGGCAAAGATAGCTGATAAAATGTCTGCAAATGCCAGAATGAGCCTTGTTAAACTCCATTTCCCATACCCTCTTTACTGCAAGCCTCTAGAATTGAACGCTCAGGTTTTAAGGTACAAATTGAAATTCAGAAGATGCTCCACTGTATTTATTTCACCTTTCCCACTAGATTACTTATTTATAATAATGTTTTCATTGTTATTTATAGTGTACTACTGTAGTATCTTGTACTTGCAGTTACATGTATTAATTAATAATCTGGCTGTTAGGATTTGATTGGCAAAATTCTAAATTGTAATTCACGGGCCATAAAAGCAATGAGGGGGGATGAGACCTATTGTCCTCCCAGCCCCCACCCCTGAGCGCCAGGTGGGGGCCTTAAATAAGAATGTTGGGGACCTATTGTCCCCAGGCCCCAACCCCTGAGCGGCGGGTAGCAGCCCTAAACAGCAATGGGGGGGGGACCTATTGTGACTATGGGTCTCCAAGCCCCTACCTACCCCCTCACGCTAAAAATAGTGAAGGGGGAATAAAACAACGAAGTGTCTGTTAAAAAAAAAACAAAAAAAAAAAACTTACCATTTGATGTCTTCATTTTCTAAAATCTTCATTTTTCAGCCACAAAAAAGGTCAAATAAAAACCATAATACCCGTCGAACGTGTAAAAAATAAAATTAAAAAACGCCGCTAAAAATTAATCCATCTTTACCCGGCAAGGGCACGGCGCAGACTGAGCTCCGCAGGGTAGGGAAAGGCTTCTAAAGCCTTCCCAAGCCCTGCAATTTGACTTTATAAGCCTTTCCCCGCACTGCGGAGCTCAGTCTGCGCAATGCCCTCGCTAGGTGAAGATAAATTAATTTTTCTGCTTTTTTTTTTTTCGCTCTCTGGTTTTTTATTTTATTTTTTACAAGTTCGAAGGGTATGATGGTTTTAATTTGGCATTTTTTTCTTTTTTTTCTTTTTTTTTTTTACAGGCACTTAGTGAGGGGAGAATAAAACAAAAATTTTTAGGGTGAGGGGGTAGGTAGGGGTTTAATATTTTTTGTTTTGGGTGGGGTTGGTGACTAGGGGCTTGGGGACCCATAGTCACAGTGACAATTATGGTCCCCACCCTCTGCTCATGGGTGGCAGCCGGGGGATAGGACAGTAGGGGTCCTACACCCGCCGCTCAGGGGTGGGGGCCGGGGGGGAAGACAATAGGTGTCTCACACCTGCCGCTCAGGGGTGGGGGCTGGGGGGAGGACAATAGGTCCCACTCATTGTTACTTAGGGCCCACCTGCCGCTCGGGGGTGGTAGGACAATAGAAATGAAGAACTGATCCTGAGAGAGGGAGAGAAGAGGAAGCGATTTTAAAGAAAGGTAAGTTCGGCATGACAGTGCTGCTTTAAATGGCTAGATATCAGCTTATGGGCAGGGTCCTCTTTACCTTTTGTATTTGTCTGTGTATATTGTATGTCATCCACTAATTGTACAGTGCTGCGGAATCTGTTGGCGCTTTTTAAATAACAATAATAAATAAATTAAATAATGCAGTTTTCAGTTGCTATAAAACCCAGCAAATCAAATGTTCAGTTTTTAAACCGGAATTCCCTCCTTGTACAAAACGTTACCTCCTCACACTACCAATTCAAAAGTGTTCACGGTTTGGTGTACAGCATAGTTTAGTAAGCTCCCTACCCATACTATATAATCTATGTTCCACTGCCTGCATTACTCAAACACTTTTCTTGAAATAATAATAAATGTGGGCTGCACAGTTCTCCTACTAAAGTCTGCAAATCTCAAAATGAAAATCTCTGAAAGCACCTACCTCTTTGTATCTATGTACTAAACATAACACTGATAACATTACTAATAATGTAGTAACCCTTTCTGTTTCCTCTAGATTTTAAGTGTCAGAAGTATTATTATTCAATTTAATAACCGTAATGGATGAAACAGAGTAGTCCTGGGCAGACACCTGCCGTTCCAACCACTGAACTATCTCACCAGCTTTAAAAATCAATTGACCTTGGTTAATTTTTTTTAAATATAGATTTGTTTTAAATTGTATTAATCCTTCATTTTAGGTCATATGTGAAAAATGCAAGAAATTTTTATATTTTCTACCTGGTAAATATAAACATAATACACTAGTTTAATGCCATACATTATATGTACACTAGAGGGCAGCCACTAACAACAAATGGAAAATTACTGCTCACTGCACACACACAAATTGATATTTTTAAGGTGAAAAAATCCTTTAGTTCCTTTTCAGTGTTGAATTAGCAATATAAATGAGCCCAAACATAACCTGGTGAAGCTGTCCTAATGCTCAATCATAGCTGCTCCTCAAACCCCACCATGCCCTTTTCAACCCCTCACATTTCAACATGTTTCTGATTCCCAGTCTCTGAACGAAACGTACCTTTTTCTGCCAATAAAAATAAAGGCATGTCTTATCTAATGTAAGGAATGGTCACAGCACAGACTGCAGGGCAGCTAGAGCCCATATGTCCTCCTCGCTCGCCCTCCCTCCTTGTACTGTAAGTAATACATTCTCCTCCAGTCACAGTCAGCCATTTATCCATATTTTTGTTATTTTTTTTTTAAACCTATACAGTTCCTTTAAGATAGTTTGGAAAATAGTCCCAGAATGAAGTCTTTGTGAAACAAATCTTGGTATAAAGGATCTTTAGAAGAACAGTCTGGTATCCTTTTAGATTCAGGTAGGTTTCATGATATGTAAAACCATAATCATATAGGGGGAACTAATAGTGTAAAATTGTATGGCTAAAGGTGAATAATAAAATATTTGAAAATACAGTTACAAGGAAAGAGCTATATTTTATAATGGCTTGTAGCAATACGATCCTTTCCACATCTATGAAGTGGATAGGTCCTTTTTCAGGAGTGGAGGTACAGCCATTGCCAACACTGTTGTGGACGTCTAACATGGAATATATGTAAACACAGAAAAGCACCAACAGTGTAAACCAGTATATAGCTTGGTGCTACTTCTAAGTGCTGTTTCTAAGTGTGTAGTTGGAGATATTCTGGAGAGTTTTACAGAAGCTTACTGTTACAGGTAAGATTCATCTGTAGGAAAAGGTTACTGATTGCACAAGGTTTGAATTCCTGTTGGTAATTATAAGGCATTTGATTTGATTAAGCTAGTTACTTGCTGTTGATTGCTGGTTAATTAGCTATTGTTTGCAAATAAGCAGAGGCCTACCCAGGTGTTAATCATTCCTAGTGGGCGGTGATTTTAGGAGTTATATAAGGCCTGGTTCCATTAGCTTGTCTAATATAGCTTGGTGCTACTTCTAAGTGCTGTTTCTAAGTGTGTAGTTGGAGATATTCTGGAGAGTTTTACAGAAGCTTCAACTGTCTAAGAGTTGTGCTAAGAGCTTTGGGTGGTGATTTTAGGAGTTATATAAGGCTTGTTGCTACTTCTAAGTGCTGTTTCTAAGTGTGTAGTTGGAGATATTCTGGAGATAACCTGGAGGTAATCTGAGGTATTCAGGAGGATAAAGAAAAAAATTAAGATTTGTTAGATTTAAATTATTCTTATAATTGGAATGGCAGGCTTAGTTCAGTGTAACAATTGCTATGCATTTGTTTCACGTTCCACTTTTTGGAGGTTTGGTTGTCTAATCTGTAGACAGTTCTCTATCTTGCGGCAGGAGATTGTATTTTTGAAGTCTGAG